GCGATTTCAAAATAGACGCGTTATTCGTTTAGAATGATTTCAGGAAATAGGCAGAATTGCTATTCAGGGAACGCGCAGAAAAACGATATATTGTTAACTATGCGTTTTCACTGTAATTTATTCGCGGAAACTCAAAATTTTGGAGTTATTTGGGCATTTTCTACTCAAATTCGCGCGTAAAACTCACCGTAAAAATGCGTATCCAACGGTATATCGTTGTAGGACTCACTTTTTGTTCGCCTTCCCGGAATACCCATTCTGCCTGTTTCCCGAAATCATTTCAAACAAATAACGCGTCTATTTTGAATTCGCCGAAATTACTTTGAACACGGCATGAGAAAGAAAATTTTAAAGTGTGCGAAAATGCGTCTGAGTGTGTTTACACCCCAAGCACCATAATTTACAGAACGTTTTGACTTGCGTATTTTGAAGAATTCTTCCTCACTCCCTATCGACTATTTCAGTTTCAAGCATTATTTTTCAACGAATAAAGTGATCTTTCTATCATTCGCTTTATAAGACAACCTTGTTTCTGTTAACCTAGGTTTTTTACGTAGAAAAATCGTCACTAAAAAAATCCAGTTAGAAAAAGTTGAAACTCTGCGTTTAATAAAAGTGTCTGAAGTGGAAAAAAAAACAGCTCAGTGAAAATATCATCCAGAAATCAACGTGAACAGAAATATGACAAAAGAAGTTAACGTCGCGTTCAAAGTAATTTCCACGAAATTAAATTATGGTTTTTTCTTTGACTCTCCGAAATAGAGCTTTTTTTTTCACTGTCTGACCGCTATTTTGAACTTCGCGGAAACACTTCGAAAAGGATGCGAAAAATTTTTTTCTAGCGACCATCTCTAGTGTCGTCATCATTTTTGAGTGATCCCTAGAGTTCATCAGAAACGTCCGGAGCAGGCCCGTTTCACGTTATGTCCGAGAAGATGAAGAAAAAAAAAATGACCCAAAGAGGTGTGAAAAAGAGTACCCCAATGATAAATCTCTTGTCTTTTATCAAATTACGTGAGGCAAGCTGTACAAATACCGGATGCTTCGCAAATAAGTTCAAAATTCTGGATTACCACTTAAAAGACGCGTCTCGGTTTCTTCGCCGCCCGGGTCTGCCGGCCTGACGCCAAGCCTGACAAAAAGGCAGGCTTGTGCGAGGGCCGGCCCGTCAACCCCCCGGCCCAAAAAACTCAAACTTTCTTCAAGTCGAATTTTTCGCTTTTTTTTAACGAAAAAAGCGTTTTTTAAACTTTTTTCTCATAGAGTTATGAGAAACTATGACTTACCAAGTAAAAAAATAATTTTTTTCCGTGAAATTTTTTTCAAAATTAAATTTAAGATTTCTTTTCGAAGCCCGGCCCGGCCCGGCCTGACGCACATGCCTGCAGAAAGGCGAGCGAGCCCTATTTTGTACACAAGGAATATTCGCGCCAAACAGTTTTTTACGGCGCGGATTCCGAAATTTCAAAAAAAAAAATTTTTGGTTTCTCATTTTTCACTAAACCATGTGAGGGTTGGAGTTGTTATAAATACAATTTCTCGAGCTATTGCTGATTCCGAAACACCAAATTCATTCTTTTTTTCGAGTCTTATGAAAAAAAAAGCCAGCGAATATTCGAACGACGACTTTATCCTATTTTTTCATGTCTGTAGGAAACTTTCGGACGGCGACGTTTTTGACTTTTTCTCTCATATTTCTCGGTTCATAGAACGTCTAGTAAAATTGTTGTCCCTCTTCTTCGTGTTTTAAGCATGAATAAACTACCTATTTTATATAAGGAAGTTCAAAACGAAGAGATTATGGAAAGAAGAGAAAATCAGAAAAGGAAGAGGAAAACGTCGCCGTCGGAAAGTTTCCTAACGATATGAAAAAAATCGAAAAGTTGCCTTTCAAAAATTCGCCGTCTTTCATTTTATAACTCCATTTTTTGTCAAGTTTTCAGTGATTGACCATGAGTGACGAAAACAATTCTCCAGTTAAGTTAGTCTTGGAGAAAAGCCGAGCAAAAACGCCATTTGAAGAAGTAGTTTATCATTTTTCCTTTTTTGTTCATTTTTTTTTTCTACTTTAGCACCGAAAGCGTTCACTGAATGTTATCGACGATGAAGTGGAAACTGATAGAAAGAGATCAAAGTATACTAAAACCGTTTTGAGTCCCCCAAAGAACGAAGTTCTGTCCGATTGGGATTCTTCTCCTATGAAAGGTTTTGGTCGGGATTTTTAATATGAATCTTTAATTCAGAAGCTCCTGAAGACTCATTTGATTCTTTCGATGCCCCGATAACCTACAATTCTGGTTTTTTCAAAGAAAACCTATTTGAATTAATAGAAATTATAGGGGCCAAGAGCAAAACTAGAAGCTCGCCGATTTGTACAACAGATCCTTTTGGGGAAGACGATGTCGCCAGCCAAATTGAGGAAAAAATTTCTCAAGGTGGTTTTCTGCTCTCTTTTTACGTTTCAACGAAAAATTTGTTAAGAAAGCGGTGTCCAAGGATTTCCGGACGTTCGAAACGAGAAAAATATGCGCCGGTTCACAGTAAATCACGCGAATTATCGTGACGGTTGTTTGGATTTGGAATGCGAGGCTGACGGATCAATTTCTATGGTTTATCTTCAGGTAAATAAAATATTTTTTTCAAAAAGTCTACAGTTATTTTTTTAAAGGATCAGTGGAGTGAAACAGAAGTTGGGAAAGGCGACGTGATACGGATTATCGACGCCGAGCCTTGGGGTGAAATGGTTTTGTGTCACTTTTTTTATATTTTCAATGTACTAGAATGGTCCAATCTTCGAATCATTTCTTTTGATGAAGGATTTTTTTTCTGAAAGGTTTAGATGAAGAAAAGTTGGAAAAACAGCACTAGGCTGATAAAAAGAAGGAAAAAAAAAAGTCTTCGGCGGCCCATTTCGGAAATTTCTTATAACTCTGCTCTTTCAAACACTTCAAGTAACTTCTTCGAATAGTTTTTTCATTAGACTATTTTTTAGGACTTCATGGTGACCTCCGAGAAAGGAATCGTTATTGTGAATCCTGACACTTTGATTCCATGCACTTCAGTGGCCTCTTCCTCCTGGTGCTCGAGAAAAGTTTGAAACTACAAAAAAGCTGAAAAAACAACTTCAAAACCGAACTTCAGGTCGTGTTGAATGAAAGATTCCGTTTTGGATGCGAAGGGAACAAAGCCATGTTATTAGGTACCATTGTCCACGAACTTTTTCAGGTTTTCAATTAACCTTTTTTTTAAATTATAATTTTTTCAGTTAGGAGTACAGGAAACGGTGAACCTAGTCACTCGGGAATGGCTCCTCGACGTTTGGAGGCACAAATTGTGGCCGAATTGCACCGAAGAGTTGATTGCGCTCCATTTCACACCGACAAGCTTTGAGAATGAGCTCCAGCCTTATCTGGAGGTGATTGCTTGAAAAAGAAAAATTGAAAAAAATTTTAGGAAAAATTCGTTTTTTAGAGTTTTGATCAAATTTTCAAAAAAATTTTTGTTTGAAAAACCCGAAGACTTGCGAAAAACTTTGATTTCTCGGCGTTTAATTGGAATTTTCATATTGATTTTAGCTGAATTTCTTTCGTAAAGTGTATTTTTGATTTCCTTTTTTCTCACCTGGTCGAAGAAACTTTAGAGCGGGTAACTTTTTCCTCTCGAAATTTTTCTAAAATATACTTTATTCATTTTTGAATTTTTTATATGGAATTTCATATCTAAAGGTCGAGTTTCAGAATGCGGATTTTCAACTTCTTTGAGTTTTAAGTCGCGAATTTCAAATGAAAAAATCTTTTTAAAAAATGGATTCAGATGATTGTAACCTGGATAAATGCCCACATCCCACGATCCGGATATACTCCTAAAGAGCTCCCTTCAGGTTCTTCAGTGACTGAGGTAAGAGAAATAAATAGAATTCATAAAGAAAAACCAGTGTTTTTTATAAAAAGTAACATAAATCTTGAAAAAAAAGTTTTTTGAAAGAGTTATATTTTTCCGTCACTTTTGAACTTTGTTGACCTGTTAAAATTTAACGAATGACCTCATTATTGATCACTACATTTTTTTTTTCCAAAAAAACTGTACCACAGGAATTGGAACACTGAAAAAAACGTTACAACGAAAGTTATTCCACTTTTTTCTTCGGAATTCCCTAAAAAAAATTGTCTAGTACACTTTTTGGTGTCCCAGCGGAAGTTTCTGAAATTTTTTAACTTGCCAAGCATTCTAGTTTTTTGAGAATGGACACTTTAAAACCGAAGAAACCCCTGAAAATTCGTCGAAAAACGCTATTTTGGTATTTTAGCTTTCACCTCTCGACAGATAAAAATCTTTGTAGGTTGAGACTTTCAAAGTTTAAGAGCTGATTTTCGGGTTGTTTATAACCGCAATGAAATGTTTCATCTTTCGTTAGAATAAAGTAAGTACCGTAAATCTGAAGAGGAAAAGAAATGTCTATGATTTCCACAGTATAGTCTGTTCAGCTTTTGAATGTCAAGTCGTAGCTCAAGCTTCGCCCATAATGGCACGTTAAACCAATCAGAGAGCGAGCCATCCACAGAGTGTTTTTGAATGACGTCATTGCACTTGACATTCAAAATATGAACAGACTATAGGATCAATAGGATCATAATGATCCGTCTTTAAGATTAATTCTCGTTGAAAATATCAGTTTTTGTTCCTATCTATTCCAATAATTTATAGGTTGAAGATATCGAAGAAACCATATGGGATCCGTTGATTGGTGTGAAAGGCAAGGTCGACGTAACTGTCAAGGTTTTCGGAAATAATGAAAATTGTGAGAAATAGAAAGCATTAACAGACGAGGAACAAGTTCGGAAAGGATTCGATTGAATCAATCGAGTTGAAAACGGGCAAAAGCGGCGCTTCGGCCGACCATTCTGCACAAGTTTTCCTGTACTCCTTGATGCTGTCTTCTCGGTACAATCAGGAGCTTCTTCAAGGGAATCTGCTCTATTTGAAGGTGAATAGAGTCAGAAAAAGTAAAATAATTCTTTTTAAAAAATCCCCGCGGTTTTAATAATGATTTTAAGATTGTTTTTTGAAAATACTTCGTTTTCTTAGCTCCTCAAGTAATGGGTCCTGGCACGATCAATGGAAACGGCAATTTAATATGCTTATTTCATTCATAAGTGAACTTGAAATTGAATACGATTCGAAAAAGCAATAAAATGTCTTAACAATTTACTATTTCATGATTTTACTGTTCCACAAATAACTTAAAAAGCATGACTGCGTGTATATATAAATTAACTTATACCATGCTTTTCGAAATGAAATCTTGAAAGACCTAAAATTACACTGGAACGGACATTTTTTTTTCGAATTTATTCTGTATTGTTCCAAATGATTCTTCAATTCTCAATCCTTATTCTTTCATTATTCGATTATCCATTCTTCAAAGCCATTATCTTTCAAATCAGTGTGAACCCTGAAGAGCTCACTCGGAACTTGAACTTATTGGCGTGTTCATCGGGCAAAACGAAAATTGCTTCAAAATAAAAATTAGTACTATTTTGAAGCAACTTCGGCGCGCCGATGAACAAGATTTTTTCGTTTTGAAGCATGTTCCGTTTCTCCGATGAAAAACGCCATAAAAAGAATCAATTAATTATTCATTATTAAAAAAACTCGTTCTGTTTCAAATGAAATCTCGTCCAAATAACATGAAAACTCAAACTTATCTTTTATAAATGAAGGACGGCGTCGGTCGGCCAGTTGTTCCACGAGCTCTCGAATTGAAAGGCGTCCTCCAGACGAGAAACACCTTGGCCAAGTACATTGGCAACGCCGACTGGAGATCCTTGCCCGGTTCGGATTTGGACTACTTTTTTTCCAAATATCATATTATGATAAATCATTTATTTCTGTTTTTTTTTGTTTCTTCGGTTTTTTCATCTTTCAAACATGATAGGCTTGATTCGAAAACGTGCTGAACAAAATCCGATAACTTTTTTCATGTTTAACACGCTGTCTCCGTAATTTTTAAAAGTTCTTTTCGAAAGCAGGATACAATAAAAATTTTTTCTTAATACCGATGAAACTTCACCCATTTTGCAATAAGACCGGTAGGACGGATCTACTTGAAGGGATATCTATTCGTAGGTATTGCTGAGAAAAATTTTTCAAGAAAGTTAGCAGCCTGGGTCTTTCCAATAACACACCGGGCGACGGGAAAACCGAGATCGGAGACACAAAAAGCACCGTAACTCAAAAATTTCTACAGTAATCCATCTTGGTGTATACTGAAAAAAATTTTTTTAATTGCTTTCCCTTTTTGATTGATTTAAAATATGCCTAGTAGAATAGTTTCTTAGATACGCAAGGACGAACCTGCCTACCGTAACCAAGCTTCGGTAGGAGAAATCTCTCTGAAAAACTTGCGTCGGCATTTCTGATGTCAAACTACCCCAGTGAAGAAGTTTTATTGAAATCATATTTGTTGAAATCACTGCTTTTGAGATTTACAGAGACGGCGTTTTATATTCGGAGCTGAATAAAAAAATCTCAAGCATTTTGTGCAATTGAAAGATTCAAGCCGTTAAAGTTTACTAGACGTTTTTTTGAATAGGAAAAAAACATAAGCTCTCATTTTGAAAAATGAAGCTTTTTATATCAGTTAATAGTTTTTTTCGATTTTTTTGAAAAATCCTTTTATTGAAGTTTTCGAATTTGGTACTTGTGAAAATTAAGTATTTATCAAATAAAAAGCATTGGATATCATGGAAATTTCATTGAAACACGAATAATCCATTCTCGTATGAAAAAAAATGTTCAGAACCCCGACGAGATCCGAAATTTTGCGAGAAGTGTGAGCAAAATGTGATGTGCTCCTTTTTCCAGGTTAGTTGAACCTGAAAAATTGTTTTTCTTCAATTTTACGATTAAAATTCCAGTCCAAAACGGAGGATTTTGCGAAATCCTCAGAACTCATGAAATCCTTTGCTCTCGCCCAATTGTCACACTTATCCACCAAGCAGCAAGGTTTTGAAAATATTCAAAAAAAGGACTTTTAAATGTTACTTTTGTTCAGAATATTGCTGTCGATGGATTAAGATTCTTTTCGCCGAATGGGCTGAAGAAAAGAAAGTTAATGGGGCTAGTTTACCTCAAATTTGGCTCGCTTCACCTGAAGAACGGTTTTAAAAAAGCAACATATGGAAAAAAAAAATCATTTTTTGTTCAGAGAAGCTTCCAGAACGTGTATCAGCAATTTGAGCGTTTTTTTTGAAGTTCCAGTCCAAGGAGGGTTCAAAGTTACACTGGAAAGGTTTTAATGAAAAACTGGTCAATTTTTAAAGGCTTACTTTTAAAAATAGGCTTTTATCAGAAAACTTGAAAATTGAGCCGCGAATAAAATGTAAAACTTGTTCAAGTTCGCTCCATGGACAACGAGGGCTCAATAGACTAATAATTCGAATAGCACAGTTTTCTCCAAAAAAAAAAACTATTGACATAAGTTCATTTATTCCATTGAAAAGAATCAATATTGGTCCAGAAGTCATTTTACAGTTTCTCTGCCCTCTTTTTTAGTTGAAAATATTTTTTAATCGTTCGTTTCCTGTTCTTCTTCCTTCAAAAACACTTTTCAGAGTTGAACCTCTGCCGGAAAATGTGCTGAATGTTGGCGATATGTGCAATGTTTCCACAGGCAAGAAATATGGCTTGGTGATGGGCTTTGTCGTGGAGATTCTGGGTAGTTTTGATGAAAAAAAGACAATCTTCATTTAATGTGTTTAGAGTTCGGATTAGTTATCCGATGTGATAGATCGATTAGAAAAACGGGTGAGATTTTCCATTTGGACCGACACAACAGCTTCTCCACGTACAGCACCACGTTGGGAAGTCTGCTCTATCTGATGGGAACTGATTCAAACAGGTTTCGGCTGATTTCAGAACTTGAAATCCTGGAAAAAAGTGCAAAAGGAATTTTAAGATCACTTTTTTCACGGCTTAGGAACGCTAAAGTGGTTCTTATAGGGACAACCTCAGGGGCCTCGAAGGTTCCCCTATTGGGACTACTTTACCTTCCCTGTAGAGAACATTAAAGCTTCGGTCATTCGGTCAAAGTCGGTCTTTTTTCTGACCTCTATGAAAAAAAGAATTTTCATTAGAAAGGTTTTAAAAGACCCCTGTTGGGGCCACTCAAGCTTTAGGGCTTAAAGAAAAGACCCTAAACCCCTATAGGGACCACTTAAGTTTTACTCTTAAACGAGCAATTTTTGTCAACTAACTCCTATAGGGTATCTATCTTATTATGGCTTTTTTTTAAAGAATAATCTGATATTTTGATTTTATTGAATTTTTTCCAGTTTTGAAAAGTTTCAACAAATTTATCTTCATTCTAGTACGCGTCTCCGCAATTTTGTTGTCGATTTGGCCTCGCCAGAACCTCTGATGGTCACAATGGAACCATCACCTGAAGTCCGAAAAATCATCGTCAAAGCCAACTTGAACACGGAACAGAGAAAAGCTGTCCTCTACGCCTTGATTTCCAACGATTATTTTATCATCGAAGGTTTTCCAGGCTCAGGTGTGTTCAGAAAAGAGCTCGGAAAAAAAAAACCGTTGAAAAGTAGGAAGTAAGAATTTTCCACCTCATCTAGTTTGGGTAGGCTTCGTGGAGGATTTTTTACAGTAAGAATTTTTTACTCTGATTTTATCGGAGAACGTTTTGAGATCTTTGAAAAGCGGATAAATAATTTTTTGGGGGATACCAAATGGCGGCAGAGTAGTTTGGTGCTTCAAAAAAATGGATAAAAAAAGCTTTTTGATTAACCAGTAAGAAAATTTCAGGAAAGTCGACTGTCATCGCTGTTCTCGTTCAATGTCTTGCGGCGATGGGCCAAAGCGTCCTTTTGTCGGCTTTTACCCATTCGGCCATCGACAATGTTCTGGCAAAGTTGGCCAAGGTAAACATTTTAGAGGGAAAATCAAGTGAAAGAAAAAATTAAAAAAACATTCCGGTAATTTTGAGACTGGGGATAAGGTGGGAAATCCAAAAAAATCTGTGAAGTGTCTCATTATTTTTTGCCCAACCGCGAAGCCATTATTTCCACAACTATACAAAAATCGGTAGCTTTCGCTTTCAAGGTAGAACAAAATCATGAAATCAAGAGGAAAACAAAAATTTGAAATAAGCTGAGAGTAAAAGTATAAGGACCTCATGCTTTACTAAGTGCGATATGAAAGAAATAAAAAAATTCAGAACGTGAACTCGGACTTCGCAGTAAGACTAGGAAAGTCTCACGCGATTCGCGACGACGTTCTTCCGATGGCTCTGGAGACGAAGATGAAAGACATCGTTGATAAAAACCGCTACGAATTCATGCGGAACATCTTGAAAAAGACGGTAGTTCTGACTGTACCGAGCCAGCTTGTCACGTTTTTCTTCTGGCTTGATTACCGTATACCAGGGATAGGCGGAATCCCGCAACTGGCAAATCTTCGGAAGGGAGTTGGGAGGTCTTTTAAAAGTAAAAATGGAAGATGCCTGCCAAAAGCCTAAGGCTAAGCCTGCTAGAAAGCTTCTGGAAGGCTTGTGGAAGGCGTTCGACCATTTACTGGAAAGCTTCCAAACGCCTTCCGAGAAACCAAAGCAGATCTTCCCAACTTTTACTTGAGAAAAAAGTTCATTCACAGTTTTCTGTGAAGAAATGTTTCGCCTATCTCTGCCGTATACTTCTAGCTAAACGTTCTTAAGCAAGAGTCTAAAAAGGCCCCAAAAAGTTCGGTTTTCCCACTTTTTGGTTAAATGTGACAAGTTCGCGCGGAATCAACTTTTTCGTCGTATACCCCGAATGAAACGCGTTCAATGCAGCCAGTCGTCGCATGCACCTGCCACCACGTCGTCCGCGAGTTGCTCTTCTCCTGGCGTCGCTTCGACGTCTGCATCGTCGACGAGGCTTCCATGGTTCTCGAGCCTGTGCTTCTGCCGCCCCTATCAGCCGCCAATCGATTCGTCTTCGTCGGGGATTGCCACCAACTCGCGCCTTTGGTCCAGTCCAAGTCTGCAAAGTTGGTCCTTGGACAGTTTCAGAACTTCATTAGGACGGAGGGAGGGGTTAACTAATAAAAATTTGAAAAATGAGGAATGGAAATAATTTTAATCTGTGGACAAAATGAAAGTAAGTTTTAATCTGTGGAGGTAGTACTGGCTTGAACTTAGGAAGGCTCAGGAGGTCTGTTCATATCTTGAAAGCATATGGAGGGAAAACTTCTAACTTCAAACGATAAACTTTTGAAAATTGTACTTTAAGCAACGAAATTTCTGAATAGAGCTTGATGGGCGATTTCGATATCTGCTAGAGTTTCCTTTTTTCGCAAAGACTACTCCTTAAGTTTGAAAAGAATGCAGCAGTTCAAAATCTATCTTATGCTTCCCTTTAGACGCGTTCATCTCAGAATTTAGCAAGTTTCGTGAATTTTCATATGGATATTCGGAATTACAACGAAAAAAAACTTCTAACAACAAACTTCCAACCTCCATAAGTGATTTTGTAATGCTTATGCTCTTTTGAGTAAATATTCAAAGAGAAGTCTTTAGAATGGAAGGCGCTGGAACTTCTTTGATGCAACGTCTTCAGCAGCACAAGCACGCCGTTGTTTCGCTCAGTTCGCAGTATAGAATGAATAGGTTTACTCACGAGGGAGTTGTGTTTGACAGTCACTCGAACTGCAAAGGAATCTCGGTTGAAAGAAATTTCAGGACCTTCTTGATCCAGAAAAAGGAAATTTTACGTGGAAGATCTTTTATTCGAATCATACCGGATTAAAAAAAGTACAAATTTATAGAGAAAAAAAGGTTTTTTTATGTAGTTTTTTTGAAACGTCAGACCTCAATCTGAAGACCTGTTTCGATCAAACTTCATCTTTTCTGGATTTGGGAGGTCCTAGAACAATTTTCAGTCTTTAACTGGTCAACGAAGCCTTAATCAAAAGTTAAACCGGTCAACGAAGCCTTGAAAGCTTGAAGCTTTGTAGTCGCGCAGAAAATCGAGTCACATTTTGGGTTTTCAGAACGATCGCCAAAATATCCAGCGAATTGTTCTACGAAGGTAAACTCGTCTGTGGAACGGAAAAAGTTGCTCGCGGATGTTTGGATCGCAATGGCGGTTACGTGATTCCACCGGATTGTTCAGGTTGAGATGTATCAATTTATTCCAGGGTAAAAAAAGAAAATCTGTTCTTTCAGACTTGGAACTGATATTAGATGCTTGTTTTTCATTGAACTTGTGCTTCATAAAACTTCAAATTTTGAGATGGATTAATTAAATTTCTTGTTTTGATCTAGTTCATACAAAAAAACTAAAACAAAAAAATTAGACCAGTTTAGACGGAAAAATATCGACTTTCTCAGAAAAATTAATGAGATTTCATCATGAAAGCTGTTCGCAAAAAAAACTATGTCCGATTTCAAGTTTAGAAAAAGCTTTAAAAAGGCATATTTTTGGAAAACAAATCTTGCCTTTTTCGAAACCTTACGTATAACGGAAGGCGTGTTGAGTTTAAGTTTTTTTTATTTTATCACCGCGGCGAAACACATTACAGTAAGAAATAGTGCTCTAGAGCAACTTAGACGTTGTTGAAATATGCGTAGAAGTGTCGCAACAAGCAAAGGAAAATTTCATTGATTTTTTTCTCTGTAAGACGAGATGAAAGCTGTGCTCGACGGTTCCTTGGAGCGTTCTTGCGTTTTCGTCGACACTCGCGCGAATTCTGACCCGCAAATGCAGTGTCAACCGACGAGCGGCGGCGTGACCAATCCTGGCGAAGCTCGGATCGTCGCCGCGATTTGTCGCGACTTCTTGAGGGTTTGTTAAACTTTCGAGCTTGAAGTTATTCTGCTCTCAGGCTGGAGTACCACCTAGCGAAATCGGCGTCATGTGCGCTTACCGGCGACAAATCGACGTCATCCGCGAATTCTCCGAGTTGAGCCAGCTTGAGGTATCACTTAAGGGGACTAGAAATAATTTTGACTGCAGTTGTAGGTGTTGTAGTAGAGAAGTAAGCAAGGTTATTCGAGATGTTTTTATTTTTTGATATTGAGACAAGACAAAGTTTTCGAAATGAGATCGAGATCGAGTTAAAGGCTCAAATATGAAATTCTTGCCTCGATTTTTCGAGACCAGATTATTTTTTTCGAGACAAAAATGTTGGTTTTTAGGTCACAAATGCCATTTTTGAGCCTTTAACTCGATCTCGATCTCATTTCGAAAAATTTTGTCTTGTCTCAATATCAAAAATCGAGACAAGAATTTCACCTCGTCACGAGATCTCGAACAATTCCAGGTGTGGGGTTTATTGTTTCAAATTCAGTTTTGATAATATTAACCTCGCAAATTTTGTTCTGGCTCCCCTCTGTGCAAAGTTCTGCAAATGATTTTTCAAAAAAGACTTCAGAGTAGCTTTCTTCGAATAAGTCCCCTCAATCTCGAATTTTAACTCGAACCTGAACAGGTGAACACGATCGACCAGTTCCAAGGACGTGACAAGAGCGTGATCGTGTGGTCGACAACTTGGACCGACTCCGGCGCTCGGGTCAGTTACGAAATCGTCAAGAACCTCTGTAGTCTTTCTGAGTGAATGACAGAATAGCTTGTGATGAGTAGCCTCTGACTGAAAAGCTTGAAAAAAAATGGGCCAGGCAGAAAATCATCTTCTTCATTTAATTAGTGCAATTTTGGTTTCTCTATTCAATTTCAATTCAGATGGTCTCTTTGGATATGTTGAGAGTTGAAGCAAATGAAAAGAGAAATTTTGAAAAAGCTAGTTCTGAGAAACTTTTGGGCTTCACTTCCTCGGACCAACGCGAACCGGACGCCCCACCGACGTTTCTGAGCATTTCGAGTAGTAACTTAAGGGAACTGAATACGCTAAACTTAGGAATTCCAGAGTGGTCTCTATGGGAGTTAGGAGAAAAACAACCCTTCTAAAAGCCGAAAAAGTGGTTCTTTAGGGGTAAAGTTGAAATGGTCCCTATAGGGGTTCAGGGTCTGATCCTTTAGCCCCTCAACCTCAAGTGGACGCTATAGGGTTCTTTCAATTCCATTCAAAAAACGCTTATTCAGTTTTTCCCATGGGAATGCTTCTTCGCTTAGAGTTCAAAACAGTTATTGACCAGCATATTCCCTACAGGGACCTCTAACTGAAAACCATCATAGGGATCACTTTTGCAAGCTTTAGTGGTCCCTAGAGAACACCCTCCCAGGACCCCTAAGATTGGCCCTATAGGAACCACTCTGGAGTTACTAAGAAAGGAAATACTGGAAATACTCAGAAACGTCCGAGTTTAAATGAGCGGAGCCGAGCGCTTTTCGAGGCCCTTTTTGAGGCTATTTTTTGAACGGCGCTTTTTTTGCGGCTAGTTTCATGATTCTTATCACTGCGGCGATTTTCTACAGTATATTCTGTCATTTACCCGTCGTTTTCATTGAGCGTCGAGGCCAGAAATGATTGCGTTTTCGTGTCGTCTTTTCCTCGTTTACCCACATGCTTGCTTTGGCCCATTCATCGTCGAGGCGAACGTGTCTTGCTGTTTGCCAAATCACCCAACGTGATCATTAAAAGCCAATCGCGGATAATCGCTCCTTCTTCTCACTTTCCCCCCTCACGATTCTTTTCAGAGGAGCGAACTGCTGCGCGAAAATCGTCGGTTGAACGTGGCGATCACTCGCGCCAAGCACAAGGTCGTCATCGTCGGCTGCGGAAAAAGTCTCGAGACGATCCCCGCCTTCTACAGTATCCTCAAGGCCATTCCCAATGTCGTCTCTTTTTGCTGAGGCTTCATCTTGACTATTTTTATTTCTAGAGTTAATTACTCTGACATGAGAAAAGACAACACCCTTTTAAAAAAAGATCAAATTTCTTTCACTGACTCTCAATATTTAAAATTTAGCACTCCTGACAAGAGAAGGAACAAAACTATGCGAAAAATTCTTAAAAATCAAGAAACCCTTCAAAAAAAAAGTTGAAAGAGAAATAAAGCCCTCCGAGAGCTTCTGAGAATTCAAGTTGTTTCAGAAAGGCATCTCAGACATATTGATTTTATCCGGATGACTATGGTTATCATTACCTCAGGTTTCTCATCATTTTTAAAATCTCAATGGCTGATTTCAATCAATATTTCGGTTACAACTTTATGTATTTTTTGGATAAATCTTCAACTCGTAGTTTGTTTAAAATTTGAGTACCTCTTTTTTTTTCTCTGTAGATTCGTATTGCTTGAAAATCAACCTTGTGAATTTAAGCTCCTCACTTTTGTACTACGCTTATTCCGACCATTTCATGATAACTCTGTGTAAATTCACTTGTATTTTTTCGATTGTGTGTATGAAGCTTAATCTTAAAGAAAAAAATTTGGAAAAAAAGAATTCTGTATTTCGTGTATTCCATGTCTCATTCATTCATTCTCCATTCAAAAAACTTGTGAAATCAACTTTTTCAGAGACCCTTCTTTTCAAAGTACATTTACCTAGGGCTCACTGCCACTGGAGTCTGGACGAGATCTGCGAGGCTCACCTCAGAATTAAAAAAAAATTCCCAACTGAGCCACCGAGCAACAATTTGACCTCAACTTTCCGGTCCCAAATCGGACGTCTCTCGAGCGTAATACCCGGTTCAACGCGTCGGCGGCGGACGCCAAGAACAAACAGAAGCTGCAAAAATCCCCTTCGACTATCGACCCTTTTGCGGCTTCATTTGTTCTCCCCCCAACTTCGAGTGCTGATCGCTTTTGGAGGAAGAGGTTCCATGCGACTTCACCTGGTGGTTCTGGCGATCGTCGCAGTTCTCGCTTCGGCCGTCGACGCCTACGAGACCTACGTCGCCCGAGGTGAGCTTCTGATCCAAAGTCCAAAATTATCAAGAAGGGATCTTTTGAATATGATATTTCTAGCACCTTTTCGTGTCTTTCTGTCGCGAAGGTCTTTCCAAAGAAGATTAAGGTGTTGAAAAGAAGAAGCACAATGAGCTTCTTTCTAATAAAGAGGCACAACAAGGACCTTTTCAATTAAAAGGTGTGAAAAAAGAGCAATTTTTAAACCTCTTTCTAGGAAGTTTCTCGGACTTTGCAGCGTCCGACAAAAATAGGGTTTTGAGAAAAAGGACTCTGAAAGAATTTTTCTATGTTTTTGAAAGTTTCTTGAACTCTTCAATACCTTGACATTCTTCTTATCTCGGCTGGAAGGATGGAGCTTGATATTTTTCACCAGACAGCCTTTTTCTGCATTCTCTGTCTTACAACAAGAAAGATATTTTTCAGAAAATGTCTGATTTGGTGAAAAAATTGCGGAATGAAGACCTCGAAATTAGTAACCTGTGTCTCAATCATCTCCAGTACTGGTCGATTTTTCGAAAGGAATAAACTTTTTTTCTTTTTTTATTATAATCAGAACCTCTTACTTAATAAAACATTGAGGCTGTGAGCTTCGGCGAAAAGGAAAACAATGACGAAACAAAGAAAAAAGGCAAATTTGAGACTTTAAAGATAAAGTTCCAATGAAAACATTCTTGATTGTTTATGTTAGAAAAAAAAAGACAGTTCTTAAAACTTTTTAATACGCATCGGGAGACTTAATGAACTTAATTTGTAGCAAATGAGTAATAAGGACCAATTAAAACGTATGTCAACAGGTTTTTCTTTTTAATATTTTCAGCGAATTGTTTTTATTTTCTATTTCTCTTCGTTTTCAGGCCGACATCAGCGATTTGCTGCGCTGAACCGCCTCCTTTGTGCAATTCCTCTGCAACCAAAGATGGAATATTATGGGCAACACGTTGGGTCTTAAACTGTGAAATGAAAAAAACTATATTCAAATTATCTGAATCCCGGTTTTGTACATACTTGTTTCTGTTTCTTTCATTTTGTCCAATGAAAGCTTTTTTCAACTTTTCAACTTTTTTCTTGAATTTTGGAAGAGGAATGAAAATTTCTCATCTATCACATTAAAAATTGAAACTGAAGTACTTACAGGGGAGGTCATTTTCTTTGCTGTTCAGATAATTCTGAAAATTCGCCAAAACCTTTCTTGATGTTCCAAAAGAAGATCCTGATAGTCTCAACCTGCACAACTTCCTAGTTTTCGAACAATCAGTGGTCAAAGTCCAAAAATGGATCATTTTATCAGACTTTGAAAACTTTCTTTGACTTTGAGGTGTCTTTTTTTCAAAATCTAGCAAGTTTTGCAGTTTAGGACTTTCAGAAAATTTATTGGGTAAATCAAGTGTTCTGACCGAATTTCAGAAAAAAATCCCATCCGCAAATTAAAATGACCTCCTTTGATAGCTTATTGAAATCCGTTAGAAAGGGTAGTTTTTTTCTAATTTTTTTTTCCACTCGAACAACCTAGCGAAGAATTTTTTTATAGAAAAAGCAAAAATTCAAAATGGCTGAAATTTCTTCAAACCCTCAGGTTTACTGTACATATATTCCCCGAACTCACCCGGGAAACTTCCGAGTCATAAAACCTGGCGTCGAAGTTCCCGAACTTTTTCAGCATTTACAATGTTTATCGAAGCCCCCTCTATCACCGACATTCTCTCCTATCGTATTGAAAATGTTCTTCAAACTGCCGAACAGCTCGTACCTGGACTTCTTTTCTCATCCCACACACGCCTTCTTCTCGGTCGCCTCCGCAAACATTGCCTTTTATGCGACTTGAAACGAACTTGTCCTCCCCATGGTTTCGCCTCACTGCTTCGTTTCTCGTTTAAAATCTAAACTTGATCAATGGGTACTGGTCGTCGGCGAGGCAAAGTGCGTTTTCGGTTGATTCATCGCGAAGAAAGTAGGGAGCAATCGGTACGAAGAAGTTTCTCTACATTACTGTGCGTTAAATGTACGCAGTCGTCTTCTTTGAACTGCAGGCGTTGTAAACCACGCGCAAATAATGCTTTCTTAATTTTTTTTTCTCTTAAATTGAATTCAACAAGCATTCAAAGTACACAATTTTCTCATTTTTTCACTTCAAAAAAGCGTTCAAAAAGATTTTCATATTGGAGAAAGTGTCCCGCAAAGAGATATGAAGAAAACAAAGGTTAGTTCATCTTATTTTTGAAACTTTTTTTGAAATTTTTTTTTCTTTTTGTTATATAAATTAATTATAACTAGCTCATTATTTAAACTTTAGGGGTCATTGTTCACAGTAGTGCGTAGTTCTCAATTTATATTTCCCTTGATAAAAAGTACTAGAACATACAGAAGGATGTTTTCTCAACCTTTCTCAAGAACCTATTATTTTCCCCTTCGTATTCAAATTTCTTTTTGCAACCTCAATAAGATGAACGATGTCTCATTCGCCAAAAACGATGAGTATTGGCTAATAGAGTGTGGGAAGCGATCGGACGCCGTTGACTTTTTTTGTTGGGTTAGGTGGATTTGTCACTCGCGATTGCCTCGAGTTGAATAAGTAGGTAGCTGGAGTCAAGTTTTTGTCTTGCTATTGACAGAAAAAAATGAAAGAAGTATAATCCGGTAATATTACCTTGTATTAACTTCTTTTCATCTTTTTGAAATAGGAAAATTTTTGAAATATTGTAATTATAGAAATCTGGTAATGTTTGTGATTTTTGCAGGATATTTGTTTTAGTTTTGTAGATTGATTGCTCAGCCTTTTTTGAAAAAAACTTTACATCGAACTTCATACTTGAAACTTCGCATTTTGGAATTGATTTTATAACGTTTAAGCGTTTGAAGTCCAATTTTGTAAATGAATTTACAAACAACATTTTTAATCCAATCCTTCAATGACTAACAGTCAACAAGATTTGCAGATCCTTCAAAAAGTTTGAATTTTTTCCTATTTTCCAGTTTAAGGAACCTGAAATATCATGTATCTACTCCGATTGTTTAATCTAACTCAAAGATTTGAATTTCGTAAAAAAAAAAACTTACAACCGATTTCACGGGACTCCCTAAACAAACAGTTTTTTTTTTCTCCGTAGGAGTTTGCCAGTGTATCCTCTTTTTCAAAGTGGGAGACCCAGACCTTGTTAGGCGAAAAAAAGGAACGATTCAAAAAGGCTGGCACACCGGTTCACCTCCCTCTTTTCATCGCCCATTTTCCTTGGTTCGTTTTCAAACAAAAGCTTCTTTCACAGTTCGTTCCCCTCTTCATTTCGACACGTTCTTTTTTCCCCTGGAATCACACGCACCTTCTCACTCCCACATACACAACCACTTTGTTTTCGTATTTTCTTTTCTCATGCACCTATTTTCTTCTAAATTCTTTGCAAAATGGGTAGATCTTTTGCTTTAAGGGTCCCATTCAAGATTTTTGAAGCATCAAGAAAGCTTTGACACTACGGTTTCATAGAAAATAGTTACGGACGTAATAGATAATGGAAATTTAGCCTAGAAAGGTGTGACAATTTGAAGATAAAATTATAAATGTAACGCTTCTTCTACTCGTTGGTACTATTTTCGGGATCTCGAGACAAATTCAATTATCTTTAGTACTGAGATTATTCAATTGAACTTTGCTTAGGTTTTGAAAACTAAAATTTCTGAAAAACAGAAAGTTTTACGGCTAACTAAAAATCAGATCTTTTTTTCTTTTTGGGAACCGTAAAAACCTAAATTTTACGGCAAACCACACAACAGCAAAATAAAACAGGCAAAGTGTCAATTTCTTTTTAAATTAAAAAAATCAATACGGAAGTTGCTTTTTGGCTTGCCATTCTTGATGAAGAAAAAACTAGGACTTAAAATTTGTATTGAAAGATTCTGACTTTTTAGGTCTCACTTTATGTCGGAAGTTTTGATAGTTTTACCCTCTTCCCCAGGCTTCTTTACAAAACCCGAAGTTGTTTCAAAAGACAGATTTTTTCAAAATATTTGCTGCAGTGAAAAACATTGGTAGAAGTTTCGGTGAGCTTCCGTCGTCCTTATCAATAAACACTGCCCATAGGCACTAACACAACCAAAAGTGCTGCTGTAAAATAGCACTTCGTTGAGGAAAAACCATTAAAAACTGTACAGAAGAGGGGAAAAAAGGCACTCTGGTGTGGTCTCGTGACACCCGGTGAGAAGCCCATCAATTGCTGACGCTTCTTGATATTGGGCCAGACGATGTAATTTCCTTGGACCAATGCCGTTCCTCCTATCCGATGCCCATATCCACACGTTTTATGGGATGACAAGTGATTGAATGAGGCGAGAAAACACGGCGGCGCAATACAATGTCTGTGTATGCGTGTTGGTGTCGCGCCAATTTGGGTTATGACGATTCCTCAACGGCTTTTTGTTGATTGGTTGATCCGGATGACTCGGAGAGGATCCAAAAGAATCCTTGAAGGGTTTTTCCTTGTTGTAGAAAAAAAGAATAAGCTCCGATAAAATGGAATGAGTTAAGGACAAATAATAATCATATGCGATTTCTCTGAACGGTTTTTGAAGCGCAACTTGTGAATTGTTGTTGTTGGTTGGTTGATCTAGATGAGTCGGGGAAGATCCAAAAGAATCTTTGTAAAGTCTAAAGAAAAAGCTTCGATATAATAGAACTGGTGAGCAAGAAAAATAATAAAAAAATTAAGCAAAAAAATTCAGCTTTTTATGACTTTGGTGAAACGTAGCTGAAACGCACCTAGTTTACCAACCAGAATGTCTTTTTTTTTCTAGGTGGCTTTTACCTTCTAAACTGAAGATAACTGTCGAGTCGGGCCGAGATGAAATGCGAGATCGCTGGCCGTACATTGACGGAATCGCAAACATGCCTCTCTGTCCTCGCGCGAGTCCCGCGTTATTCTCAGCGCGATATCGCGTTTATCTAGCTTTTCTCACGCTCTCGAAAATAAATTTGTGAAGTTCCATCGCGGTTAGGGAATTGCAATAACCGCCAAAAACTCCATGTTTGTGTATGTTTGCCGTCAGCGATATCGCCTTCATCTCAGTAGTTGATCTTAGTAAAGGGAGGAATTAATCAGCTATAGTCAATTTTTCCCCAATTGATCGGTGAAGGAGGCGATGAAGGGAACGGGACGCGTAGCGTGCGCGTTCGCGGTTCTTGACACAAGTTCAATTCAACCGCCAGAGATTATATTTGGAGAGCTCGTTTATCGCTCTTTTCATGTCTTTTTCAAATATTCATTAATTTTTTTTCTATTTGTGCATTAAAATAGAAACAAAAAGAGCTGTGACCGTGCTTTTTGAATATTCGGTGGCTCTCGAATTGAACTCGTGCCAAGAACCGTGAACGCACACGCTATGCGCCCCTTTCCCGCCTCTCGCCTTTCAAGTCGGGATAGATTGACTATCCTTCATGGTATTCTGATTGAGATATTTGAGATGAGCTACGTGTATTTCTGAAAAAAAAAACTGAGCTTTGATGAAAAAAGACGGTTAAAAGGGAATGAAGAACGAGTAAAAGTTATACGTTTATGATTTCAGTGAAACGTAGCGGATGCCCTTCTGAGCACTTTAATTTCAACCAGAATTTCATCATTTCTATCATTTTTTGAAGAGTTGCATTTTATTCAAGTGCCTTAGATTCTTGGTTCATTTGGTTTTCCTTAACAAAATGCTCGATTTCATTCTGAGAAATGCAAGATCCCTCTTTTTGAAAAGAAAAAAGAAATTAACCAAGACCACTGAGATTTTTCGGCTCTCAACTTGGCTGAAACTTAACCCAAAAGGCAATTCAGCGCCAACTGGTAAATGAGAGAAAGGCGGCGGCTGGCAAAAGGAGCCCCATTTTCGCTGATTGGGCGCCGCGCACGCGCCAAAACACCTCGTCATCGGCGGCGACTTTCCAAAGTCGTCCTGTACTGACACTTCTTTAAGTGCTTTCCGGGAACCTTGGAACGGTTTCAGTTGAGTGGCGGCGACTAGAAAGTTTTTTCTCAATTTTTTCGGTTCATAGGAAGATTTTTGAGAGCCGAGTACCAAGGAGCATAGAGGAAAACTGTTTAGTCGATACCTTCCTGTATCCTTTTTTTAAATGGAAGTTTTTCTGTTGAGAGACGCCAATGGGAAGATTTTTCTATCTTTTTTGGTTCATGGGGATGTTTTTGTGAGTTTTTCTAGTGAATAAATCATTCGTTCGATTTTTGAGCTTTGCGTTGAGCTTCGAAGATCTCGCCATCGGAAATTTTATGTGGAAATATGCTCCCGATGGCTTTAAGAAATTTAGCCTATCGATAGGTTTCTGTGAAATTCAAATAAACAGGAAAAATAAAAAAATTTGACAAGACGAATTTTTTTAAAAATCTTTATTCAATTTAATATTCAGATATTCAAATTTTTTTGTCAAATTTTCAGTTCATCTGAAAATTTTTGACAGTCCACATTTGAGGAACTCGTATAATTTATATAGTGGTTCCAATAAAAGGAAATTATGTTTTTCAAGTGCGAATTTTGGATTTTTAAGTTCATTACTACTTTAACAACGAGAAATATGACTCAATAAATTTTTTTAATTTTATACAAGATTTTTAGATTTCTCAGTGAGGAGGTGGTTAATAAAAATTCATAAAAACTGTATCTTTGTCCGCGGTTCAGAAAAAAACTCAAAAAAATCTGAATTTTTTTCAGAAAGATCGATCATTTCGAGCCGTTCTTCTGAGTTTTCTGCTTGTCATTAAGAAACTCTTTTTATATTTTTTTATTTGTTAGATCGCAGATCTCAGAGGCTAGATTATAAAAAAATGTTCTTCATAAGAAGCCAGGCGGCTTCAACAAATGAGAACTTCAAAAGAAGGGAGGAGTTTGACTTTTTGGCTGTTGGGTTCCATTGTCAATCCAAATGTCCTGGGAAGCGTTTGGTGCTCTCTTTATTGTTCCAAAAAGGCAGCAGCACACAAACACTCACAACGGTCGTTGGGTTGGCGGCAGCGCCGTACATTTTCAAATGTGACTCAACCATCTCTATCCAATTACGCCACAGGCCTTCTCTTCTTCTTCTTCTTCTTCTTTTTCTTCGTTTTTTGTCTTGACTTAGTGTTTGCGCATGGCTGGGCCTCCTCCAACTTACCGTAGCTGAGTAGGTCAGCAGACAATTTCGTCTCGTGGCTTTTTCATTGCCTCCGCTTTTCTGCAACTTCCTTCCACGCAATAAGGAGCCTGCCTCGACTCTGGTTTCTTTTTTTTTTCTCCTGTACTGGTTTTCGAACAAAGCTCGGAAAAGCTTGAAGACTTGAAGTCGTGGGAAAAGGTTCAGGAACTTTTTTTCAAATTGTCACAACTCAAAAGGCGACGTCTTAGAATTTTTTTTTCGAAGTTCTGAAGCTTCGCCTTCATTTATTCCTCATCAGAAAGAAAGCTGTAGATTTGCAAAAATTTGAGATGAACATTTTTTCTTGAATTTGAAAAAACTCCAAGAAGCTGTTTCCACTTCTTTTGAAAGGCATGCTATTATGAAGCATGAAAAGTGTTATTTTGATTCATTCAGTGAAAGTTTCGAGAAGTGCAGAGTCTTGAGTCATCATTAAATGAAAGAACCTTTTTTGTTGAATGTAGTCATCGAAAAATCTTCTTTAAAAGCCACCATCACAGGGAAGTCGAACCTTTCATTTATTATTGATGATTTCACGAAGTTCGTTAATCTTTCGAGAGGTCTCTCAATCAATTTTCAAGTTATTATCATATATTGATTGATTGAAGTCTTATAGCGCCAGTATTAGAGTTCATGAAACTATGGAAAACCAAAACTGTTAGCTAACAAAAATAAAGTGGAAGGAAAAGGCGCAGTGACTATAGTGCCGTCGAGAAAGTTCTCATCGAGAAGAAAAAACCGTCCATTTTCTTCTCATAAAAGCGTCGCCCTTCCAACAAACTTTTGCCACTGCCGGCTCCCACGGTGGAGAGAAAAAAGAGAGAAAGAAAGAAGGACATTAAACTGCAGCCGTTTGAGGTGTCAACAAATGATGGACCCCTAAGAACTACAGTAGGGCTGGAATAGCTCAACTGCTGGCGGAATGAAAGTGTTAATCGGACGAGGATTCATTCCGCCAATAGGGTCCGCAGACTCCGCCCCACTTCAGAAGAACTGCAAAAGCGTGTTGTCGGGTGTCGACAACGGCTTAGGATACGAGAAGAAGAAGAAGACGACGACGACGACGATTGACACGACCGACGCCTGCGCGCTTGGCCCCGCCCACTCTTCGGCCAGAGAGTCTCACTCACTCTGTCACTCACTCACTCACTGCCGCCCGCCACCTCCTATTCTCGCGGTCTACTGTATCTTTAGTCATTCCCATCATCTTCCCATCTTCTTTCTGACTTGATTTTGAAGTCCTGACAGTTTTTCAACCTTTTGAGAGTCGGCTGATTGGTTCATCTAGCCTTACTGAGCCATTGGGCTGTCGATTAGTCTTCTTATCTTCTCTCAGTCTCGTCATATCGTTTTTCGTTTGTTCCTCAACCTTCTTGAGATCTGTCGATGTCTTTATATAGCCTCAAGCCATTAGGTACTCGTTTCTTCATAATCATCTCTCAGATTTGATTTCGAGGTCCTACCTATTTTCGAATGTTTTTTAACTTTTTTGAAAATCGTTCGATGTCTCTATAGAGCCTTACTGAGCCATAGTCGTTTCGTCTTCTTTCAATTTCGCGATTTTTTTTTCATCAAACTTGATCGTGACGTCCTCTCAGCTTCAGGTAGTTTTGAACCACTTATAGATGTCAGATCTTTCCTTTTTTGAAAACATAGTAGCCTTTTTAATCTTCATCAAGCCTTTCTGAGCCATTTGTTTGTCGCTTTATCTTCTCATCTTCTTTGATAATTGATTACTTGTCTTATCAGTTTGAGGATCTTTTTCAGCCTTTCAGTAGCTTTTCTGAGGATTTTTTCGAATGTATCGTGCCGTTTGGTAATCGTTTCAACTTAGTCAGTATCTCCACTGTTCGTTTTTGAACTTCATTTTGAAAAATTACGGGATTTTAAGCAGTTATCAAAATTTTTGTAGATCTTTCTCGGTTAGGCTTCTTGAGAGGTGCTGATTATTCATTTATATAATGAGTTTATAGACGTTCGGTAGTTGGCTGATTTTAATTTTTATCTTTTTTTAAAGTTGAATCTTTCAGCTTTTAGCGGTTGCAATTTTGTCGCTAACATTGGAAAAAAAAAGTAGTTTGTATCCGAGATCAGATCTAAAGTGTATTTATAGATGATTTTTCTCATTCTCTTTAATTATTCGAATTTTTTTGGTATTTTTTTAATTTTTTTATTCAAGTTTTTTTCTCAAAGATAGATCATGTATTGATAGACGCTTTACTTTCCCATAAAAATCTAAAGACGTTTTTTTGGAAAAAGTTTAAATTGACTTGAGAATATTGATTGATCAGATCTTTCTCCCAGTTAAACTTTGTTTACATTTTTGTAGTTTTTGAATTTTTTTCGGTTTTTTTGTAGCTCAATTTCAGTTGATTTTGAATGGCATTTTGGTGCTAAACATTGACTTTTTTTCATCTCGATGAGTATTATTTCGATGGCTCCGACTGTTTAGCTAGTTATACCTTTTTTATCAATTTTTTTCCTACTTCTCACTTTGAACTTTTTGAACTCATCGAGTTCAGTGAATATTTTTTTATCTCGAAAGTCGTATATTTGCTCATTTTCTTTGATTTTTTCAAAAATATCTGAGGTTATCGATTTTATGTTGAATAGTGTGCGTAATTTCTTTCCCTGGGCAGAAAATTTGAAAAACCTCCATAAAATATCCTAAATTATTTTCAGTTGATTCACTTTCTTTCTTAAAAGTGAAGTTTCTCAGAATTTTCTGAAAATTTTTTCAACATATGAACTTTTCAATGAATTAGAAATCAGTATGCAGTCAATTTTTCTCGAACATTTCGGCAACAAAAAGTCGTCACTAAACTCGATTCCCAGCATAGTTTGGTGGCGAATTTTGTTTGCAACCGCCAAGGAACAACATTCCGTTTCTTTTTCTTCTTCTTCTTCTTCTTCGTCTTGTTCGTTTTTTTTCTTCCGGGAACATCATCGTTTTTGTTTGACATTCATTTTGTTGTGTGTTGCAGTCGATGTCGATGCCACAGCGCCCGCTGCTGCCGCCAAACTCTGGTGAGTCGGTTCCCTGGTCGGCCCTCTTTCCTTCTTCTTTCGAGCAAAGAGGTCCCAGCTTTTTCCTCAGAATTGCTCTGAAGTGATAGGAATTGATAGAGATTTTTCTGACGGTTTTAGTGGTGTAGATTTCTTCGTGTTAGGAGTTGTGGTCATCGAAAATAAAAGTTGTGTTCGATTCTTAGAAACTCAAGGCGAAAAAGTCGATCGGAGAAACCTCTGCTCTTTCTCTATCGAAAAATATTCAATTTTTCATCTGTTACAAGCTTTCCCATACCAAGTTTAGTTCACAATCATCACGCGGTTTTTTCTCACATTTGAATTATTCCGTTAAAGTTCTGAAACCCTCCGAAATGTGTGTGGAACATAATCACACCACTTCTCAAACTGAAGCGTGATTTTCTCATGCATTTTTTGAAATAGGACGATTTCAAATCGATACGAAAGACTGTCATTTTTCTCTCCAAAGTGATTTTTTCAAGTTTTTAGCTCATAATCTCCTCAAAGTCCCTTTCACTTTGATTTTTGAAGTCATCTGATGTGTCTGATTATTGAACTAATTTTCTGGCGAAGGATGGCAAGCCCAAACTCAGCCTTTTTTTGGGTTTTTCTAACCTTGACTTTTTTTAAAGTGAAAAAAATCCACTTTACATGACCTTCTCAAGCCGCGTCCTAAGTTTCTTACACTTAAAAAATTAAAGAACTTTTCAATTTTTCGCTAAATTCCTCTTCAGTTTTGATTTCTTCAAGTCTTCTGATGACTCTGATAACATGAATGAACTAATTTTCCAGCGATGGACGACAAACCGAGACTTGGCGTCCTGCCATTCCCGTTCTGCGGCGCCGCGGCGACATCGTCGCCCTCTTCGGTCTTCCCGCCGATGTTCCCCGGCTTCCAGCAGGTCTACAACAACTTCATGCAGGCCCAGCTGCTCCATCTCGCTCAGCAACAACAGCAGCAGCAGATGATGCGATCAGGTGCCTGCAAAATTGATTGAATTTTCAAGGGTTGCCTGAAAACCTGGTTTTTGCTACGGAAGCTGTAAATGTGACATGAATCAAATCGTTTATTATTAGAAATACGCGTTGCCAAATACTCTTGAGTGACCACTTAGAGACCTACTAGCTTTAGCAGACGAAATAAAAAATTTAGATGGTCCATTCATCTCAAAGGCAAAGTGAAAAATTTCTTTTCATATATTTTTTTCATTTCAGTCTTACTATAACTTTGAGAGTCACACAGAATCCCTCAAGCTATCACTTGACACGGAGCTTAATGGCTTCTATAGTGTTCACGCTTCAATTCTCGAAGTACTGCTTCTATCTGAAAATCTAAAGTTTCCACATCCTTTTACCTAAAAGTGATGCTGTTCTTGGCCTTCACAAAAAAAGAGAACTTCTCAAGAGTTACCATAACCCGAACGCATTTCAGAAGTCTCGCCGTCGCTTTCAGACCGGGGATCGTCGCGCAGCGAGTCGCCCTCCACCAAAAGTTAGTCGTTTTCTTTCCGCTGATTTCTCATGCCTTTTGCCCGTCTCTCGGACCAACCCTTTGATGTGTGCCTTGTTTGGTGACACCTGGCTGTTGACACGAGCCGCCCCGGTGTCGCCTCCCTTTTGCCGAAACCAACTCCGAAAAAGGAGGCAAAAGGTGACGGCGGTCACTTCAAATGGCCAAAGGTGTCAACGGCGCCGCCTCGAATGTTGTAAAGTTTTTTTTCCTCGACTTCGCTGTGGTCATTCCCACTTTTTTTCCGCACGCCTAGTCAGTTTATGGGGCCAATTCATTAGCGACCTGCTCGTAACTCAAAAGAAAAGTTGCGTTTTGCTGGGAATTTCTGGAAGGTCTGAAAAGTGTCTCATATTGAGAGGAAAATAAGAGAAAAAGAGAAATGGATACTTTTTATTAGATAATTAGATTAGAAATACTCTTACAAGTAAATATATTGATTTTAACTCTCGTAGGAATGTAATTTTTTTAGGAGCTAGAAAGATCTCAAAAAAATAAAAATCATTTCTAGTTTGAAAATAAATGATTTTGATTCGAAACATTTTGTTAATGTCGATAAATTGAGTCAGCTAGTGGATGTGAATTTAACATAAATTGAAGAATATGAGCTTTTAAAATCTATTTTTCGATTTGAAAAGCTGCTTTTTGATCAATTTTTGGTCCCTTAAGGTAGTTTGAAAATTTCAGAGCAGAGAGAAAATTCTGCTTCTTGAAAAAATAATTTTTAGATGTTGGATTGTACAATTTTTTAGAAGAACCGCTTGACTAGCTGGTACTGGAATAACAGTAGTTTGCGCTCCATTGATAATTTTAAATTTAAAAAAGCTTTGATAAAGTTGTTGAAAATACGGCTTATATATAAAATGAACCAGAACTTTCAATTTGATCCCTTCCTTCTAAATTTATTTTTCATTCGCCTAGACTGTACTGAGCTGCTTCAAAACTCTCTTTCTGTACAACTAACAGTGAGCCAACGCCAACAAAAAGAGCCATTTCGGCCCGAAGAATCACTCAGATTGATAGAAAAGAAACATCACTTGGTCGTCCCCCTGAGCCCATCTTCTCGCAGAAAAGAAGAAAATCGTGACTCACGCTTGTTCCATCTCAACGAACAGAACAGACCACGACGATATAGAAAACGAAAAGAGTCGTTTTTTTTGCTTGGAATGTTGGGAGGTTATTTCAGTGCTCCACTTTGTGGGGGTGATGATAAGAACGAACGAGTTTGTTATTTTTAGTCTAGAACGATGCGATCGGAAATTTTCTGCAGAGAGTTTTTCTTCTTAGAAAAGTTTAGCTAGGGACAAGATCAGTTTTCTGTAGTGGATTGAGATTTTTCTAGTTCTCGGTTCTAATTTAGGCAAGGAGTGTCCTAGTTCAATAAAAAAATTTTTCCGATTCTTCAAAGGTTAAATATTTCAGTAAATAAGCTCAAGAGCTCTCTTTAGTCTTGTACTAATGGCGACCCCATAAATCAATTTTTTTCTTGTTCAATTTAATTTTCAAATAGTTCGAACTTGACGAAAAATGAAACAAAAGCCAACGGATTCACGCCTGAGTGACTCCCGAATGGCATACTGTAGAGTGGACTCGATTTTTTTTCTCTCTCACCATCTCAGTGTTTAAAAGACGATAGCCAAGAAGAAAAAAAAAGAAGTCGTTTTTGTGTGTAAGTTTGCCTGCAAAAGTGAGGTCATGCGCGATGAATCGTGACCGGAAGTCAGACCTCGCGACGACAGTGACGACTTCTAACGAATGGGAGAAGAAGGAGAACGACATCAACCTGGTCAGGGACGAGGTTCCCGCCGTCCGCAACGGTTACGCCCAGTTGCCTCTTTTTGTCCTTCCATCTTTCTGGATCGGAGTCAAGCTGAAGGTTTTCCAAGGGATCAGGAGTTCCGACTTTGCCCGAAATTGGTTTGGAGGGACCCTAGAAAATGAAAAAAAAAGCTGAACGTGAGAGCTCTAGATTTCTATCAAGGGCTTCTGGAAATTTTCTTGGCCCAAGTTTTGGATTGAAGCTTGAAGTTTATGGACTAACCAGGAGGGACTTTTATAATGACTAGGTGATTCAAATGAAGGCCTTTTCCTGAATTTAGCTGTTCCAGGCTTTACTGGACACTTAGTGGATCTCTTGAAAAAAAAGCTCCAAGTTTCCAAAGAAGGTGTAAACCAAGAACTTCCTTATAAGTGGCAATCGACGAGTTAGGACTGGAAAGGGTCACTTGTGACAGGTCTGACTGGTGAAAGTTGACTCTTGAGGATTGGGTGGTGCAGAAACTCAATGGATTGATGGATGAGGCTGGATAATAACATAAATTTCACACATTAGTTATCCAAACTTATATTCAGGCAGTGTTAGGCAGACTTAAAGTTTTAAAGTTTCCTTCCGTAAGATTTAAAGACGGCAACTGTAGTGCAGACTAGGGCTACAGTAACATTTAAAGAAACTGCTAGATGTCTTTTCCCACGAATCGGTCGTAAAAAAACGGAGGATGCAAATTGTGGAGATATTTGAACACCGGAGAAGAGGCTCCCACGGAAACATGAGTCGAGACAATGTAATGAGTGTGGTCGTCAACGATCCGCGACGATTTTACTGTCGTTGGGAGCCGCGAACGCGTCGAGGTTCCCACGGTGTGTCGTCGTCGTGTTCGCCTTCGCCGGCTGGCTTGTCCTAGGCTTGGGCCTGATGGCCGTAAATGGGCATTCAGTTGGCTGTAAACTGCTGCGCGCGCGCCTCTGTTTGTCTTCTTTGGCGCGAGGCGTTGTGTGAAGATTATCGTTATTCGAAAGGTCTTGTCCATGGAAATGGGCTTGTCAAACATGCTCGTGGGATTGTGGTCAATGAAGAGGTTCAAGGACTTTCGAATCATTTTGACTGGAATACCTGTTATGGGTATATTCTATTGTAGAAAGATGGAAAAAGTTTCACGATAATGAAAAATGAGTGCACCTGACTTATATACGGCTTACGCGAGGCACATAAATATTAAAAATCCTAAACTATAAATTAAGGAAACTCATATCCTATTTATGGTCTCCGCAGTGATCAAACAGAATTACCTTCTCAGGGAACATACCTTTTATGGGTGTTAGCATGTTGAAAAGGAAACAATACGTGTTGTAGATGACGCAATCCGCGCAGCTGCAAGTCTTTTTGCAGGTGTCGTCAAGTGGGACAACCGTGATACCTTCAGTTATCGCATTGTTCTCTCTTTGACACTCATTCACGAGTCTAGTATTGTCCTAATCGCTACCTCTACCTGTCCGGTGAAAACTAACGGCTCAGAGAACTAGGGAACTTTCACAAAAGGTTTGAATAATCCAAAGAAATAAGGTGGTTAAAAAATGATGGGATAAATATCCGCTCTAAAATACTTACTACCTTTTGCGGACCAACGAATTTCTTAAAAGATATCAGAAATTCCTTTGAACTTAAAAATTTGAACTTAAGCCGCAGCGCGACCGCAACACATTGAGCCATTTCAAAGTTGACGAACTTAAAGCCAAATTCATCAAAAGTTCTCAACTACAGTAAACCTTTAAGTCAACAACCTTTTGCTGTGCACTTTTCTCATCGGAGTTGATTGTTTGGACAGAAAGGCCAAATGAATTGGATCGGCAGACAATTTAGAGGCGCCAAAGTCAAAACGGCGAGCCTGAAAAGTGGTCCCCCAGAGGACTCGGTCCGGCGGCACCATCAAACGCCAAACTTTTCAATTAGGCTTCTCACAACACGCGAGAAGGCTCCCGGTTTATTTACGACGTCTCGCCGCATCGAGTGTTTTATTAGTGGACTGGGACCGGCTCCAAAAGAGTGTCGAAAAGAATTATGTTCCTTTTCTTCCGGCCCAAATATGTGTTTGTGTTGGTATATTTCATTTTTTTGCTTTTTTTTTTTTGGTCGGCAGAGCTTGCCGGCTTTTCGGGAATGAATTTTCTGGAAGGAATCGGGGATTTTGGCGGTGGAACGGGTCGAAAATTTTCATTGTTTGGTCTTGTCTGATAGGTTAATTAATTGAGCCCGAGTTTCAATTGTATTCAAAAATTATGCTGAACGAATAATTGACTCGACAAAGCCATTAAACTCTCGTGAAAAACGAGAAAGAAGATTTTTCCTTCGAAAGAAAAAAAAAGAAGCTTGACTGCGACTCATGATGTAGCAAAATGGCTACCGTAGTACTTGACGTGCCAAATATGTCGCCGATTTTATTGTCGCTTTTCGCTTTTTACGGGCCACACGTCGAAGCAATTCCAGCGGCTCGGCTTCATTTTCTCTCTGAAGCAAACATGACGACGGCGGCGGAAAGCAGCTGCTTAGAGGAGGGGTCGGGAAGCAGCACAGTTTGATATGGAAATGAGGATGAGGCGGTGATAAATTGTGGTCACTTAGCGACGTCGTCGGCGCCGACGACCTCTTCAAAAGCTCTCGGCGGCTCCGGTGATTTATGGCGCCCTGCCGCCGCCGCCGACACTGTTTTGAGTGGGAGGCTCGACGCAATTAGCGGAGATCGAAATCGACGACTTCCGATTGTGTTTGCTCGTCGTCTTCAAGGTGACGGAGGGACTTCCGGCGTCGGGAAAGTCGAAAAAGATCTGGCTCGGAGTCAAGGTTTTTCGAGACCTCGTCTTGTCTCGAATTCCAAAGATGGGTCTTAGAAATTTCTTGATTTGTCAAGGCAGTTCTTCACAAGTTTGTCGATGTCTTCTCGAACCTATGAGAAAAAAATCTCGTCTTTTTTTTTTCGAATTTTGCTCTTGTCTCGATCTCAAAAAAGCACATCTCGAACTATCCTGCTAAGAGGTGTTGTTTGGAAGGCTTTTGAGTGGATTTTCATGAATAAACAGTTCAACTTATCAGGAGTTTAAAATCACAGATTCCGTAATGAAAGCTGATCCAGAAATCAAATGCATCAAAGTTCACGCATTTAAATGAATTCCTTGACTTTAATGCTCACATTTTACTTTTATTGAACACGTCATGCCTACAAGACTCGAACACTCCTGAAAAATTCAAGTTCAAACTCCAAAAAAGCTATCAAACTTTCATCCCTATACCACTAGAAGAACTAAAATGAAGCTATGCAGAACTAATTTGCGAAAGAATTGTTGCAACCCAAAGGAGTGTCCAACCTTCGAAAAAGCCATTATGCTGAACAAACACGGGGTCTTAACGATGAGAGGCGCTCGCAAATCACATTCATTCATTCCGTTTTCCCAAGGTCTATTGGTTTGGATTGGACAAACTTTTCGGATGGTATCTGCTTGATTTTTTGATGGGGTTCTGCTTGGCAAATCATTATTCGCAGCGGCGGCGGGGGGCTGATGAGATGAACACAGCTCATTCGTTAGTCGTCGTAAAGAATTTGCATAACCCGGGCCATCCTCCTGTAAATCTCGGACCTTCAACCATAAACGACCGTCTGTCCTTTTGGCTTTGGTAAACATAGACACACGTTTAGTTATTTTTGTGATTCATTGAAACTTGGAAATGTAGGGATGACAACGGAATAATTTCAAAAATTTAGAAAGTTTTGAGGGAAGAAAAATTTGAGTTCGGATTTTGACTTTCTAGTGCCTGTTGATGACGTAAAATGACAATATTCGAAGAAAATGGCAATAAACAGTTTTCAAAACTGTAATTTTGAGCCGTATTACCATTTCAAGAGGCTTTATCGGACTATCATTTAAGAAAGAAGACAAATTTGGCTATCATATGAAGCCAAGACCAAAGAAAGCATAGTGCCGCGGATTGAGATGACAAAAAAAATTCATATTTTATTATGCAATAGTTTCATAGACAAAAGGTACATGCATACAATTGGAACAGGCAGACGCAGCTTACATAGTTGAAACACACTGATAGGTTATATTTAAACTCCAAGTTGCGGTTTCAGAACTCCCGACGGACGACGACGGGTGCGTCCTGTGCCCGGCGTGTGGCGAAAAGCTGCCCGAGGCCGACTGGGCCGTCCACGTCGAGCAGGAGAAGCAGAAGCTCGCCGGCCACATCAGCAGGTGCGTCGGCGCCGAGGCGTTTCCAGTCGGAATCGGGTTCAGCGTCAAGGAGCGGATGCTCTGCGAGCCGTCGTCCAACTCGGAGCAGGTCCGACGCAAGCGAGAGCTCGAGCTCATGCGCATCCGCAGCAACCAGCACAAACGGCTCTCTTGTGGGTTTTTGTATGATTCTCAGAGACAATAGGTAAAAAAATTGAAAATATGTCTTGCTGAATACCTAGTCCTAAGATATGACGTCATAAATGTGAAGGGACTTTTTGAGCCATTTCCTATAACTTTAGCCAGTTAAGGTAGCTGCGTATCTAAGTAATGATGGTTCTTTCTGGTCAACTTGTACATCCATCGATAGGTAGCGCATTTTTGAAAGCTTCTTCAGTACATGCGATCTTGAGATAATGTAGAAAATTTTTGAGTTACGGTAATTTTTGTGATTGGAAAATCGGTTTAAAAAATTAAAAAAAGCGTTGGCTTGTTCCTACATAAAAGGAGTACTAGAAAAAGTTGCAGAAGTTTTTTTGTAAGTTCTTTATTTTGATATATTTCCAGTGAAACGAGGCACGACCGCGCTGATTCGCGACTGCCTAACCCCGTTCAGCCGACAGGTTTTTTTCTTTGATTTTTTTCAATAAAAATTATATCTTATCAACTAAGAAGGCGAAAAAATCAGACCTTCAAATAGAAGAAATTGGCTGATTTTTTTCAAAAATTAGGAAGAAGGACACCATTTTTCTGGGAAAGTGAACTGAAATGGCGAAAGAAAGTGTAAAAATAATCATTTCTAGATTCAAAATGAAGTTCTATGATTTTAGTTTTTCTTATTCACTACCTCACCACCACAACGCTCCATTTCTGAAACTCGAAATTTCCAGTCGAACGATGAGACTGGCTCGAGTTCTTCGCCCGAAGGGAAGAAAGAAGATGATTTCGGCGCCGTCAAATGCACAACTTGCACGGTTAGTCACTACCGTAGACCGAAAAAAGAAGGAAAAGAAGAACAATGTGTATATTGTGAAGGGACTCGGCAAAACATGTGATCTAAATGATTGGAGAGCAGTTTAGAGAGATGGAGAGAAATTGGAAAGATAATGATTTTGAAATGAGCGTTAAGAAGTAGTTTTGGCACTTTTTGATGATTAGGACAAGTTTATTTAGTTATTTTTGATCTTTCAAAAAGTTCAATAGTTTGCATATGAAACAATCACTATAATGCCGTGTTCAAAGTAATTTCCGCAAAATGCAAAACTATCTCTGATTCTCCAAAAATTCAATTATCTTTTTCTCTGACGGCTATTTTGAATTTCGCGGAATCATTTTGAACACGGTATAAAGAGGTAAACTTGAAATTTTCAACTAAATTTTTTTCAAAAATTATTTTTTTGACGTGGTGATCGACACAATGAGAAGAGGTTTTTCATTCAATTTATATTAAAAAATCAATAATTGGTGGACTTTTTGTGGATCTCAATCTTACAATCGTCGGTCTGAAATACAAAAAGATTGGAAAATGGCCTAGGAATTATCGCAGGAATGATTACTGAAATAGGCTTTTTTGAACCATCTTATCAAATTATGTCGATTGTATTTGCTGGAAAAAAGTGTGCTAGGAATGGCCGTAAATGGATAATATCAGTAATCAGCAAAGTAATTCAGATTTTTCAAAAATTTGTGCGACAGAAAAACTTTTGTTCAGAAGGTCTGCTTTTGGAGCTTTCCATTATCTGAAAGAAAATTCCAAATAGCACAGGAAGTACGATTTAAGTGGCCCAGCATATAAGGATTCCTTTTATAATATACTTCATTCCATTTCAACCATAATATCAATAGAAGGTTATGTTGATTGCGTCTGCCGAAAAAGTGTGCTAGGACTGGCCGTAAAAGGATGAGATACAACTGGGACGGAAGTGATTTGCAGCGCGTGACAGACTACGGGATCGTCGTCTCGACGTTCGACAGACCTCGTTGCCAGTCCTGCTTCGACGTCTACCGTACCCAGTCCCTGCTCCTTCCCGCCTCGGTTTGACTTTTTCTTTGAGTTCCAACACAAACAGAAATAAAAAATTTATCTTGAAAACTGAATTTTGATCATTATCCTTTCGAGCTCAAAAAACTGGACCTTCTTTCTCATTTCCTGAATGAAGTAAAAGGATATTGTGCTATGAAATTTTATCATTTCGTATGTCTTTCTTGGATTTTTTAGACTCGAGCAGACTTTTTATCAAGTTCTGATGAGGTACTATCCTTTTAAAGTTCTTGAATCATCTTGGAGTATTGTAGATAAGAATATTCTCGGTGAAAGAAACTCATATTTTTCGGCTTCTCTTTCAATTTTCTCCATAAATCCGGAAAAGCTTTCATTTCCTTATCAAACCCATAGCGAAACACTGAAGTTTAAAGAAAAACCAAAGCTGGCCCTTCTCTGATTAGATTTCCTTACCGGAAGGATCAACCAACAGAATCTAATCTGATCTTTTCCGACCTGAATAGGATCTGTTGTGTGTCTATGATTGTGTGGACACCTCCGAGAAAATGAAGAAGGTGACAAATGGCAGAGGTGACGACAAATGAGCCTAGATGACAGGTGTGAGGTGGGCCATAGGTAAAAGAGGCCGCGGCGATGGGTGATCGAGTGGCGGCGGACCTTCAAACGCACCTTGGACCTCTTGGCTAATGAGATTACGCAAAGGAGAAGTGTTATCGCACATCCTCCCTTCCACTTGTGTTTATCTGTTTCGATTGATGAGCTGCCGCCGAAAAAGGAGACACACCTGCGCATCTTAATCAGCTCTCCTTTTACGGCCACTTCTTCCGTAACTTGCTTCGGCCGCCTCCTCCTCTCGATTTGCATATTCGGACTGGTTTCGTGGGGGCTTGGTAAACAATTCTCGTTGGAATGGGATTCCTTGGGAGAGCTTGAATCAGGGGGATCTACCACGTTTACAGTCCTTTTCAGACTTTTTTTTTCCAGGTGAAAGCTTGGAGGGCAAAAAACGGTTTCTGAGGAATTTTTGAATGAGTTCAAGGGCTATGAACTTCTAAATTACAGCCTAGAGACTGTTGCCTTTTGGAAATCTCCGGGCCTTTTCAGAACTTTTTCCAGCAAATTTGTGAATTTTCAATCTCCATTTATCCAGCCGAACTGAGAATTTGAGGTTCCCAACGACGCCAAATTTAAAATTCCTCAATTTCTTTCAAGCTTATCCAAAAAGTAGCTTCCTACAAAACGCGATTCGGCAAAAAATTTATCCTATTGAAAATGAAAAGTTTGAAATTTTTCTCATTGGTCAAACTCTTCAAATCAGTCCGGTGGTTTTGAGAAGTGGTAGTTTTTTTACGATTATTGGGTCTTTTTTTTTGCAAACTGACCGAAGCCTCAGATCCTCCTGAGCTTGCAGAGGCTTCAAATGAAAAAAGATTCTCCTTCAAAAAAAAATTCGAAGCCCTTAAAAAATGACAACAAAATGATGATCTTTTTGCAGATAAGCTCGTTGATCGACGTCAAGCAGGAAGACGACGACGGAAGTCCGGCGATCAAAAAATCACGCGACGAATGATTCTTCTAATCTTCCTTATCTTGAATTTGTAGTCGCTTCGCCCAGACTTGCGAGACTTTGGTCGCATGGAGAATGGCTCAAGCGTAGTTTTTGCGTCCGACCGCAAACCGCCTTACGCGCGATGATATGAGAAACCTTTGAGTCGAGTGACTCCCAAAAGAAACTGACAAATCAGTTCGTAACGACGCGTTGAGCCATTCCAAATGTGACCGAAAGTTCCAAGTCGCGGCGAATGAAGTATATATAAATATTTATGGTCATCCATCTAATCAGATTGATTCTGCGAAATCTTCTAAAATCCTGAATTATTATTTTCTGTGAACACCCCCCATGAATTTTCTGCTTATTGTAGTCCGACTTGAGAGCTCTTCAAATAACACAGACTTCATGAATTGTACAAATTTCCCTTCCACGCTACACACAGTCGTTCCTACAATTTCTAACTATTTTTTCCGAATATTTTTATTTTTTGCACGCTTTAAATATTTCAGTTGTTGGGAACGACCTTCGATTCACGCCAAAGCTCTGATCCTTCATTTTTTTTTTCTATTTTTTTGGCCCCCGTCAGGAAATTCTTAATTAAGTTGTTGTTAATTAATTCCAGATGAGATAAGAATAAAAAGTTCCAGATAAGTTTCATACTGTGTAGATCTTTTTTTTCAAAGCTTAAAGCCGGAAGTGTCGGTGAAAAAAAAAGTTGATCTCATCAAAATTTCATGCATTCTGGCACGAAATCTAACGTTTTGAGAAAGAAATTGATGTTTCAGAGAAAAAAAAATAGTTTCGTTCTTGAGAAAACGTTCCTTTCCATGAAAGTTCATGGTTTTTTTTAATCCAAAATGATTAGAAGCTCAAAAAAAATACTAATTTTATTGAGGGTTCTCTAACTGAGAAAAAACCTGTTCGGGAACATTTTTTTGTGGCTACTATAGGGTTTTTACGTTTTAGTGGCCACTATAGTAGTCAAATTAGAGGCCAATTAAGGGGGTTAAAAATTAGTGGCCACTATAGAGGTCTAAGTTTTACTACTAATAATAATAATAATAGTTTATTCACTGCCATAAAAAACATTAGGTAGTATAGAAAAAAATTATAAGTGATCAACATATGACGGGCAGAAGAATAACAATACGCGGGAAGGAGTCAACCCCAACGAGTTGACAGGTACCCGGAAGTAAGAAGAAATTTTTTACAGTAGGCGAGAAGGGATATTTTCATAAAAAGCAAGATTCGGAAGATTATTCAATTTGTTCCGAAGGGTTACTGGGGTGACGTTAAAATCTAAACATGAAGTTAATTTGTTCCAAAGAGGAATAGTCCTAGAAAGGTAGTCATTAGAAAACTGACCAGCTGTCCGTAGTCGAAGTGGATTTCTCTGTAACAGGGATTGAGTGAAATACTTATTGCGATCGAGACAATACTAGACCACAAATTTTTTCAAACAATGTGGAAAAAAAAATCTTTTTCATTTTAAACAACTCCAGAAAAAACTTGCCTTTTTTAGTTTTGAAACACTTTCTTTTTTCGTCAGGTTGGCTAGCTTCAGGAAAAAGTATATTCCGGGCCGTTTTTCTAAGACTGACTTTTAGGCTTCGAAAGACGCGATCTAGATCGATCTACAATCTCGTGTTGTTTCGTAAATTTAGAAAAAATATTCTTCCTTCAAACGGTTACTGAGTTGGTTCTGAAGTTTTCTTGACACAAAGGAAAAAAAAAAGGAAAATGAGAAATTGAGCTTTTCCTGGCCTCATGAAGCAGGGTCAATTTTTAACTTCACTAACCCGTCATATCACAACCTCGTAGATTTTGAGATCAGTTCCGCTTCCTCTTCAAGAAAAAGTGGTGTAATATCTTACAATCGGACCTTGTTGTTGACCTCGATTTCGAAAATTTGTCCCCGAAACGTGAGGCGAGGAGGGCATTCGCGGTCCTGAACAGCCGACCGATGAGTGATGGCGCCAACAGCCGGCTGCCTATCAAATATACTACGCACTCACTTCCTCCTTACATCAATTTCGAAATTCATATATATAGTCTCTCTCTCGGCCCGTTTGTCCCTTAAAACTCATAACTCTTTCTTATTTTTTTGAACCGCGACTTGAGCGAAATTTAACAACGTTGATCATTGATTCCAACTGACGTGATAAAGAACAACTGTTTTATTGACCATGGTGCAAGCTATTATGTTGACGTTCAGTTTTTTTTTTCAAATTCTAGTCGCGAAAAACTGTTAGAATCAGGAATGCGCTTCAGTTTCCCTTCTTGCCGTCTTTTGCGTGCAAGTTTTTGACTCGTTGTCGATTTAATGAAATTTTCCCAAAAATCTGTCGTTTTACAATTTATTTTGTTCTGGTGTTGTAATTACCTGTTCAATTTTATTCGCTAATCTCAAACTTAGAATTGAGGGTTTTCTTTGTGGAATGTAAAATAAGAGGTCTTTGTTTTTTTTTAAAGACCCATTGGGTTTTTCGTTGCGAATTTTCACTTTTTGTTAGCAATTGAAAAAAAAATGGTTTCCATTTTTTCATTCACGTTTCAGCTTTTTCTTCTTTCTGAAATCGCAAAGCAATTTTGTAAACAAAACTAAGAAATTCATGTTTCATAAAATTCCAAAAAACCAAATTTATAGCGGGCTATAAATGGATAAACATTCTCAGTCAGCTGTTTTTTTGTTTGTTTTCACGTTGCTGTGTTGTGCGAAAGCCGAAGATTAATCTAGGGTTTCGATGATAAATCTGACTATGAGGATATAATACCAAGGGTAGATTTATTTTTTCTTACACGAGATAAAAAGCCACGTAAATAGCAATAAAGACGAGTGTCTCACGATTTCAACTTTTTTTTCAGATAACCGTGAGGCCTTTGAGACGGGAGCTCAAATAGCTTCTCGGCACGTGAATTTAGTTCCAAGCTTTTGAAATCTCTTCTAACGTTTATCTGGTAACTCAGCGCTTATTCCAAAGAGTATTCCAGTTTTCAGAGTATTTTTTTCTAGGAAAGCCATCAAGCGAAAAATTTAATTTAATTTAATGATAAACCAAAATAAAACTTTTCAACGATTAATTTCTCCTCATAAAAGTCGTAAGAATGGAAAGGAAAATGGAATCTCAAATTTTTATTGAATTAGTACCAGCCGGTGTTTGGTTTTGATAGGAAAGATCCGTGGGAATTTTCAAAAAGAATTTCAGCTTCCAAGGAGAGGGGACCAATTGAGGATGTGTGTGAAAATGGGCTCAAGTGAGCGCACAATTTTTCGATTTGAGCGTTTTTGTTTGTGTTTTGTTCCATTGCGACATCGACGTCTTCCAAAATGAGTCGTTTCATTTCTTTTATTTTTCAAAGCTCTGTTTTGAGTTTTTTCTTTTTGCTTTCTTTCTGTCTGACTTTGACGTTGTTTTGAATAGCGCGTAAAATTGTGCCGAATTCAATTTAATTCGGAATTGGATGAGACTTACAATTGAATGAAAGGCGGGCAGAACATTGAGAAAACGCCTCTTATCAATGCGGAGCAGTGGCTAAAGGTTCTGTTTATCAGATTAGCTACTCGAGCTGGAACCGTCGCTACTTTTGCCATATGCCGCAAGTTTTAAAGTTGCTTCTAATGAATTTCATTTTTAAATATTTTTTAAAGATTCAAATTGAACGGGTTTTTCAATTTATATCGAGGAAATTTTTCTGGTGTCTTAATGAACCAAAAAAAGGAGCTAATTTTCATTCTTTTTTTTCGAATTGGTTGCTTTTCTTCTTCAAAAACTTTTCTGTGTTTTTGAAACTGTTGTGAATCATCGGAAAAAATTTAAGTCTCGAAAATTTATATCTGGTCCATCTTTTTTCTGCACTCAACTGTTCTGACTCATTTGAAGCGTGCATAAACCGGTTTCTTCTTGCAATCGTTTCAAAAGTGCCCACCTCAAAGTTTTCGAGTGTATCAAGTCGAAAATATATTGTTCCCATTCGCCGCTCCATCGGGAATTTTTTCACCAAAACAACGGAAAAAAAAGTGAAAAGAAGAAGAAGACCTGCCGAAAAAGCTGCGTCAATAATTCGTTGCCGCGTCCGCGTTGAAATTGCGGCAGATGGATTAGCCGATTCTTTCGCCCTTCCTTCTCTCAAGATATTTTCATAGATATGTGTAGTCTATTCACAACCACTTGCTGCCCAACAACCCGGGTTGTTTAGAAGAGTTATGGGCAATTTCGAAAGGTCTCGCGGCGAAATGTCCTTTTTCAGTGGTATTTCAAGCCAAGCCCGACTCCTGCACTTTTGAAAACAACACTAAAAGCGCTTTGAATCAAGTATAAATACGCCAAAGTTGAACTTACTTCAATTGTCACTGAGAATGTCTTTTCGCTGCGAGACCTTTATGAACCTTTCATGCGCTTCTTTAAACACCCCATCAAGCTGTTGTAAATTCGTGATGGGCTATATATAGATGGAACACGCTTTCTTCACGTTTATTTTTTTCGTACAACGCTACGCTCTTAACGGCTTACAGGTGGCCTTTCCTATTTCAAAATCCTGAACTTACATGTGCTCTTTTCTGTTTCAAAATCCCGGACTTGAAATCAACAGCAAGTTTTTCAGGTTATTTTTCTCAGCGATAAACAATTTGGCCCTTTGTTCCTCTCTTTTGTTTTGAAGACTTGAGGAGTCAAAAATTGCCGTCAAAATATTTAGAGCTGGAACTCATTTTCTTTGATCTCAACTCAACGGCCACAATTTCATTTTTTGAAAGTCCAAAAATGAAAGTTTCGATCGTTCCGACTTTTTTACTGAGTTTTTTTTTAAGATCTTGAAATAATTCAATAAATCAGATCAATGTAGATTGTTTTACTTTTTTTGGCTCATGAAGATTTTCGCGCTTTAAAAACCTAAATTCTAACGAACTATACACATATTTCTATCGAAACATTGTTTAAAACAGTTGTCCATTGAGTTGAGATAGAACTCCGTTTATAAAATATTTCTATTTTTAGAAGATAAAAATTCCGTCTTTAAATTAAATAAAGATTGTTAGCTTTTTTTCTGTCCAAGAACAAGCATGTAATTGAATTCCCTTTTCCGCTAGCCGAATATGTTTCGCAATGGATTGGTCTCAATTGCGAACGCCTCCGCCCATAAATAGCAACGATTTATCGCGTAATTCTTTTTTTTTCTATATTTCCCTTCCCTTTCATCCGCAGGCCGTTCCCCTCCAAATCTTGTGATTCGCTTGTTTTCGTCTTGTTTTCTTTTTTCTGAATAGATACACGTATATTTTTGTTTTTAGAGAGGTCCTCGTTTTTATTTCTCACAATATTTTTGGACATTTCTGAGATTCATTCAAATATTTACTTTGAAAGAAATTGTCTTTTTTTCAAAACTTTTTTTGGTTTATGTTCCATAGTTAAATTTTAAAACTAATAGAATGTTGTAAAAATTCAAAGATTATTCGTATTTGAAGACAGTGAAATAGATATCTATTTCGATGAGGTACTCTGAAAAAGAAATATGTTTTTTTTTTCGAACTTCATAAATTTCATTCCTGAAAAATTCTTAAAAAATTGCCGCTTTTTTCATGATAAATAGGCATGTCAATTCATTTTTCGAAAGTATATACATTTAAAAGTGACAGAATGTTTTCAAATTATCCAATTTTCGAAAAATGCCTAGAAATTCAAATTCAGAATATATTGTAAATGTGAAATAATTTTTGCGTTAAGATCTGCTGGGTTAGACTCACTTATCCTATGAAAAAAATTTTTTTAGGTCTTGATATGATATTTTCAGCCACAGTTTTTCGTTCTTTTTTTCCCTTGAACTAATCTGTGAATGTTCCTTATCCCTTTGTCTTTGAAAAAAATGAACGAATTTTTATCATTTTTTTCTTTGCTCTAATGTTCTTAATATCTTGAACATAACCGACATATTCAGGTGATGACGACCAAGGCGGTGGCGTCGACGTCGACGTCGTCGCAGAAATGGGCGGCGGAGAAGCGGCCGCCGCCAATGCCGCGACGCGACGATCGCCTCCGCTGCATCAACTCGTTCGACGAGATCACGGAGAGCGAGGAAGAAGAGGACGTGCCCGAGGTTGGTTTTGAGAAAAAACCGAGAAAAATGAGGTTGCTGTGAGTCAAAAGTCCGCAAAATATCGTGGACGTGCTGTGTTGCAAAAAAAAATCTTCGAGAAAGCGATCTATTTTTCAAAATTTAAAATTTTTTTCTGCGATATGCAGTGAAGTTTTCTGTCAAGTTCGCGTGCTTTTTCATACAAAAAACTCATTCTTATAAATTTTCGCACAAAATACGCATTCGGTGTAGACACAGTTTCAACCTACACTATGGTAGAAAAGTTCTGAATATGCATAGAAAGTTGTAAATAATTTTTTTTTAGTGTTTTGGCTTGTATAAATGTATGTTCTTGAAATTCGGGTTTTTCTCAATTGATTATGGATTGGCGTTATTCGCCTTTTTTTCAAAACTTGTTATGATGATGATTTAAAACTTTTTTTTTGTTTCAGAGACCGACCAACTCGTCGGCGAGGTCACCCTACGCCGTCTACGAACGTTCGCTGTCGCTGCCGTCTCGATCGAACTCTTTACCGCATAATCAGTACATTTCGCCTAAAACTACGCGGTAGGTCGAGCACAATGAAATTGGTTAATGAAACTTTAGAAAAAAAATTGAAAAAATCGGTCCATTTCGGGTTTGAGAAAGTTAGTGCGCTGTAAGTCGAAAACAACGAGTTTTGGCTTCCTGAAAAGATAAGTCTTCCAAATATTTGCAAGGTACTTCAGTTTTCTTCAGTCATATCAACTTTTGAGTTGCCAGTTTATACAATTGCAGTATGGACTTCATTGTTTTAGAGGCCTCTTTGTTAATTTTCATCGAAAACTCCAAAAATATGTTCGGTAAAATGGCAAAGTTTGAAGAAGAGCGCCTCATTTTTCGAAAGGATAAATGGAAACAATGACAAACTTGACCCTTGAGTGGTTAGGTTTTTTTTCTTGAACGTTTAAAAAACATCTGAAAAGTTGGTCTTTCTCCGAATTCTTCTTTCAAATAATTACAAGGAAAGTTCTTTGAGTTTACTTCAGTTACCAGTCTTATAAAATTAACGATGTTTTCAACGAGATAAACCAAAAATTAAGTAATTAATTTGACTGAAAAATGGAAAAAAAAAAAGTTTTCCAGTCGCTGGATCAATCGCTTCTTTTCGGATCCGGTGATGCGCCGAAAAACATCGCTGCCTATTTTGGGACGTCACATTTCCGACGACGATCTTCTTGGTGAGGAAGAAATAGATAAGGCGAATTTCCGTCCAAAGCAAAATGGGCTCTCTTCCAAAGAACACTCGATGGCCAATTTCTTAGGACTGCCGCCGATTCCGGAAGCGACGAGCCCCTCGGCGCCTTCCATCGCCACGTCATCATCGACTAACAACCCTGAAGACGTCACTAAGGATGACGACGCCTGACGAATCGGAATATAACAAATCAATAAAATTTTTATCGTTTTCTACGTGTATCTCTCTGTATACTGGAAGTATGATTTCTTCAATTGGTATAATTAATAAAATAATGTTTTTTTCTCGAAATTTTTCTTTTGTCGTTGAAAATGAAGAAAATATCGAAGGAAAATTATAATCGATTTGTTCATTTAGTGTACTAGGAAGTTAAGATGCAACCAAAATAATCTCGACTTAAGTGACTACTTCATTAATCCAAAGAAATCTGAACTTACCTTTTTTCGCTGCAAAAAAGTTCGAAATTTTTCTCTAGGCCAAGCTTTTCAGTACTCTAAAGTGACTACTCATGAATTTCATTGAAATCAAGGTTTCAATCTAATTCATGATGCTTAGTCCCTCTAGGGATCACTTTACCGACTCTATAGGCTTGCGAAAGTGGTCCCTATAGAGGTTTCAGTTAGTGGCCCCTTAGGGGACATGATCGTCGATAATTGTTATGAACTCTAAGCGGAAAAGCATTTCCATGGGAAAAAAAACTGATTAAATAAACGTCTTTTGAATGTAATTGAGAGATCCCTAAAGGGCCCACGTGAACTTTAGGGCCTTAGCGCTCGGACCCTGAACCCCTAAAGAAAGCACTTTTCCGATCCCTATAGGGGTTGTTTCTCCCCTCTCACCCCTATAGGGACCACTCTGGAGAAAGGATCAAGAATATTCTAAGGCGGCCCTTTTTTGTAACATTTAGGGATTATTTACATTTTTACAAACTTCTAATAAAATTGAGTTATCATCAAAGTTTTAAGAGCGCGTTTCGGAAATGCCACTATTGAAAATGACCAAAAGGCTGAAAGATCTGTTTTCCAAATTATAACACGGCCTATTGAATATAATTGCTCTCAAATGAATTGAAGCTCTCCATTTTGCGGTTAATTATTCTGACCTTTTTTTTTGAACTTTGGAAAAGATCTTTTCGTGCTCTTTTGGGTGAAATATTAAACTTTATAGGGAAAATTATTGCAAAAACTTTGAAAAACCGATTCTTGAGACCTGTCGCCGTATCAATGAACTTTAAAGGGATTTCCTCTAGAATGAAATGTTTATTTCGCTCACAGACAGATCTGTGGCGTGGAGGAAGAGAACCATGAAAGTTATATTTGCCTCCACTTCGATAAAGTTCCGCTTTATTCTAAAAATATTTTAGGTCGAAATCGAAGAGAATCAAAAAGAAAAGTAATCTTACAACATAGGTTTCTTTTGGGAGAAGCCGTTTGGTAAATTTTCTTTGAACCGATTCTAGCCTGTTTATGTCAGATTGGGTTAGTGGAGAGAATAGCTCCGATCCATACTCTAAAAATTGGTAGAATTTTTGGCTTTATAACAGTTCATAAAGTTTTTTTACGGAAAAAAAGTGAAGCAACGGAAAAAGATTATTGATTATACGAATGCTTTTTGACTATTATGTCGATATGATGATGCATTTTCAGATCGGAACTGAAATTAACTTATAAATCTCTAATCACCTCTTGTTTGGGGATGGATTCCTCTCCTATTCTATAGTCGTTCCAGATTCCCTTCTTTTACCATACCGCACATAGACGCTTTTAGAGCTAGAAATAGAGAGTTGCCTTTCTAAAAGCCAGTATCTTATTGAGTTAATGTCTGATTGCAGCTTGAGGTTATAATTATCAGTTTCTGAGCTTATGAATAATTTTACATCATCTGCATAAATGAGCATTTTGCTATGTTTTACGACACTAGTTATATCATTTATGTATATCAAGAAAAACAACGGTCCTATGCAGCTTCCTTGTGGAACCCCAGACAACACCTCGGTTTCGTTGGAGACCTCATCATTGAGGCGGACAAATTGAGTTCTATTGGTTAAGTACTGTGAAAACCATTTTTTTGTAAGCGACCTACACACCCATAAGCTTTTTAATATTTTAATAAACCTTTAAATTTTGTAACATCGAATCAAAGCATTTTGATGAATGTTGGAAAAGGCGAGATTTCCACGCTTTCGGTCACTAGATAACTTGAACATCTAGGCCTTTTCAAAGCTTCGAAGAAATTGCAACTTCGTGGCCACTTGAGTTCTTTGATGAAGAATTGAAATAATACACGCATCAAGACGAAATCAACTAAAAAGGAACCGTATTTATATCTAGATCGAATAAATCTGTACATATGATCATTTGCCGACGCCGAGACCGCTGCCAACACCGATTCCACCGGTCCCTGGAGCCTTGACGCCGACGCCGCCATTGATTCCGACGATGCCGCCGCCCTTCTCGTTCGGATCGTCCTGTCCTCTTCGGAACGCTTCCGGCGACTTTGATCCCAAGATGCCAAGGTCGAGGCCTAGAAAGTCATTCGTATAAATGCTCCAAATTAAGAGACCTCAACTCACGCCAACTTGCCACAATTTATTTATTTTCCAAGCTATCGTACAATTTTCATCGCAACCTTAGACCTTAGAGAAAGCTTGGAATCTCTCGAATCCCAATAGAGCACAGATGTGCAGAAAAAGGTCATTTTGATTTAAAAAATGGCTCTTGCCAATCAGTTACGTTAATTTAAACATGTATTTTAGCCTTTGTGGAAAAAAATCCGCGAAAAAGCAACTACCATTATAATGGCAACCAGAAGGGAACTTCCCATACAAGGAGAACTTCTTATTTTGAAATTTTCTTTTTTTTTCGAGCTAACATGTTTTTTACATGAAATTCTGGACGCCACTGTATCTTCTCGGCTTGTGTTTTGAAAAAAAAGAAGATTAAGAGCCTAGAAATATAATTCTCACAAGCTAATACTTTTATTTGTTTTCGTGGCTTGCCAACTTGCCACAACTAAAAAAAATGTAAGAAAAATACAGTATACCCAACCAGCTATTTGCGCAAATCGCTTCGAGACGACCTCTCTCTACTCACCAATACCGACGCCGACACTTTCACCGACGCCTGGAAGCGGTCCGACGTCGACGCCCCAGCCGACGCCGACCTCGAGTCCTGGAACCGAGCCAACGCCGAACCCGAAGTGGCCGTTGACATCGACGTGGCCAACCTAGAAAACAAATGATTTCCCAAGTGATCTGAAATTCCTCCTCACGGATCGATCTCCGATGGGTGGTCCCATCCGGGGACCTGGGAGACGGTGGAAGTTTGGCACGTTGCAGAAGACTGCGTAGTCCTGAAATCCTTCGGTAGAAATATTCCGAGTTGAACTTGCATGCCTTACCTTGCAGAACTCGACGAGGTCGATCCGCAAAGGCTTACTCGGCTGACAAGTGTAAGCGAACATTCCGCGCATGTCTGAGCAATAGGAATCGTCTTTCGGATGCTGTCCGGGGTAGACTCTGCAGAGAGAAGCTGTTTGGAAAAAGGTCAGAGTCGGTTCTTCTTTTATTTTGCTCATATTTCATTTTTTGGGTTCTGAACTTTCGACTCTGATATGGAGCGACTCTTTCTCTGACACCCACTATTTCGTCGTTATCTAGCTGAGAGAAAACCACGAAACAGTGTATGGCAGATAAAGAGTTGTGGCGCTCCATTTCAGAGTAACTCTCCGGAAGTTCAGGACTTCTTTTTAAAAATAGGAAATTGAGGATTAATTTCCTACAATTATCAAGAAGTTTGCGACTTTTTCGTCTATAGAGTCTGTTCAGATTTTTAATATCAAGTGCAGTGACGTCATTCAAAAACACTCTGTGGATGGCTCGCTCTCTGATGGGTTTATCGCACCATTAGGGGCGGAGCTTGAGCGACGACTTGACATTCAAAATCTGAACAGACTATATTTGAACTGTGAGAGGTACAAGATAAGTCGCGGAGATATACATGTAGAAGAAGTAGAAGAATAAGGAAAATCGAAGAGTGTTCGATAAACTTTAGAGATAACTACATTTTCTAGAAAACAAAGAACTTTCCCGATATATGTTACACATCTAAAGAGATTCCGAAAGTTCTCCTTTTAATCAAAGTTTACCGTACCTATAAAGCAAGGCGTTATTAGATGTTGGCTGGTATTGATACCCATATTGCTGGTACCGTCCATACTTGTATTTTCGACGGTAGGATTTTCTTTCAGTTGGTGGTGACCTGTAATTTTCCCATGTATTTTCCAGATGTCAACTTTCGAACCGAGTTGGAAGTTCTTCAAACGGATCTTCTTCGGTTAAAGTTTTCGACTCGCTCTTCACGTCGGCCTCTTCTTCGATGAAGCCATCTTTTGAGTGCTGAAATGATGAGAAAGTTCATTTTTTCCCCGTTTTTGATAGAGTAGCCTTCTTCTGTCGAAAAAGTTAACTTATCAAGTTAAAACTGATATCTGACTCAAAATGCAATTTCGAAAATACCTTTGAAAGTGTTTCAAGGCGCTCAGCCGTCAGTCCTTTGTCTGATTGGAGTTTTGACGCCGCGGCTCTTCTCAGAGCGTTACGATAACGTTCTGAAGATTTCAAGATGTTTTGAAAAAATCGTAGAAAGAGAGTAAAATATGAATAAAGTTCAGAAACTGCAAAATTCGAGCCAGGAACGAAAAATGCGTCACCGATTCTACATTGACGCTTTACGCGTCCAACACGGCTCTCATTGTCGGTTTAACAAAGTTTTATTACGTTTAATCAATATTAAAGATATTTTTAAATCAATGTGATAAAAAAAGTCCTTGCCTGTCTTGCACATATCCAAATGTGGTTCTGCTCGGCACATTTCGGCCTTTGAAAAACGTCAGGAACTTCTCGCATCCTGAATATTTCATTTAAAAAAATCTGATTAGAAAAAAATAACTATTTTCTCAATGTTTGTACCAAAAAAAGCTAGAAGCAAAGAGTAGCAAGTAGAAACTCTGGATTATAGAAAACGTTATTTTATGGAAAAATAAATAAACTACCCAAAGAATGATTTTTTGCTTTTTAAAACTTGTCAAAAAAATTTTTTTTTAAGATTAACGAAAAAAATCGTGTGAAAAAAAGAATTTAGACGTGTTTGTAGGACTTTAAGAGTTTGAAATTGATACATTTAATAACAAAAATCTTAATTAAAGGTAAATTCACCTGCGACGGAGAAGACGACGAACAGAAGGCCAACACGTCGCATTTGGTTGCGACGACTGACAACGGCATTGTTCACTTCATTTATCACAACTGGCTAGCAATCGATGCGAAACCCTGAAATTTACCGAGAAAAATTCTACGCGCTGTACACATCATATGCCCCAAGGTTGATCGTTGATGATCGTTTCAATAAGAATTTTTTTTCGATCAGAAGGTTGTTCGAGTGTGAAAGTGACTAAAAAGAAGGCGTTCTCCAGAAATTTTTCCGAGAGCATCTCGATTTTTTCAAAGAGATTGTTCGAAGCAAGGTAAATAAAAATGACAAATTTTCAAGAAAAATGGTGTTTCAAAAACTCTTTGGAAAGTCTCTTGTTTAAAAACTCCTTTTACGAAAGTCTCAAAAAGAACAACGCGCAAAGAAAAAACATGTGAATACTTTTTTCCATGAACGTTTTCAAAGAGTTTCCACTGACCTGAAGAATTGATCAACTCAGAAATTTACATCCTATATATCATTTTTATTTTAAAAAAACGTTGTATTTAAAAAAATCAGGTTTTTTTAGAACTATTAAGAAATCATAAATCTTGGTTCCGTTAACGCTTGCCATCAATTTTTCCATAAAAATAAAAATTTAAGGGTTCAACACTGTAAACATATTAACATAATATGTCTTATAAAGTGAAGGGTAGCAAAATCACTTCGTCCGTTGAAGCATAAAATTTGAAACTGAAAAAGTCGATAGGGAGTGAGGAAGATCTTCGAACTACGTTTTTTTATACGCAAGTCAAAACGTAGGGACCGCAAAGCCACGCCCCTTTTCGCGATAGAAAAAGTGGCTTTTTTTTGGTTTTCAACTTTCATTTTGTTGTAGTTGCAAAATATGTGGAACTGGCGAATAAAAATTTGACACACATGTACAGAAAAAGCTTCCTCTTTCGTTTAAAAAATATTTCACGCTTTTTGATGCGTTCTCGCGGAATGTCGTACAAAAAAACGTGAATGGAACTAAAAAAATTTTTTGTCATTTTTGCTTTTTTTCATGTGTTTTCAGGTCGAACGCACTCTTTTTTTTTTAAATAATGATTTTGATTCAAGTAACGAAAATTTTAAAACAATAAAATAAAAAATTCGTCTTTGCCAAAAATTTTAGGGAGCGCCGAAAGTCATAATTCAAAATATCGTTAATAAGCGAATATAATCAAGTTTTTGTTTTTTAAAAATTTAGATCATGGCCTTACTTAAATTTTTCTTCACAGTATCTGTGCTTGAAATAGTTGTTTAATACGCAAAAATGCTCTTGAAACTAGAGAATAAAATTAGCGGCGTTTATCACACAGAAAGCGGCCGAACGCAGGTTTTTTAAACGATTATATACATTTATTAGTGAAAAATCTTTCAATTAAAAGAATAAAATAAAAAATTCGTCTTTGCCAAAAAATTTACGGGGCCGTTTTAAGGCAGCGATCGTTAAACGAGGAAAAAAGCACTAAAAAACAGTTTTTCGAAGTGAATTTTCACGGAAAGTTTGAGTAAAGATTTGCGAACATATTCTGATAAAAATAGCTGAATTACTTCAAGTTTTTATTTTTGAAATAGGCAATCTGTGCTATCTAAACGGCTCAAGGGTAAGGCGGATGGAAGCTCCCTTGCTAGACCTAACAGCTTGGCGCAGCGCGTGCGCTGCGATTTTTCATTTTGAGGTCGCGAGTTCGATGCCCGCAAGCGTCAGTTTTTTGTTTTCTGGAAAATACCGACTTTTTCGGCAAACTAGCTGATGAGCATCATTTTAGCACTCTATTATGATTTGTTACATCATAATAGACCAGTATCAAAACTTGTTCTAGAAGAAAAATCGAGAAAAATGTCAAAAATGGATAATACCAAAATTTCAGTACTAAAAAAATGGTGCGCGGCGCGCCACATTTTTCGTCATAACTTTTTTCATCCTCAATCTTTTTCGAAAAACTAAACGGTTCTGAGTTTTGAATCGAAACAGCTATCAAACCATACAAAGCTCAATGCTGAAAAAAATTTTTTGAAAATTGGTCTGCGGTCCCTATCAAAACGTTCTGTAATTTATGGTGTTTAGGGTGTAAACACACCTTTACGCACTATCGCACACTCCAAAACTTTTTCCAATTCTAGAAACTGCGATTCCAAGGTAATAGTTCCTGAAATGTTTTAACACACGTTCTCCGAGATTTTCGATTAACCGTTGGTACAAAAATTTCATCTTTGTTCCTGAGAGCTCTTCTTGCTATCATAGATAGTGAACAACCTCTTGAACATTTAGAACTAGGTTTTATAAGGCTCCGCCCACTTTTAGGCTTACTGTAGAAAAAACACCGTAAAAACTAAACTTTTTTCCTAGTGGAGCAAATTGGTCCAAACCAATTTTAAAACAAAATGTGTTCTCTTTTGACCATTTATAGTTATAGAACTGACCCGGAAAAATTTTTCTTTCAGAAGAAAAAAATTCAAGTTTTTGAAAAATAGCGTTTTTCGCAGTCTTTGAGTCATAACTATTACTAGAACCCCCGAATGCCTGGATTTTTATTTTTTCAATCGACGCGTTAGGGTCTTGTGAGTAGAGGAAAAATGCCTAGAAACATTGAATCCGGGTGATCCAGTTGACCTCCATCTCGAAGAACGCGGCCAACTTGAAAATCGCAAAAACTTTGAAAATTTCTATTTTTTGTGAAAGCCGGATTCCGTCTTGTTTCTTATTTTCGTTCAACATAACACACCTTGCTGCAAAATTGCAGCTCAAAAGTAGCGAGCTGCGAAACGCTTGATTTCTGACGTTTTTCTGATTTTTCGCTTTTTCGGCATTTTCAAACTTTTCACTCTAACATTTGTACTAGAGCCCCCGAATGCCTGCATTTTATTTTCAATCGACGTTAGGGTCTCTGTGAGTAGAGATGTCTAGAAACTCTGAATCCAGGTGATCAGTTGACCTCCATCTCGGAAGAACATGACTAACTTGAAAATGACTAAATTTTTAAAAATCAGTTACTTCTGAGCAGGATTTTCTCCTCACTTAATTTGCTAATCAGGCACAATCCACCTCGACACAAAAATTAGAAACAAAAGTTAAGACTCTCAAGCACAACTGAAAAATTTTCCACTCACCTTCTCGGACTTTTGTCCAAAATAATTTGATCAGCTCGGTCCAGCGATATTCAGAGAAAGAAATACAAAACAAAACGCCACAGGAAGGAGAAGCAAGTCTCCTCCTAGATTCTTGCGAGCCACAGAAAGCTTGAGATATATTGATCATGCCTATGGGGCCGAGAGAAACATGCCATGTCGAAAGTCTTGAGTAAACTCGAGGAATTGAAATGAGAAGCCATCTTCTTTTGGACTATTTTTGGGTCTATTTCCCTGATGATCGATGTAATTCCTCCTAGAAAAACTTGCAAAAACGAATTTCTTCAAAAGTTTCTAGAACCCGGTCATAGACACCACAGTGCAAGGACGCTTAGCCACTGCACCACGCTGCCAACTGTGGTGCAGGGCTCGATACGCGAGGGACATTCCCTCTGCGTATGCTCTTATTCAGCGTGCAAACTTTGAAGCTTCATAACTCCGAAAACGAGATCTATTGCGAGAAATTTTAATCGTGTTCTGGAAAGAGGAGAGTCTCATAGTACCTTTCAGCAAAGTTTCAACACAAAGTTCAACAATGTACCACACACTCCCCTTTGTCAGTATAAATTTTGATTCTTTTCGGTTGGAAATAGTTTTGTCTCTGCTGCAGAGAGAAATTTTGTTTCAACCTCGAAAATAAGGAGAACTTGAACCTCCGTGCGAAATCCATGATTCATCTTAGCTCAAAAGCTCAGTCAAACAATTGGTATCGATAAACAAGACTCTTACTTTTCATTAAAATAGTAGTCACTATTTTTCGTAAGTAGTGTCTTTTACGTAAGTTGGAACTTTCTTTTAGGGCATAATACCAGGAAGTTCCAGATTATCCGACAGACACGGGTATTGCTGGGGCAGCCTCCCGTCGAAAACTTTAAAAAATTGTGACAAAAATAAAAATGAGCTAAAAATAAAAATTGACGCTAGCAATGGGTGGAAACTACACTGAAAACCCTCCGGATGATGAGAACTACTGGTTAGGAAGCAAAAAAACGGTTTGGAAAATTTTTTAAAATTTTTGCTCGATTTCGAGGTCGACCGCTTTGGTTGCTTGGAGGTCAACTGGATCACCCGGAAACAGAGCCTGGGAATATTTTTAAAGAACTTGGGAAGATGTAACGGATCAGTACAACGAAAAAACTCTAAGCATTCTTGGTATCCTAATCCAGTAGAGCTCAATAATTGGAAAGGACAGAAAAAAAAATGAATCCGAGAAAGTGGAAAATTGGAAAAAAATAATTTTTCGTTGTGCTTGAGAGTCATAACTTTTTGTTCCAATTTTGTGTTGAGTGGATTGTGCCTGATTAGCAAATTGAAGTGAGGGAAAATCCTGCTCCCAAGAAAGTAACTGATTTTTAAAAATTTAGTCATTTTCAAGTTGGCCGCGTTCTTCGAGATGGAGGTCAACTGGATCACCCGGATTCAGAGATTCTAGACATTTTTTCTCTACTCACGAGACCCTAACGCGTCGATTGAAAAAATAAAAATCCAGGCATTCGGGGGCTCTAGTACTAGTTAGAGCGAAAAGTTTGAAAATGCCGAAAAAAGGAAAAATCAGAAAAACGTCAGAAATTTTTTTTCAAAGGTTTGCAGCTCGCTACTTTTGAGCTGTAATTTTGCAGCAAGCTGTGTTATGTTGAACGAAAATAAGAAACAAGACGGAACTCGGATTTCACAAGAAATAGAAATTTTTCAAAAGTTTTGCGATTTTCGTTGGCCGCGTTCTTCGAGATGGAGGTCAACTGGATCACCCGGATTCAGAGTTTCTAGGCATTTTTCCTCTACTCACAAGACCCTAACGCGTCGATTGAAAAAATAAAAATCCAGGCATTCGGGGGTTCTAGTACTAGTTATGACTCAAAGACTGCGAAAAACGTCATTTTTCAAAAAACTTGAATTTTTTTCTTCTGAAAGAAAATTTTTTCCGGGTCAGTTCTATAGCTATAAATGGTCAAAAGAGAACATATTTTGTTTTAAAATTGGTTTGGACCAATTTGCTCCACTAGGAAAAAAGTTTGGTTTTTACGGTGTTTTTTCTACAGTAAGCCTAAAAGTGGGCGGAGCCTTATAAAACTTGGTTCTAAATGTTCAAGAGGTTGTTCACTATCTATGATAGCAAGAAGAGCTCTCAGGAACAAAGATGAAATTTTTGTATCAACGGTTAATCGAAAATCTCGGAGAACGTGTGTTAAATTCTTTAGGAAAAACGGAAAAAGTCTCACCACTGGGAAGAATGAAAGTGTCGCCGACTCTGAGCACGACTCGGGCACAAACGTCGACGGATTTCCCGAAAAACCCTTTGTCATCTTCGTTCTTCAAGTGCCGTTCATGCTTCCGTAAGTTTTCGGGGGTTGGCGGGATTATGAAGAAGACCTGAAAACAGAGGATAAGCTTTTCAAAAAAATTTCGAGTACAAACATTTTTTACAGACTTCATTAACAGCTTTTGAACGTTGATTCGGAATCAGCGTAGAAAAATGGATTCACTGAACCTATTATCATTGAAAATCTCAATTTGAGATGTCTCACTATTAAAAAAAAACTATTATAAACTTTTTGGGGTATGAAAAAAAGACCGGCGAAAATTCGAACGGCGGCTTTTCCGATTTTTTATATCGCTAGAGAACTTCCCGACGGCCACCTTTCCGACTTTTTTCCCCTATATTTTTCGGGTTATAAAACATCTATTATTTTTTTCTATTTCTTTGTTTTTTTAAACATTGCCTACTTCATATAGGAAGATTAAAAAAAGACGAGTATATCGAGAAAAAAAGTCGGAAAAAAAGTTTCGTCGGAAAAGTGGCCGTCGGAAAGTTCCCTAGTCATATGAAAAAAATCGGAAAAGTTGCCGTTTGAATTTTCGCTGGTCTTTTTTTCATAACACCAATTTTTTTATTATCGAATTTCCTATTTACATTAATGCCTGTGGAAAACCACAAGGAAAGCTAAAAAAAATCATGATATTACAAAGAAAACCTAAGGAACGATTGTCGAAAATTTTTCTGTTTCAAGCCAAGGATAACTTTTCTTTTTCCCTTATACATAATTTATAGTCGGTCAATTTTTCTGTGAATAAACAATTTATAAACCAGCTGAAAATCAAAAGACGATGAATATCTTGGCTACAAAACTCGATTCAGCGTTCTTTCTCGAGAATTTTTGCGCTTTTTTGGTAAAACAAAACACCTGAAAATCACCTTTTCCCCTTTAATTACATGCAGCCACACGGACGTCCCGCCGAAATCGACGTGGAAGTCTGTATAACTTGAAGCGACGCTCATTTGGCAATAGCTGAAATCACACCGTATTTTTACATCCTTCATTGATCCCGCGAAGTTCAAAATAGCCGTCAGAGTGTGGAAAAAAGATAACTAAATTTTGAAGGGTCAGAGATAATTTTAAATTGTCGCAGAACTCACTTTGAACACGGTAATACAATATTTTGCATTGGAAAACTTGCTAACTCGGAAAATCTTTGGTATATTGAACTGCAAGGCTCTTTTTTGAGAAAGTTGCTTCATCAGCTCAAAGAAAAAAGACTTGAGCGTAGAAAACATCATCAACTTTTCATTTTTAAATCTATTTAATATTAACTTCATTTGAGGCAACCGGATTTGAACAGGTCTAAAAGTGTCCTTTCTCGATAAATAGAAAGTTATGCCCGTTCAGACTTTCAGAATATTTTTCTGGAACGTCAAGACTTATTGTAACGATTATTCAGGCAGTTTACTAGTCCAAAGAAAACCTCATTAAATATATTTTTCCTAAAAAAACATATTTTTTTATACTTATTTTCATCATTCTTTCGAGATTCAGCTCACTTTTTTTATACACGGATACTTTATGAAGGGCGTATAATGTTTGCCGTCGGGTTCAAAGTTGATTTCTCGCGTTTTGAGGGCATCCGGCCAGTTGTTTTCGGCCCAGCAAATTCTGCGGACGACCTTCGGTCCACGGACGAGGTCCTAGAATTAAAAATGAGAAAAATTACAAAGTAATTGAAAGTCTAAGTATAAACTTTCGCTAATGCCTGTAAAGGAGCATACACAAGTTTTATTAGAGGAATGGGAAAAAAAAAACGGCGTTTTCAAAGTTATTTCGCAAAAATATGACAAAGGGCTTTCAAGCAGTTTATAAAACAAAAATCATGGAAAAAAAATGGAAAAAAAAAATGTGAAAATATTATTATTAAATCGTCGCTAAGAAGTTCAGAGAAGCAAAGGCAAACTTTAAATGGGATCAAGGCGGAATAATTTTTCAGGGTTACTTTTTAAACACCCCAGCAAGCATTTTTTATCAAAAATCGACGAAAATCAGGAAAAAATAATAATAAAAACTCTGTAGAATCGAATCAAACACACTTGCTGAGAACTTCATTGGAGACAACTTTTATGAAAGCAGGGCAAACTTTTCAGCGTTATTTTGAGAAAATTTGGCTCTTTTGAACTCCTCAGGAAGGATTTTTTGAACAGACTATGAAAAAAAGGGTTGAAATCATCTTTTCGGGCGATTTTTAGTTCAATGAAAGATTTCTATTTTTTAAGCGTTGTTTTGCAAAACTTTGGGCCTTTCAGACTCGTTAGCAATGATTTTTGAAAAGACTATAAACTTAAAATCGCTCTGAATCATATTTTTTTCTAAAAATTCGTTTCACAAATGTTTTTTTCCAGTTCTCATTTTCAAGAATTTTTTTAGACTGATAAACGTTTTTTTAAATGCAATATCAAGCATTCTGATTTTTTTTAAAGTCCATAATAAGCTATGTAAAAGGATAATTCCGCTCACAAAAATTTTTCGATGAAAAAATTCAAAGGAAATCGCAATTCAAAAATAACCAATTAAAATGTCTTTTTTCTTCTCACAAACTTCATAAGATATCACAAACTTCAAGCGGGGTGTTCGAATATTCCAACGAGAGGACATTATAACGGTCGGGTCGCTTCTCAGGCGGTAGACTGCAAGAAATTCCCTCATTTCCTTTTATTAAAAAAAGGGAAAACTCACTTATAGTACTTTTTATAAACTGTTTTAAAGACATCTTGATGGTCGACTGGTCTTCAACCTTCAAAAAAATAACTTCTCGAGTAAGGGTTTTTCAACGTTCAGCTTCTTTTTATTGGAAAACAAACCGTTTTGATCATGAAATATCCAAATTTTTAGATAAAAATCTTGAAACTAAAAAGCCAATTTTTACTTGCATTTTGAGTTTCGCAAAAAAATCTGGTTTAATATATTTGAAGACGGCTTTTTAAATTTTCCAAACAATAAAGGTCAATTTTTTTATTTTAATGATGTGAGCGATTTCGGCGGCGATTTTCTCCGCAAAAAAATCCAAAAAAACATCTTTACCTCTGAAAAAAATTATAAATTCAACTTTACTATGTGCCAATTTTCGATAAATCTTCAAAAACCAACTCGAACGACTTCGATCAGCCGATTCCCGCCAATCAGCTTCAGAACGTCGTTGACCGAAAAGTTTCGCGAATCGGGAATTCTGATAAATATCCGTAATATCCATCATTTTGTATTTCCCTCACGTCATTCCAAGTTCAACCGGGTCACAGTGGAACAAAATTGGCTTTCTGAGCCCCGTTCTTCTGTAGTAATCCTCGTTGAACTCTGAAAAAAGCCTTGTTTTTCAAATTATAAAATTTAAAAAAACCTGCAGGATCCGGCGAACATATTAAATCCGGTTTATTGAAATTGGGGTCTAAAAAAATAAAGGTTAATAAAAAAATTAAAAATAAAACTTCTTTTTCGAAACCTTTCATAAGATCCTCGTAGTCAAATTCCGGTGTTTTTTCATAATCTGCGGAAAATTTCGGAATTTTCTTCGGGATTTTCTTTTCCTAAATATTTTTCTATTTAACAAGGGACCTTGAATTTGAAAGAAACCTTCTTGGAACCCGGAGGTTCTTTTTTTCCGGCTACCATTTTCTTCACTTCCTTCTTCTTTCCGGGACGTTCGTCTTTCTTCGGTCGACCTTTCGGTACCATTATACTTGAAAAAAAGTAAGATATTTTTTTGACATTAAAAAAACATTTTTTTCCTTTTTTTCATTTTCCGAAATACATCAATTTCTCACCTATTCTTTATGTAAGTGGATTATTTCGATCAGTTTCCACAGTTAAGTAATTTTTCAAAAACCTGGAAATAAGATATAAAAAAACAGTTGAAATGAAGTCTGTTCAGAAATTCTCGCTGAGGACTTTGAAAGCCCTTTTTGACCTGAAATCACAAAAAACGGGGTTTTTCGAGTAGAAACTTTAACAACATTATCCTAAGCTTTTTTTCAAAAACCCTACATAAGGCTCTGAACAGAATAGACGTAAGAAAAAAACTGCAGAAAAAAAGGCGTTTGAAAAAAACAAAAAAATATTTTTAAAAGTTTATAAAGGACGAAAAATATTAAAATTTAAGTATTCCAATGACAATTATTAACTTTCATACAGCTTGAAGATTGAATTAGAAGCTTTTTAAATGATAATTTTCCTTCAAAAAAAGTTAAAAACAAAAATTAAAAACAAAAAAATTTTTGCGTGGCCCAAAAATTTGGAAAAAAATCGAAAAAAATGCCCCTTTTTCAGTGGCGCGCAATTGCATCGGTTCATTTATTTCGTTCTCAATTTGCTGTTTCTCGTTTTTTTATTTATTTTTTTAGTTTAGTTTTATTTCTTCATTTCGTAGAATCCTGCCTCAACAAAAAGCAGGAGATGTCGTTGTTCATCATCGAATAAGAAGAAGGAATGGGGGCGTTCCAAGCCGGTCAAAGCAGCCATTTTTTCTGAGCTTTCCGGGCTTTTTCACTCAAAAAAGGTTGATTTGTTGAAATTTCGTTTTTTCCTCCACTTATTCTCAACTTGTTTCAATGAAAAGAGCCCCTGATCCCGTTAGAACCGTTTTTTTTTCAATTCCGAGGCAGGTTGAGCCAATAAGGGAATCATTTCGAACAGTTTGTTTAGACTTTGAATGTCAAGTCATCGCTCAAGCTCCGCCCCTTGTGGCGCGATAAACCAATTAGAGGGCGGGACATCCACAGAGCGTTTTTAAGGGCGTTTTCTTGGGAAAAGTCGGTCTTTTCTGGGCTTTTAAAGGCTCGAGAAATGGTGGAAAAGGGGAGAGGCAGCAAAAATGGTGCATAAGGGCTGAGAAAATGGAGCAAAAAGGCAGCAAAAAGGAACATTTCTATAAAGTCTTTTTCCACTCTTTCTGACTTTCCCTATGACTGTAGTTGAGATTTTCAAATTTGAACAGACCTTAGACCTTAGAGCTTCAGCTCACGGAATTCCTAAGGGGGTGAGGGAAGGCGAGCGAGGCGTCAAAGTTTCTGAATTTACAAAAAAAAGTAAGTGCGCGCTTCGGATAAAAAGACTGTGACGTCACAGATACCTATACGTTGCAAATTAAACTGAGTATTCAACGGCATGAAGAATACATATGGCTGCGTACTTGAGATTTCAAGTTTCGCGCCAAAATTTTTTTGACGTCTTTGGGAACGCCGTGAAGCTGTAATTTGAGCTGAAAGTTCCAACTGAGGAAGTTTTTTCGAATTAATCGAGAACTCGACTCGATTCGAACACACGATCAATCACCTTGACGACACGTGTACCCGCCGTGGCGAGGAATGTATTTTGGAGCGAAAAAAGATTGGCATGTGACCTCAACTTTCAACTGAAAACAGCCAAAAACGGAAAGTTCTGGGGCTATTTTGGGACCCGGTTGGTTGGATGATCCCGTTCTTTGATGATCATTGGGGGAGTATTTTTGGTAGCAATCTGAATTATATTGGTTATGGGCATGAGGATCGTGTAATTTTCAACTTTTTGAACTTTTTAAACTATTTGAACCCCTTTGGCTTCGTTTCAGAACAAGGTACATTATGACCCAAAAATTTTCGTTTTGAATTTTTCTCAGTTTTGATATTGAAATTGTTGAGCTTTTTCCAATTTTTTTCGAAAAAAATCAAGCTTTCATATTTGAAAATGAGTAGTTTAAAGCTTCTAGAAAGGCCCTGAAACTTTTTAGAAATATCTTTTTGACCGTAAAACGATAAAAATTGATTAAATAAGACTTTTCGAACTCAAAAGCGACCTAAAAATCAAGGAAAAGGTACCGAAAAGCAAATTGATAAAGTTTTAAAAATTAAATTCGAGTTTTTTTCTAGTCTACAGAACCCTGAAGCTTTCCAAAATTACCAATCTTAACATTTTTTTAAAATTTCCTCAGAATGCTCAAGCTCAAAAGTTCCTTAGAAGCCATCTAAACCTCAAAATGGCACCTAGAAACTGTAGCTACTTCCAAAATCCAAAAAATCAGATCCAGAAACATAGAAAAAACTTTGAGCAAGTCCATAAACCCGTTGAAAAACTTTGAAAACCACCTTTGTCGCATTTGTAATGGCTTCAATGGTTGTTTTTCGAAACCGCAACGCGACCGCGACGCTTTGAGCCATTCTACAAGCATTCTAGATAACGTGTAGGAATTCGAATCTGATTTTCCGATATGAAAAAAGTAAAAGCCGATAACTTCTTGTAATTAATAGATCTACGACCAACTTCTGAAGAACTGGAAAATTTTTAGTGGCCACTTTAGAGGCTCGCCTAGGACTACTTGGAGAGGACACTAAAGTGGCCACTAAACCCACCTCTATAGTGGCCACTATTTTCCGTTTTAGTGGCCACTTCAGCTGTTTTTCATCCAGTATTCCTTCCAGTAACTCTGATAATTTTAAAACAAACAGATTGGACCAGTTTCGATCCATCGACCCCTGAAGTGGCCACTAAAATTTTTTGTGATCTAGTAGTAGCACTTAGACCTCTAAAGTGGCAACTTATTTTTAACCCCTTAAGTGGCCACTAATTTGACCGCTATAGTGGCCACTAAAACGTCGAAACCCTATAGTGGCCTCTAAAACTTTCCCAGATAGTCCATTTTCCACATCCAGGAATGGCAGAGATTTCTCTGCGCCCTCTTTCTCTCTCACGTTTACGTGCTATTTTCACATTTCTCTGACCCCGCCGGTGAGGGAACAGAGGGCGCAGACAGGCCAGAAATTTCAAGAAGTCTCGAAATACAAAAGAAATAAACACTATTTTTGAGTGACTACGAAAGAAATACCCGGCCGTACAAATCTAGTAGTAGCACTGAGATCCCTGAAGTGGCCACTATTTTTTAACCCCTCAAGTGGCCGCTAACTTGACTACTATAGTGGCCACTAAACATTTTCCGAGAAACTCGCCACGACTCCTACAGTACCCCCTCAAAGCTCCCTCTCTCCATACATCCTTGAGAGGCCGGAAAGTGGGCGTGTCGGTGTGAGAGCGTGTGGGCGTGTCGTCGGTTTGGCACGACGCCAACGTGGTCTCAGAATGGTCTAAGGGGGGGCCGCGGCGAGGAGGGGGGCGGAGCTTGGAAAGGAAGCGATATAAAAGCGCGACGACGCGCACCAACCAACCGTCCAAACCGACGCGACAAAAAAGCCGAGATCTACCTGAGATCTACCTGTTTTAATTCCATCAACTGAACAATGATTAGCATTATCCACCAGTCCCGCGACACTTTGGAGTTCGCCTCCTACCGGCGTTTCAAGCCCGCCCGGCCGGCCAGCTCTTTATGGTTCGTTTTTATTTTCTTCTACTTTTTTATTTATATATATTTTTTTCCTTCATTATCATTTAATTAATCAAATAAATTTTCAGTAGCTCCAGTCCCCGCCCACAATAGCCGCGCTCTTGCCAACCAGCCAGCCGATCTCAAAACAAAAATCTTTCAACGGCCGACGAAAAGCTTTAACCCCATTTTCTAGCCCCTATCCAATTTCATCGAGCTTACCGAACCCTATGTCATTTTGTCTGTACATAAATGTTATCATATTTTCTATTTATGGTCTTCGAATCAACAAAATGTAACAGCAACAACAAAGGAGAACGAAATGGTGTACTTGATTGGGCTAAAAGGGCACTTGGAACGGTGGAAAACAAAAAAAGGCTTGTCTGAATGAACTAATAAGGAAATTTGAAGCTAGATGACTCAAACTAGGGAGAAAAATTGAGTTGGAAACCGTTTTTTAGTCGAAATTTCAGAGTCTGAACTTGAAAAAGAGAAAAATGGATAGATCAAACTATAGAGAAAAACAGAAATTCAAAAAAATTTTTTTGATCGATATTTTAGATTGAGTCGCATTGGACCAAGTTTGAGCTTCAAAAAAGAAAAAACATTTTTCCATCTAAAATCTTGAAATAATCTCACTAAAAACAAAATTTTTCGGCTTCTTCGTCTCAAAAAAACTTCAAAAAAAGCACCAGAAAAGATCAAAAAATCTTCAAATTTCAATACAAAAGAAACCAAAAAAGAAAAAACAAAAATTCAACAACATTTTCAACTTCAAATGGATTCAACAACACATAAAATCAACAAAACAACAACAAAAAAGGGAAAAAATTAGAATTTCTTGGAGTTTCTCTTGGCGGCTCGTCGCTCCTCGTGCTCTTCCCGCTCAGACTTGATCGTCGGGTCGATCAGAAAGGTCGAAACAGCCGGTTCCGCCGCGGGAAAGGCTTCCGACGACCAGACGTGCCGACGGGGAGTTCAGCGAGTCTTCTTCGCCTGGAAAATATTTATTTTTTTAATGAAAAATTCGTCGAAAAATATCATTTTTAAAATGAAAATTCGTCGAAAATATCATTTTTAATAAAAATCCGTCGATTTTAAAAAAATACATTCAGAAAGCTTCAAAAAGCTCGAGATGTCAAAACCTATTTTTTTCTTGAAAATAGTCATAATTTAGCACTATAAAATAGAAATTTCAAATTTTCAAGGGATCATTTTTCTTTTCCATGAGAAATGGAGGGAAGAGAGAGCGCAGACGATACAGAATTTTTCGCGGATGATAAAATTTTCTGGCAAAAAGCTCAGTTCTAAGATTTTCATCGAATAAAAAAATTAATACAAAAATCTTTATTTTCTTATTTTTCGAAGCTAGAATTGAAAGCTTTGAGGTTTCATAAAACAAGCTTTTTGAGGACTAAATATTTTTTAGAACCACAAGAAATTTTTTTCTTTTTCAGGTTATAAATTGCCCAAAAAAATGTTTGTGAAATGTTAAAAAAACGCCTTTTTTCAAATTCTAGTTCAGAAAACGATCAAAAAACCATTTTTTCAGCTTCTAAATTTTATATGAAGATTAAAAAAAACTCAAAATTTCACCTAATTCCTCATTTTTCTCAAAATAACCTTACAAAAATCAAAAATCATCCTTTGAATGCTCACATCCACCCATAATACCATGATACTCACTGGAAAAATATTCGAAAAGTCCAAAATTCCTTCCTCATTGTGAAATCCCAACACAACCTGATGAATCTCCGCTTCCCCAAGTTCCTTCCTCATCTACCAAAATAAACAAAAATCGAAAACGTTGCGTAATTCTTGAGATTTGTTGCCTGTTTTTCTGGCAATTTTCGGTAAATAAACCGTGTGACGACTTTGCCCAATGGTTTCGAACCCAAAGTTCTTCCTTTTTCTCTCATCAAAACAATTTGATCTTTCACGTCGGGGGAGATCAACCCTCCATGTTTGGTGTTTCAAATTCTTCCCTGGACGAAAAAATTCCACTTTCCAAAGAGAAAAAGCTGGGAACAAATTCTCCTTGTTCAGATGATTTGTAGCCAAAGAACTCGATAAATAGAGCAATAAATCACCGAATCACGTTACTTTTCAACAGTTATCTAGTTATCACAAGGTGGAATCACCCCAATACAAACTTTTTCTTGTTTCGATTTCATTTCAACTTGAAAAATGTGTATTTCAATGCGGATTTATGTACATTTATCGATCAAAATTGATTTTTTTCTGAGAGATAAAGCTTGGAAAAAATTGAAATATATAAGGAAAAACATTTATTTTTCTAAAAAGCGAAAAATCTTCCGAAAAAGTCTCATTTGAAAAAATTTTTTTGCAAAAAGTTTTTTTCTCATAGAAATTATGACGATTTGTCCATGGAGCGCAATTTCCCCTTTTTCTCCATTTTTTTCAGGCCATTTTTTTCATTCTCATTTTTATTTGCTTTTAGTTTTCGTAGAAATCATTTACAACACAAACATTAATTTTTGAATATTTTCTTTTTGCAAAATATTTTTTTTTGAAATTTTGCCCAATCGTCCATGGAGCGCAATTTCCCTATTATCTCCATTTTCCAGGCCATTTTTTTACATTTTCTTATTTTTTCATTGCATACAGCTCTCATAGAAATGAATTAAAACGCATAAAAATTTTTTTCTCCAAATAATGTTTTTTCTCGATTTTGCTGGTAAATAGCCTCTCAAGGCCTGAAATTGACAATAAATATTTTTTCCTACCGTAGTATCTTGCAGAAACGCATACTGTAACAAGTCGAAAAACCAAATAATGAAGTAAAAAGTGTCCAATGGTCATATGCTTTGTTGTTTCTTTGTTTTGGTCTGACCACCGAGGCGTTCTTCTTTTCTGACTACTTTTATTATTATTTTTCGTTTTTTCTGTAATACTTTGATGAATCTTGCAGTTACAGTACAAGATTACGGTAGGGAAGCAAAATTTTCTTATCATTTTTGGACCTTGAAAAGTCGGCAAACTTTGTGAAAAACAATGATTTATTGGGAGAACTTTGGGGAAACTTTTTGTTTGGGGTCCTAATCGTTGTAGACTTTAAGGGCAAGTGGAAAAATAATTTTTTCAGGTCATAATTGATGGTTAGAAAATGATGAAGTTCAGTACTTTTGACGTAGTTTGTAGTTTTAAAACTGAAAAAAATTTTTTTCCATTCCCAGTGCACAATTTGTCCCAAAAGCCGATTTTTCTCTTTTTTTCCCATGTGAACGCCGTTTTCACCTGTGTGGCCGCCCACGTGATTCGTTCTCTTTTTATCGTCTAGTTTTTTTTTTCCACCTAATCGCATCGTCCAATTATAAACCAATTTCCTCTTTTCGTTGAATCAAAAGCCTTTCTTTGAAAGATTGAAATAACAGAGTCAAAATAAAGCCCACGCAAGTCAAAGATCCCCCTAGTTTTTTCGAAAAAGAGGGGTTTAGAAAAAAGTTATCAAACTTTTGATTGATAAAGAAAGAAAATCGGAACTTCCGATTGATTCAAGGTGACGTCTAACGATTGAAAAAAATATTATTACACTCGAAAATAATGAAAAATAATGCCGGTTCCGTTTCAAAGAGCCAAAATTGGCAGAGATAAGGGAAGGTACTTGAAAAAAATATAAAAAAATGAAGGTCTATCAAGGAAAATTTGCTCTATGGGACTGAGAAATTAAAAAAGGTGGTGAAAACTGTCAAAGTCAATTGAGAATTCTAATTTTATGAGAAATTGTCCTTGGAGCGCAGATTGACTGAAAATTGAGCTATCTACAGTAAAAACTTAGAAAAATCCATTCCTAAGACTTTTGGAACTATAAATTGAAGGAAACGCTTTTTTTTTAACGGTTTCTCATTGGGGCACACTTTCCATGTAAAAATAGCCATTCTTTTCTTCCCATGAATGCGCTCAAGCTGTCCTAAAAGTTCCGTTTTTCTTTAAATTTTTGCGAGTTTACTGTTTTGCTTAGCTTTTGATGTGCTCTTTAGAGACGTAGAACTACTTTTTTTTTAAACTTTTTCCAGATCGTGGCTATTTTCTCTTAGAAAACGCGCTCCAATGAGAAACCACCATTATCCCTAGAACCTAGGTAACGGAAACCGGACGACCCCCGGACATATTGGAGCATTTCTAGTGACCACTTTAGTAGCTTCAGCACTCTTAAGTGATCCCTAGAAGTGCTCAGGAACGTCCGGGGCGCGTCCGGTTTTCGTTACTGAGGCAATTTCTATCTCGACAATACTTTATCCTATTCGAGACGAAGCAAAAGTCGATGATCTATTACACTTCTCTCAATCAGACGCATACAAGTCGTTCTCGACTTTTAAAAACTGCTTTTGGCCGCCGTCGCCGTGGTCTCGATCAACTGAGGGGATTGTTGTTTATTTTTCAGTCAATTTTTCCAACTTCATATAACTAATGGGGACAACAAAAAAGGGTTGAAAAACACGCATTCAAGTGTAATGTAATTAACAGGACCATCCAACAAACAATCAACAACAAATAAATTTTGGATTTTTTTGATTATCTTGTGTAGAATCTTTTGAAAGTTAAGAAAAATAGGGATTATCAATAATTTAAAAAATCTCAAATTTAAATTGGGGCTACTCTTTAGAAAAATTATCACTAGGTTCAAAAAAATTGCCTTTTTAAAAATTTATCCGTAGAGCGCATATGTTTGGTTCACAGCGGCCATTTCTTCTCAACATTTCTTTTTAGAATCTGAGCGGCTTTTTTTATAACTTTATGAACATGGAAAAAAATCAGGTAATTCGAAATTGAAAAAAAGTTTAAAAATCTCAAAATAGAAATAGAAATGAACTACTCTTTTAAAAAAATTATGATTAGGTTCAAAAAAATTGTTTTTTTCGAAATTTATCTATAGAGCGCATATGTTTGGCTCACAGCGGCCATTTTTCTCAACTTCTCAGTCTCAGCTTGTTGAACCTTTTTCAATGAAAAATTAGCGATGGAAAAATAATTTTTCTTTGTTTATTTTGATCTCATTAGGCCAAAAATGCCCTTTTTTTCAGCCCCATTTTCAAATTTTCTTCAAATTTTTCCAAATTTCGCCATGGAGCAAACTAGCTGAATAAAAACTTGGCTATTTTCCCCCGTTTTTTCCTCAATTCTATTAACCATTCCCACCGCTCCCAAAACCCACAGAACCAGTTCAAAATATGTAGTTTCTCCAAACCGAAAAAGAAAAAATCCGAGGTCGAACCGCCTGGGACGACCTTCCAGCCGCCGACGGGAAATTCCAGAGGCCGCCGTTTGCCCTTCTTAATTAAACAGGGCCTCTCCAAAAATTATCGGCCCTTTTTTGCACTTATGAACCGGTCTACCTAATACTTTCCGATTTCTAATCATTCATATCGAAAATTTGATTGGGAAAAACAACTTTTGAAGGTCGGCAGCTAGAGTATCAAATTATGTCCACAAATTGCATTGCTCATTGGTCTCTACAGTGAAGCTGATGAGAGGAAAAAGACAAGTCAAACTAGTTGGAAAGGGGTTTTTTCGAGGATTCGTCATAAAAAAGAACGTCAAGCTTTTTACTTGTGGGGGTAAAGTCTTATTTTCGATTTTTTTGAGATCAAGAACTTGTAACTAATGTTACTTTTTGTGAATGAAATAAATCATTATTATTAAGAAAAATTTTTATAACGCAAAAGATCTTCTTGATCCGTTAAAAAAAGAAAATGGATGAAAAAAATCTAAAATTTACGTAGGAAAAATCGTTTTAAAATTCAAGTTTCTGGAATCAAATCCATTACTGGACTGTTCTGTTTTTGCTTCAAAAAAATTCAAAATTTCAATTTATGATGTAAAAAAATAGATATAAAACGCAATTTTAAGCTGAAAAAAATTAATATAATAAATCTCAATTTTCCACTAAAGATAGTCTTCTTTCTTGCTTGAAAGTTGAAAAATAAGCTTTAGAACCTAAAAAATGGTCCAGATGAAGCTTATAAGAGCCCTTATTGCATAAAATCCGCTGTTGAAAAGTTCAAAAATCCGCAAACCCCTAAAGCGACCACTAAAAAAAATTATCTTTAAACTATCGTGTTCTTTCCAGAACATTCCAACTTCCGATCAAAAAAAAAACTCCGGTTAAAATTTCTCCAAAACCACACCCAAGGTTCATCAAAATCGCTCCATCGAGCAACTACACGGGTTACTGTAGGGCCCAAAAAAAGAGGCGATTTTTGCAGATTGCGCGGGGGAGGACGCCAAGATCGAACCGATGACGACACTGACCAAGAAAGATCACTCTTTCCTCTCTCCCAAGCATTCATTTTTCCGTTTTTGCCTCGTCCCTAATGTGGTACCGAGAAGATGGGACCAAGAAAAAGAGGGCAGGCAGGCCGGACGAAACCTGCAGGTGCACGGGAAACCGGCAAGTGCAGGCGCGTCGTTATTCTGGAGGTCCTAACGATCTTCTGCAGCCAGAATGAGCGATCATGATCGGTCACAGTCTTTAGGGGTGATTGAACTGCGGCAAAAATAGCCGCAGTAAAAATAGCTCAGCGCAATGTGGGAAACAGCCTTTCGAAGGTGTTGATAATTGAAAAAAGCTTAACTTTTGGCTCATTTTTTTTAAGAAAGTAAGTAGAAGTAACCACGCTTGAAGTCAAAAGCCCATTTTTTGGATCAGAATATTTATTTTTCTATAAAAAAGGATAGAATCGCTTGCCTAAAAGCTTCAAAAATGGCTCGCCACCGGCTTTTTCCAAAAATCTTACATGGCTCAAATTCAGACGTAAAGCTTCAGTAGATTTTTCAAGATAAAAAAACTTTAATCCAGTTTTTTTACCTCAAAAAAATTCCGCGTCAAAATAAGCTCAAATTTCTGGATCTTTTTGCGCTCCAACGCTAATCATTCCAAAGAAATTTCATTTTTGGAAAAAGAAAAAAAGACTTTTAAAAAAATTTTTTTCGATTATCCGAAATCTGAAAAACCTATTTGAAGATTGAAAACTCCCCAGAAAAATCCCAAAAAAATATACTGCTAAAAATTTTCCAAAAATAGCTACGAGAGTTTTGTGCGCCCCATCGCTAATAAGTTCAATAAAAAAACACGAAAAAAATCTAGTAGAGATGATTTTTGAAAAACATCAAGGCTTTGTGCGCCCCATTGCTAATCAAATCCTACAAAATCGACTTCCTGAGCTCCAAAAATTCTACTCGATCCTATTTTTTTCAACTTCCAAAGTTCAAAAACTTGACAGACGCCAAATTCGATTATCAGTGGAGCGCATGACGGCTATTTGTTTCCAAAATTCAACCTTTTTCAATCAATTTACTACAGAAATTACATTAAAAATCCTCTGCAAAAAAATAATGAAAAAAACTTTCCGATTTTGAAAAAATTTGAAAAATAGCTCCGAGTTTTGTGCGCCCCATCGCTAAATAGTACGAAAAACCGACTTTTCAAGCTTTAAAATTCTTCTCGATTCTACTTTTCAACTTTCAAAGTTCAAAAAAAAAACTTGACAGACGCCAAATTCGATTATCAGTGGAGCGCATGACGGCTATTTGTTTCCAAAATTCAACATTTTCAATCAATTTACTAGAGAAATTACACAAAAAACAGCAAATTTTACACTCGAACAAAAAGCAAATGAGTTTCCTGTTTAGCTGTCGATAACACATGTACACACAAATCGATTGTGACAAGCCCCCCAATGTAGTCTAATTTTGGAATAAAAAACCTGCTTACAGGCAGTCGTATTGTTGTAGTTATACAGATGTACAGTTATATCTTTGTTTTTGTTTTTGTTTCGTTGAACTTTCAAGGAATATTTGAATATATAGAAAAATTTTTTTAATGGTCTTAAGTCTCAAAAAAAAGCATTTTAAGTTCAAATCAAGCCCTTTTTGAATTATTTTGCTTCTGGCCTATTTTTTTTTCAAGCTGCTTTATCCAGGTAAAGTTGAGCCTTTTGAAAAACAATAAAGACTTTTTTAAGCATCGAAAAACCATAAAAGATGAAAATGAGCTCAAATAAATGTTTCACTACTGGGAAAATGTTTAGTGGCCACTATAGAGGTGGCCAATACTATCCGTTTTAGTGGCCACTTCAGTAGTTTTTCATCCAGTATTTCTTTCAGTAACTCTGATAATTTTAAAACAAACAGATCGGACCAGTTATGTTGATACATTCACCCCTAAAGTGGCCACTACACCTTTAAGTGATCTTTTAGCAGGACTTAAACCTCTATAGTGGCCCCTAATTTTCAACCCCCTAAGTGGCCACCAATTTGACTACTATAATGGCCACTGAAACGTCAAACCCTATAGTGACCGCTAAAAATATCCCCAGTATATTTTGTGTGTGTGTTTTTTTTAGACCTCAAACATCTCATTTCTTGAACCTGTAATATCCACTGTTCCAATGCTCAACCCAAACAAAAAAAAATCGAAAAGTGCAACTTTTTTCTCCTGCAAATAAATAAACAATTTTTCTGTTTGCAAGCTGAGAAGCCAAAGACGAAGGTCAATACGCACGTTTTGCAAATTTTTACACGTTTCGTAAAACCGGAACTGCAGTGATAGTCTAACAGAAAACTAGAGATTTTCAGATGAGAAAAAAATTCGAAAATGATCTAGTAACCTTTCCCTTTGAGATTTGGTCATAAAAATCGAAAACAATATTTAAAATCTAGAAAAAATCAAATTTTCTATTGGAGCGCAAAATTCCAACCCCCACGGATATTTTTTCCAGTTCTCCACAGAGCGCACATGTTCAATCAAAAAAATTATTTTCAAATAATTTTACACGACTTTCCCTATTATGACGGATTTTCTCAAAGTTCTGATGAACTCAAAACGGCTACTTTTCCTGGTTTTCTCAGAAGAGCGCACATGCCCAATCAGACGCGGCTATTTTTTCTCAACTGATTAGACATATTCTCTCTCCTCGAATCTGTATTTTTTGGCCTAATTCGACCGATTTTCCATCATCTCAAAGTTCTATAGACCTCATTAACGTGCGAAATCCAGGAGCAAAAGAAAGAGGTGAAATTATCAATAGGGCACACAAGTTGGACCTATTTCGGCTACTTTTTCTGATTTTTTCAACGGAGCGCACAAGCCCAATCAGACGCGGCTATTTCTTCTTAGATGAATTTGCCAACCTCTCTCCTCGAATCTATAAAATCGTCCTATTTATCCCGATTTTCCTATATCTGAAACCTCTGAATACCTCAAAAATGTGCCAAATCCAGAAAAAAGCCCTATTATCAATAGGGCACACGAGTTGGACCTATTTCGGCTACTTTTTCTGATTTTCTCAGCGGAGCGCACAAGCCCAATCAGACGCGGCTATTACTTCTCAGGTGAATTCGCCAACCTTTCTCCTATAATTTGTACTTTTTGTCCTACTCTGACCAATTTTCCAACACCTCAAAGTTCTAAAGACCTCAATAACGTGCAAAATCTAGAAACAAAGAAAAGAAAGGTGCAACAAAAACACATGGTTTCTGTTTCAATCACTAAGGACCACAGGAAAAGCGTCACATTTCATCGACGTCAGAGCGACCGACAAATTGTGCTCTAAACTCTCTTTCGCGTGTGTATTGACTTGACACCCCAGGCTATTTACACGGCAAGGGCTCTTCTTTTTTTTTCTCTTCTTTTTTGTTCGTTTGTCAATCACGTGAAGGCACTTGAACGTTATCACCGTCAAATAAAAGAGGAACGAGGGAAAATTTTGAATTCGGAGGTTTTTATTTGAAAGCTGAAACTTCAACTAGAAAGCTGAAACTTTCATTAGAAGCAGAAATTTTAAACCAAAAGAAAACATGTTTAAAAGGTAATCAGTACAAATAAAGAAGGATACAGAACCATAGCGTTCAAGATTCGAAATGAATGTTCTAAAAAAATATAAAAAAATTTAACTTCTCAAGAGGGTATATTTGAATTTTGCGGGCTGGAGCGTCTTTTGGAGCATCGTATTGTTATATTAAGGCCTCATTTCTCAATTTTTTTCAAAAAGTCCTGAACTTTTCCTGTTATATTTTTGAATGGAAAAAGCTACAAAAATCCCATTTCCAAATTTTCATGACCAAACATGTTCAAAAAGCCATAAAAACTAGTGGACCTTCAAAAAAATGAGAGAATTCAACTTTTCAAAATTTTTTGTACTGTACTCTTCACGAATTTGATGTATCTGATGCTTAATTTCATCTCAAAATCGGTATCTAAAAATCAGAACAAACTTCTATCTTCAAACTATTCAAACCAAGTCAAACCCAGAAGCTTCCAAAAGCCTCCCATCACTTATCAATCACATGAAAACCCGTATCAACAACACATTTTGAGCCCAAAAGGAGCAAAAACGAGGACAAACTCCAGTGTGACGCACCGGCGATCTTTGCCTCCGAGTCGTCAAGGGGTCGGCTTGGACCGGACAACAAGCCGAACGAAGGAAAAAAAGGCGGAAGGACTAGAAAGTGAGGACAGGGTTTGGGGATCAGAAATTGATGCTCTCAGGAAGAATATAATTTTCCTTTGAGGTTGGGAAATCTTGAAAATTGTCCAGAACATTCTTTGATGTACCAGAATAAGCCTCTGAAAGTCTCAACCAAAACAACTTCATAGTTTCCAAGAAATAAGGGCTAAAAGCCCAAAAATGGCCGATTTTGAAGGTTTTTTTAGGTGATTCTCAAGCACAAAGTGGAAGAACCTTCCTTGTCAGGTCCAAAGAAAAATTCTAAATATCAGAAATGTCATTGAAGCTCAAAAAAGTTGCAAAAAAAGCCTTAAGAATATTTTTTTTGTCTTACTAAAAACAGAAAACAACTTTTCTCCATGGGGCGCACTTTCCCGCCTACAGTTTATCTGCCTTTTTCAAAAATTATCCCCAATTCTCCCAACTTCCCATTTTTCTGAACCACAAAACATTTTGCAGGAACTCTGAGACATAGACTTTCAAAAAATAGGTATTTTTGCAAGTTGAGAACTTTGCCCAGTACATCAAACAGCGTTCTGGCCGATCAAAAGGTTCTAAAAGTCCGAATAACAAACATTTTTTCTTTGAAATTCAGCCGAGAAACGCAAAAATCGCGATTATTCTAACTAAAATGTCCAAAGAGCCTCCTTTAAACTTCAAAAATTGCTTTCTAATACATTTTGTACTATCAAAACTTCTAGAAAATAGGTTTGAAAAACGATTTCGAACTACCCTGAGCCTTATTTTGCACAAAAAACACCATTCTTACTCAAAGAATTACATTTTCATCGTTATTGTGGATTCGAAAAATCAATACTCGTCTTTGTCCTACGTTTATAAGTCTTTAAAAAAATTTTAAATTCATGAAAAATCCCCTTTTAAGCTTCTTTATAAAAACAAGGATAGAAAAAAACTAACTCTGACCCCAGGCGCCAGCTATCCGCCAGAAAAAAAGTCATTTCGCGAGCTCGCGCCCATCAAATTTGTGGCGGTTTCCTGGCGATTCTCTGGCGACATAACCAATAGCGCGAATTTGCTTTTTTTATTACTGTATTTTTATATTTCGATCTAAAAATTTTGGGACTCGCGTTTTTTTGTCTTTTTGTTTTTTTCTATTTGATTTTTTTGCTGATTTCACGATTTTTTTCAGTGTTCGTTTCCTGTTTTGTCCAAACTAGGGCAAAAAGCGATGCCGCAATGCAGTTTTGATGTAACAAGCAATTTTTCTTGATTTCATTTTTTTTTTTTTTTGTAAAAATTCAAAAAGCTGTGTATAGAAGTAGAAAACTGTAGGTTGCGTAGGTCGTTCAAAGAAAGAAACGCGATTTTTTGCAGGACAATTAAATTTATAAGATAGTTTTTACATCTGGAGTTCTGCAGCAAAGGCACGTATCCTCCTTCAAACGAAACAAAAAGACCAGACTTTAGTTGAAAAAGAAGTTTAAAAAAAGTCAGAAAAATTATTAGAATATAAACCTTTGTTTTATTTGTGTAGAGCTCAGTAAATGTGATGCGACGGAAGGTTTCAGGTTTAAAAAACAACAGCTTGAAAGGTTGGTAAATAAGAAAATTCGAATTATTTTCTGGATTTAGTTTCCTGGATGATCAACCGCTCTAAAAGCTTAATGTTTTCATGCTGAACTTCTCTTTCCGTGAGGCTGAAAGAACGACTCCAGTTGAATTAGTAAGTGCTTTCTACTTTTTTCCTCAACTGCTTCCTTCAGAAAAAAAGCATCGTCAGGAAGTCCCCGTTACGGCTGAAGGATGTTTTTTTTTCCTCTGACTTGTAAGTTTTGGATTTCATGTAAAGTACTTTTATCGATATATTTTCGATCTCACCCGACGGCGTCATGATGTTCATTGCAAATGGATAACGATGCTTTGACCAAAATACGGAGAACGGGTACGACGCAAAAATGTCCGCGAAATTTTCAAGTTTTTTTTATATTTGTAAACTTTACACGTTCATCAACTTTATGAGCCTCAAAAATATCTTGATGCACCCAAATTATTGTATTTTTTTGTGTCCGTCGTAAAAAAATTCAGCTTTAAAAAAATACAGCTTATATATTTTAGCCTCAAAAATATTACTCGGATTTGTCATGCTCGCGAAATTCGGCTGACGAGTCGAGTTTTCGAAGCAGTTTTTTTCGGACTTGAAAATACGTTTCGTAGTTTGCTTTGAAAAGGGGCTGATAAATTTGAAGAACCGTGTTGTATCACTGCACAACAAAAATGTAATGCTTTGATCATAATTGTGAACAATCAGAATCTCTTCGCACTATTTTTTTCTTTCTTTTTGTGGCCATTTGAAGTAAAGTGATAAATGGCTCAAAGTTTTCTTCACGAGTAAAAAAATTTCCTCTTTTCAAAAAAACTTTTGTATAAGAGTCTTCTGTTTAATTCTCTATAAATTAATTTTAAAACTTAAAAATTGACTGCTCGTTGATATCACTTCTTAAATGCGCTGGAGCTTCAAAATTTCTCTCTTCTTTTTGGTATTTTGAAGCAACAAATAACTCTTTGCATATTATCGAAAAATTAAAAAATTTTTAAATTTTAAAAATTTTTTTTGCGTTTACGAGCAGTCAGCTTCAAGTTTCCTTTATTTCTTCGGATTTTTGGCTTACATTTTTTTCTAAGATGTATTTTTTTGGTAAAGTTTTTTTGATGTTCTGTTATTATGATCTTTTTCGAATCGAAAGATATTGTTTTTAAATTAAGTTGTAAACTTTGCAAGCGTTTCCTTCTTAAATTTCATTTTTCAAGTTCTCTTCATGTTTGATTTTATATGTTGATTTTATTTCCATTAAATTTTGTATTTGTGAAAATAATAAAAGTTGATAAAATATATTTTTAGTATATAAAAATAACAATATTGGAGGAAGGGAAATGATTGAAAAAAGGGGGAATCTGCGCGCTATAGATAACCCTGGCGAATTTCTGGCGCGTTTTTCGCCAGCTCGCGAAAGACGGGGCGCGCGCTGGCGAAAGATTGGCGGAAAGCTGGCGACTGGGGTCAGAGAAGCTACTGACCTCAAAAAGTCCCAAGTTTAACCTAAAAACCTATTATTTTCCTTTGTCTCAGTATTAGAAGCCTTGAAAATTATGGAAATGCTGGAAAAACTTCTTCAAACTCCAAGCTTTTATTAACACTACAGCCCTCTCGAAAACCGCAAAAATTCAGAAAATACCGACCGACCAAAAACACTTTTTGCATCACCACAGACCTCGATCCAAGCTTCTGACCTCAAAAAGTCCCAAGTTTCACCTAAAACCCGATTTTTTTTCTTTAATCTCACTACTAGAAGCCTCAAAAGTTTCGAAACCGTTTAGAAAGTTTTTTCGAACTCCAAGCCTTCATTCACACTACGGTACCCTCGAAAACCGGAAAAATTCTGAGAATATCGGCCGACCAAGCTAGAAACACTTTTTCCATCACCACAGGCCATTTCGATTCAAGCTTCTGGCCTCAAAAAGTTCCAAGTTTAAACTAAAAACCTATTCTTTTCCTTTGTCTCAGTAATGCTGGAAAAGCTTCTTCTAACCCTTCCAGTACCTCCAAAAACAGAAAAAATACCCACCGACCAAACTAAAAACACTTTTTCCATCACCACAGACCAATTCGATCCAAGCTTCTGGCCTCAAAACGTCACGAGAACTCCTCGCCAACCGCCTATAATCCTCTAAGAAACGCAAGCCTCGATTCAGTACCGTTTGATAGGCAAGAACAGTCGCCACTAGACTTTTTATCAGCACGTAATTATGCTTATCACTTGCAAAATATCATATTAAACCGTGTCGCTCGTAAGTGCGTAGACACGTGTGACACTTTTTGCCAAACTAGGGACAAATAAATAAGAATTTGAGTTGATTAGAATTGAATCAATTATTGAGATTCGTGTGAATAAAGGGTCACAATTATTCAAATAGTAGAATTTTTTTCTTGACTTTTTCAGAAAATTTTTAGTTAATATTTGAATCACTAAAAATTGATATATGTTTTGATTTGAGTTAAGTTCAAGATTTTCGAAAGTTCTGAGACTTCAAATTCACTTCTAAAATCTTCAAATGAGCTCAAAATCTCGAAAAAAATCGATTTTTTTAGGATTCGCACTGATTTTTTTGAACAATCCTAGACACTTTTTTTGAGTTAAATTCATATTTTTCAATTGTTTGGGAACTTTTTAATTTCTTTCTCAATTCTTGAAATGAACTCTGAAATTCCAGAACTATCTCCAAAAAAGGCATTAAAATCGGTTGACTTGAAAAAAAGAATTTTTTGCTTAAAATAAAATTCTATACGTGTTTGTAGTATAATAAGATTTAAAAAAATAATTACACTTATTTTTTTCGAAATAAAACCGATCAACAGAACATCTCCCGGAATTTGACAAATAAGGGTATGATTCAAGGGGCCAAAAAACAGTCAATAGGTTACTTTGATGAAGAAAAAAAAGGGAATGACTAATCGATTCCCCCGCAACACAAATAGGGACTTTGTACTGTCTTGTTCACCTTCTACGGTCTTCTAGAAAAAAGGAAAAAATTCAGATTTTTTTCGATTTGAGGGATGCTTGTTTTAATCAATAATCCTAATTGCGTTTAAAAAGTCCATATCTTTATAAGATGACCAGTTCCGAAGTCGGGTTCTCAAAAATCTCCCCATCAAATTTTGAAAAATGTCTCGTTTTTTCTGAATTTTTTTCTTTTTCTTGCCAAAAAAATGCTCTCAAATATTATTGAAAACTATTTTTTTCACATATCGAATCCAGGTCAAATAAAAAAATTTTTCACCCAAAAAAATACTTTAAAAAAACCCAAATCTCTACTTCCGCCCATGTTTGATTTCTTGGAACTTGATAACCACAACCAAGATTTCTATGCCTTCTGGAGAGTTGAACATTTTGAACTTGAAAAATTTAAAAACTCCAAAAAAGGCTACAATAAAAAAAAAACCGATCGCAGTTGTTATACGCGAAATTTCTGTTTCTTACCAATTTTTTTAGAGCTTCAAAACTTGTTCACGTCATTTTCTTTTCTGCAAGCCTCCATGTTACACTTTTCCATCCAAACTTTGATCTATTTCATTTTTTCTGCAGAAAATACTAGAAAAGTCGGCCAAAAATATCTTCAAAAGAGCTCTAAAAAGGTCTGGCCAAAGACACGTATCCTTTCAAGAAGTTATTTTATTAATTTTAAACCGGAAACTTCTTTTTTAACTGTGAACTTAAAAATGAGGTAAGAACTTTTTTTCTGCTTGCTTCCATGTTACACTTTTTCCATTCAAACTTTGACCTTTTTTTCATTTTTTTCTGCAGAAAATACTACAAAAAAACAGGGCAAAATGTCTTCAAAGGAGCCCTAAAAAAAGACACGTATCCTTTCAAGAAGTTATTTTAACAAATTTAAACCGGAATATCAGATGTGAACTCTAAAAATGAGGTTAAAACTTTTCTCAGTTTTTTTTGCTTCCATGTTACACTTTTTCCATTCAAACTTTGATCTCGCGTCACCTTTTCTGTAGAAAATATTACAATGAGGTGCAAAAGTTATTTAGACTATTTAAGCTTCGAAGAAACCTTAAAAGGTCAGAGAAACAAACGTATCAATCAAAAAAAGTAGTTTCAACCGTTTTTGAACTACTTGAAGCAAAATATGCCATTTTTTACCCTGCAAACGTGACCAATAAATCATCAAATTGTAAGAAGAAGAGAGTCTATTGTGCTTTTCGTTGGTCGAAACGAAACCATCAAAAGCGAGAAAAAAAATGATGCGAAACAAAAAGATGTCACGAGAAGGAGACGGGAAAAACTACTATATATTTTCACACCATTGTTTCGTTTGCAGAAACTCAGAGAGGGAAGCTTTTTGAGGGAAAAAAATGCAGAAAAAAATTCAAAATGGGTTTGAATCCGATTTTTGAAATTAAAGTTCTCCCGTTTCTATGAAAGGAGCAAAAATTTTTAAAAAATTGAGAAAAAAATATAAAAAAACATGATAAATTCAAAAAAGTAGAGAAAAATAAATGAAAAAAATGACATTTCACTACAAAAAAATGTCCGAAAAATCTTCAAAAAAAGTGCTTAAAAATTGGCCTTTTTTTCCAGTTTTGGCCATTTCGCTGGATCAATATGATCCAATTTTTTTCCAAAATAATCATTTTTTTACAGCTCCAATTCAAAAAAATGTATTCTCTCTGAATAATTTAAAAAAATAAAAAAATCTGCATAAAATTTTAAATTTTTCAAGAAAGGCGTAAGAATTTTTGGATCAAATTACTGAAAATAAATGTTTATATTGAATTCTCCCAAAAAAAGCTACTTTTCAAGCTTAAATTATCAATTTTCTGCTGTAAAATCTTCAAAAATTCTCTAAAAAATGTTGTAAAAATTCTCAAAATCTCTACTTCCCAAAAATAAAAAATATTCCCCGATCCAAAGTTCAAAACAAAATTATTACACAGTTCCCATAAATCCTGAATTTTGAGATCACTTTTTTCGAAACATCAAAAATAAAGATCGAAAAAAGCAGAAACGAGATTTTGGAACTTGTAAATTGGTTGTTTTTCGGTCTGTAGGACATCTTTAACAAGTGGGCCCAGCCCAAGGGAAAAATGTGGTTGAGAAGGAAAAATCGATAGATCAGGTAGTGATGCCTTTTCATGTAGGGGAAAATGAGGATGACAGAAAAATATTGGATCCAATTTGAAAATTCATAAAGTTGATGTTGAGCTTGGCACTTGAATTAACTATGAAAAAAACTTCATCAGTGGAAACTTTCAAAAAATAAAAATCCTAAACAGGAAAAAAATATTATGAGGTACGGGAGTATCAAGTTTTTCATTGTAAAGAAACTAAAAAAATCGTTTTTTTAATTAGATTTTTTTAAAACGTTTTTAAAAATCATCGACTTATTTTTTTCTGCACACCCTGACGACTCAATTTTCGCTTTTTTCCAAGCTTGTTCGAAAAAATTAAATTTTTTCAACAGAAAATCAAATTTTTCTCGTTCCGACCACTTTTTGATCGCTCTAAACCTCAAGCTTCTCCCATAAATCACCGCAAACTGATCGCCTAATTGAATAAAACTTCTGAAAAAGCCAGAAAACTGATCATTGGCGCGCTAAAAGTTGCTAGGGAGGAATCCGGCAATTGTTTCGGTGATCCTTTTTTTGGAAGGGGTCATTAAATCGGGCAAGTTAAGAGGAGAAAGTGAAGAAAAAGAACGGGGTTAAACTAGAAAATCAATTGGTCGAGAGCTAGTTTGGGTGGGAAATTATTGGAAAAAAAGGATTATTCAAAGTGAATTTAAAAAAAAAAACAGATTAGTTGGTAAATTTGAATTACTAATCGAAAAAGCTCCTAAATTTCCCCTAAAATTTCATTGTCTTTCCATTTTTTGAAGATTCTAAAGTTTTCCACTACAGTCAAAAATAGTCCGGTCGTACTTGGAATGGCTAAAAAGCGTCGCGGCTCAAAAAAACCCCCCAAAAAGTTGGGATTTTTTTAAAAATTATTCTTCCAAAAAAACTTGAAAAAAACCCTACTTCCTCAATAAATCACTCAAAACTTCTCAGCCCACTCTCAACCTCAAAAAAATCAAAAAAATTTAAAAAAACCCTAAACAAAAAAACAAATTTCCAACACTTCCTTATTTTTTTCTCAAAAGGGAAACTATCTTTCTAAAAAAATAGATTCACAAGGCGTTGAAATTCCACGAATAACTGCTCAATCTCGTCGCCGGTAGACGTCACGAAACCAACATACAGTTTGGAAGTGTTCAAACTTCAAAAATTCTACAAAATTCGCGGAGAAAAAAACAAGAAAATAAAGTCGCACGTGAAACTTCTTTTCATATTATTTCGAAAATGTCATTGTAAGGGACTGGAAAAATCCGAGGAAATCTTTATTCTTTGTGGAGCTATCGGAGTTTTCTCAAGATTTCAAAAAAAAAAAAAAGGCTTTCAACATTTTTTTGTAGTGTCATCTTTTAAAAAGGTTATCTTGGTTTTTCACTATTTTCTTTTTTTAATAAATAAAATTCCGAAGGAAATTTTCACCATAAAATCGACAAAAATAGAAAAATGCGCTCAAATTTTTTTCAGAAAATCCGGGAAAAAAATTCATAATTTTTAGTGAATAAGAGATTAACAAAATTCAATGAAATTTTTCTCAGAATTTTGAAAAATAGTGAAGCATTTTCGTTCAAATTGTAAATTTCTTTCAAAAAGCTCTGTGAAAACTCTAAACTTCTACCGGAATTTTTTTCACCCAGATTTTTTTCAAACTCTATATTTTTGAAGGTAATTTAATTCTTCCTCAACGGCGTCTTTTTATTTTACATTGGAAGTTGTGATGCACTTTCTTCAAAGAACTTCGCACACTATAAACTTTAAAAAAATGCGTGAATTTTATTTTTTTAAAAATCCTTCTATTGTTTCCTTTCAATAACCCCTCTGAAAACCGCCATTCAAAACCTCAAATTTCGTCTAAAAAAATTTCAAAATATTAAACTTTTTGCTTTATCACTTTATCACTGTAACCAACAAAAATCCAAGTTTCGTTCTCCGATTTGAAAATTTTCTTTTCCAAATTCTACAAACCATTTTCCTTTATCACAAGTGGTTTCATTGTAATCACATTCCCTACATTTTTGACATTTGTTCAACTTCTTTCATACAATCCTGAAACCGTCATTAAAATCCCTGATTTCCGTCCTAAAAAGCAGAAAATGCACCTTGAAGGAACTCGAAAATTTCGGTGAGTAACTTTTTTTGGGACCATCTGTGAAATTCCTCGTTTTCCTCCACTTATGATTACTCTTTAGCTATTTTTATCTACACTCAAATCGGTCACTGAAAACCCCAGAAATCTTTTGCGAAAAGCTGACCTTGCAGCAAGGCCTCGCGCATGAAGGCGATCGTCGTCTCGAAGGTCATCTTCTGGAGCGGAGAGGCGCACGCGGCCATCGCGCCGCGGTTGAACGGCGCGATCTCGCCGGTGAACGTCATGTAGTCGGCGGTCAGCGACAGATGCCGGCGGGAGACTTCGATCCCGTACACGGCGAACACGTTGTTCATCTCCTGAAAAAGTCCAACTTCTTGTATTTTTCATCCATTCGGCTGTTTCTGTGCTTTATCCTTTCCACTTCTATCCTTTTTTCTGATTTTTGTCAGAAAATCCCGGATTATTTTTTTGTATTAATGTTCTGTGTTCTCTTCCCCTTTTTGAGTCTCTTCTTCTTTTTCTCAATTTTTTTTTCTTCAAATAAAAATTTTCCCTTCATTCCGATACCAAATCACATTTTTTTTCTGCGGACAGGAAATCAGTTTCCCATAGATTAATTTGAAATTTTCTCAATCAAATCGAGAAAAATTCACTTTTTCTTTGCATTCTGTATACCTCAGTGAATAAAAAAACCCTGATTTATATCGAAAAATCGTCAAAATTTTTAAAAAAAGAGGGTAAAAAAAGCAATTTTAAGCTAAAAAAAGTCCAGCAAAAAAATTAACTGGTCATTCTCGTAGATTACTGTTTTTTTACATGGAAATCCGGGCCATTACCCTAAAAAAATACAAAAAAATGGTTGAAACTGCAATCAAAAATGACCCAAAAAAATGATTGAGTCATAATTTCTCAACGTTTCATTCGCATAAAAACAGCTCAAAAAAATATTTTTTTGAAAAATCATTAAATCATCCTTGATGAATTTTTTTATGAAGCTCGCAGGAACTATAAACTAAATGAACCCGAAACTTATTTTAAATTAAAATTTTTGCAACTGCAAAACCTTCCAAAAATTTTCATTATTCCAAACATCACTCCTATCCAAAAACTGTCAAATTTTTCAGGAACAAGAAATAAACACAAACAATAAACAAAAATGTCTTGTCTTGAAAAATGAGGAAGAAACAAAAAGTTTCTATTTTTTTGTCTTGAAAAAGACACCAAAGTGGCTTGAAAATCTTACAACCTTGACGGGAAAGGCATCAGGAAAAACATCTTTTTGATCAAGATCTTCCGTCATTTTTTTGTTGGCAAAAAAAGAAAAACATCTTTAAAGATTGATCATAGTGATCAAGTTGTAACGATGATTCTCTATTATGGAGAGAGCTTCTGGAAATGTCAAAAAGACTTTTTATCTGTCTCTTTCGAATTATGAAGATGATCACTTTATTAGAATTTTTTTCTCGCCATGAAATTGAACCACTAGCCAAAGAAATAAAAAAATGAAAAATATCTTTTTGAATCTTTTTCAGTTAGAATTCTTTCCTCAACAAAAATTTTTCCAGAGAAAAAGTTTTTAAACTTCAGCCCCATGGAAACAGTCATGTGATCATTGGAACTGCAGGTTTGATTCAGTATTACAAAAAAAAATGCTTTTGAACTGGAGTTTCCCCCACTGCAAAGCCGAAAAAAAGGAGAACAACTAAAGCTCTTGTTATTTATTTTTAACTGAAAAAAACTTAATTTTTCTGCCCCTCTTACATTTGATTTCATTCACCATAAAACTGACATTATTGAAATCTAGTCAAACATTCTGTTACTGGGAACAAAAAAATATGTTTTTTTCTGCGGATTCGCCAAAAAAATAATGTATCCAAAAAATATTTTTTTTTTTCAGTCGTGTTGAAATCCGACGACAGGGGCTCAAGCAGCCGTAAATCGACTCTAAAATCTTTGAAAACCAAAAACAAAACTTCGTTAGTAACTGTTTGTACTGTGTCTCAATTAATTTTACTTTTTTCTTGAGTTTTCATAAACAAATCGAGTTATTGATTGATTCTCTCAGACGAGCTACAAAAAAATCAATTTCATACCTTCTACACACCCTCATGCTATCCAAAATAAAAACTAGCCCTAAATCCTCTCCAAAACCGTGAACAAGCTGCCAAAAAAACATTAGTCCTTTCTCTTTCGTTTCGAGACCCTTTGTTCAATGAGCTCAAGCCAGCCAGAAATCGGCTATAATCTTTCCCAAAAACCTCGAAAAACCAAAAGAAATTGCACAAAAAACTTTTCGTACCGTGTGTCTAACTTCAAATCAACGTGCCATGGCCCAACAATAAGGAGCCATCACACTACAGAAACCGTCCGTCATTTCCATACAAATACATAATTGTATTTATATGGACGGGGGGAGGGAGGAGGAGGAGTTCCGAAAATGGCAAAACAGGCAGTTCTGGTCGAATAGAACGGAGATGGTGACGTCGTGAGAACACAGCACAGCGCGAGGTCTTCTTCGTAAAACCCTGAAGACGTCGGGGGCGGAATGATGGGTCGTCTGTTTGGTCGTCTAGGGAGTCTCCTTGCTTCCAAGGCTTTCTAGCCCTCCTGTTCTTCTCATTCACTCGTATTTGTACAGTCTGTCTCGAGGCATCGCTTCTCCACCCAGACAACGGTGTCTCGAAGACTTCTTCCATGTCTGCGTCTTTTGGAGAGAGGTACCTAGCTGTACCGCACTTCTCCCCGACTTGAATCTACTGACAAGATAGAGAAGTCACTTCTGTACGACGTCTCTAGATCATCTTGAAGCACAAGAACCTCCGAATCCTCAATGATATCTCGACTACTTCAGCGTCTTCTCTCCGACTTGACAAGCTAGCAAATGCCTTCGGAATGTCTGGACCGTCTGAAAAACCGAGTTCTCCATCTAGACAATGATATCTTCACGGTTTTTGGAGGCCGACGTCTTAATGTTAGAGGATGGCTGTGCCGCGTTTCTCTTTGCCTCAAGAAAAGATGGAAAATTCGCTTCTAACCTTGTTGACAACCTCTTGATGTCGTGGTTTTCAGAGTTCTTACTGTACCCAACATTTGAAAGAAAACAGTTATGAAGCCTCGATTTTCATGACGCGTTCGGGCTTTCTCGAAAACCCTAGATGTAAGCGTTCTCTTCTGACTTTACTTCTGACAGCTGCCTCAAATTGAGAAAAAGATTCAAAAAGTTCGCAATTATATACGATCTGAGGCAATCGGAAGGCATCACACCTGGACGACGGCTTCAGGAATGCTAGGACATCACTATTTTCCCAATTTGGGGGAGTCTGATGTTGAAGAAAAAGTTTCAGCCTAGCTGTACCAAGCTTTGAAAACTTGATGACAGGGTGAAAAAAGAGACTGAAAAATCGTATCGTCTTATAGTCAGATTGAATCTGTCTCTGCAAAAAAGCGGGAGTCTACCTGAGAATCAGATTCAGAAGCCTCGATTCATAGCGACTTATAAGCTCTCAAAAATGGAACTTAGTCGGACAATCCAACATACTGAAGGAAATCAGTCTTGGCTTCATATTTTCTCCAGGAACTTCTCCAAGCCGTTTTCAGAGGCAGTGCTTTTTTCTAGATATGATGCCGAGCCTCCAAGAAAAAATGTTCCAAAGCACAAAAACACTTTTTTTTTCTAGCCCTGAAAACTTCTTCAGGCTATGGATTATAATGATGGCTCTCCTTTCTGAGGATGGCTCCTCATAATCATTAGTATATTCTCCAAAAACTAACGAGTGTAGTCTTTTATCCAGCTTTTATCCGGACATGAGTTCTTCCAGTTTTCAGCTTCTATGCCTTCAAGAGGTATCAAAATGAAGCCGTTCTTTTCCGAAGCACCACTCTTCGAGACCCAATCGCACCTCCTTGCCATGGCTTTCACGAAATTTTCCAGAAGCTCAGTTTTTCTAGCTCATCCTTACAAGTCCCAGGAAGTCTTCACCATCTCAACATTGGTACTCCCAGGTGCCAGACAATCTTCACGGTCATTTTCCACCCAGCACGGCCTACCGTACTTCTTATCAACTCTCGTCAAAACATTCGCAGCTTATCCAATTTCTCTGTCTTTCTCTCTCTCGCCGCCAAACTTCGGACAGTGGATGGAACCGTGGGAAAACAGCCAGAAAGTGTGGGAACACGAGAGAAGAGAGAACAAAAAAGGGATAGAAAAGAACCGGACTTTGTCCCGACCTGATCTTTGTTGGCAACTGACCGATTCCGATTCGAAATTTTAGAATTCACTGGCACAGAGAGTCTAGTTTGATCTACGTTGAATAAAAATCCTATGGAATTTGTTATACACTTCGGCCACCGAGCAATCTTTTTTCCAGTCAGGACCCAAAAAAGAGGTCTCGCCGCGACAGGAATTCAGCCTGTCGCGAAAAGGCGCCGACATCAATCAAACGGCCAAGATTTATGATGGGAGAAAAATCATCGCAGAAATCTTCTAAGATAACTTTTCTGTGAGAGAAAAAAAAAGCCATATCGAACGCGATGTTACACAATTATCTCAGTCCACTTCTTTTCTTTTTTCAAGCTAAAGGGACTTTTCTCTGTCAGCTAGAATTTAGGGTAAAACGAATGACAGAAAATGAAAAAAGTTCAATCGTGATATCTGAAAGTTGAATTGGAAAATCTATCATAAATTCCATGACTATTTTTATTTTTTGATTATTTTCTAGACCTCATCGCCTAAACTTAAGAAGCAATGATCGTACTTGGAATATCTTCAAAGTCTTGAAGCGTAGTGGCTTCTTTCTAATGATTTCCCATGCTCACGCGCGGGAGACCGTTTTTGGTCGGACGCGTCTTGAAAGAATCTTCATGGGTCATCCTTTCCTTTATACGTGCAATCGTATATTTCGTAATTCGAAATGAATTGTTTTGAACGTTTACGATGTTAAACGGAATAAATTTAAAGATTCAACTTCTGATAGCATTTTGTTCAGTTCCTCTTAACCTAAATCACTCCCCAAACATTCTGAACTATTGATCCCACCGTAACCTCTCGTTGGGACCAAAAAAGCAGGAAAATGATTTACTGACTTAGCGTACAACGTCGGCAGCTTCTGCCACTTCTTTTCCAACCGGCTTTCCCCTTTTTCTTCTTTTCTTCTTCAAAAGACAGCACGAGGCCTTTTCTCAACCCTTTCCTCTGAACCCAACCAAAACAGAGAAAAAAAACGAAAGAAAGAGGAAAAACTGGCGCAAAAGACGTAAATAGCTCCACTTATCACTATCAAATATTGCCATTACTGTATATGTCGATCATAAATAATCACAGGCATTGTTCGCGTTTTGACAACGACAATCAGAAAAGGGTGAAAGTTCGTTTGACCAAGATGATAATAAAGAAAAAAGGAATCATTTTGGAAATTAATGGGGATTGATATGGTTTGTGTTGTGCCTTTGTTTACATGAAAAAAGTAGCCAAACATCGGATTAAAATCACCGCAAGAAAACCATTCCCAGACTCTTGCGAATCTAACAGTCAAACTTCAAAAAAATTAACTTTTTCGAATTACAGCTTACTTCAGAAAATTCCACAGCATAATGCTAGATGAATTTTTTCCGAAGGCAGATTAAAATTAACCGCAATGGATACGGAACGCTTCAGAGCCATTCTAAACTTCTGCAGATCTAAATTCGGTTTCAAGAAGGGTAAAACCTTTCTAATAACTGTATGGTCTGAAAAACTACCGATGATCTCCATTAAACCTACCAATAACTTAGAATTACTGAAAACCGGCCGCGACGCACACGAAACGCCTTAGGCCCATTCCCACCTTCTGCACATCTAAATTCGTTTTCCAGAAAGTTGAAAAATTTCCAAAACATTACAGCAACCTGTCGAATAAACTTTCTCGTATGAATCGATAAACAACCACCTCGAATACATAATTCCACTGAGCCAAAAATTTAGAGGAGACTGCTTATAATTGACCGCCACGCAACCGCAACGCCTCTGAGTCTTACTAAATATAACCCGACTGAACTACAGTATCCAAAGAAATGAAGTTCCTCGTTCGATATCAATCGAGGAACAGCCAATGACCGTCGGGACATAAATCAACTACGTCAAAATTCCAGAGACTAATTCGAATCGACCGCGACGCAGCCGCAACGCCTCAAAAACCATCCCAACGAACACATTTGCAAAAGTTCCAATGTACTCCACTACCTCAACCAAAATAACTAAAACAACGTTTTTTTCCTCTTCGCCCAAGGCAAAAACCAGCAACAAAGTTCGGCCAACCGGTCAAACTGCAAAAAAACTGAAATCTCTCGAGAAACCGAACTCTTTTTCGGCGCCAAATTAGAATTATTTTTTTCGACCAGCCAGGACATGGACCAACTACGTCAACAGAGCGTATTTTTGTCTCTGATCTGTTTGTGGGAAAGAGCAGAAAAACGAGAAATCGAACTCGTGTTTTGGGTTCGTAATGAAACATTTTGACACTTGACATGGTCGAATTGATTAGGAAAACGCATGTTTTCGGGGGCTTTTTTTTGTAACATTTCAATCTTGTTCCCGAGGGAGCTTGTTGTTGTTTTTTTTTTGGAATGTGGTAACTGAACAATTTTGTATTTTGTCCCCAAGTTATTGGTAAGTTCAAAGAGATCGACTTTTTTGGGGGGTTCAAGTTTTGTCTCTTTGGAAATTGAAGTTTCGATTTTTTTAGTTTTTTTCAGCGTTTTTTTCTAGGAAAAAAATTTAATTTTTCTCGATTTCCAAGCTAAGTTTCAAATTTTACACTCTCATTGCTATAATTTACGGTGAAAATCTAAATTTATGTTCCTTTTTTTTTGACGAAGTATTTCTCAAAGATCTACCTGGCGAATCAAAGTTTACAATTTTCTTAATTGATATAAAAAGTCTTTGAAACGTATATTTACCGGTTTCTAGAGGTATCAAGGAATTGAAATGTCTTTTTCAATACGTGAGATTTACTCAAATTCAGGTCCTTTTGTGAAAAATTATATTCTTAAAATTAACTTGTTGCAATCCTCATGATTGAAGTTTCAAACACACCGGATTCATATATATAAATTCTTCGAAACGTATATTTCCTCGGGTTTTTCATAATTAACCTAGGAAGCTGGATGATTTTTTTCAGGCCAATTAAAACTGAAAAATCCCTTAAATTCATTCCAAACTTGACTTTTTTCTTTAAAGCCTCCTCTTTCACTCCCAAAGAAACTGTCCGCAATTTAAAAACCTCCAAAAAACCTCAAAACCACAAACAAAACTTTCAAATTGTTCCCCTAGAAGCACCAATAATCAACAACTGAGCCACTCCCAAGAAATTTTCTCCAATTTTCACCGAAAATACAAAAATTCCATAAGAACCGCAGAAAAGACGTATTTAGACGGCAATTCATCTTCTCCTTCTAATACGACGACGGCCAGTTGTAACGCCGCACCGAACACGTGAATCCGATGCGATGTTCCATAAAACCGCTCCAAGTCGGGGGAATGAGAAAAAGTATGTTTTGAGCAGATGAAAAAGACATTTATCAGATAAAAATGCATCGAGAAAGGGCCAGAATTTGAGCTTCAAAGACCTCGAATTATTTTTTTGGTAGATTGAAAATCTTTCAAGTAGTAAGAGGGACAACTAAAAATAGCAGAAAAGTCAGATTTTCTAGCTTAAAAACGGAAAAACCATAAAATCGAAGCTGATGACCTCAAACTTCTTTGTGAAACATGGAACCTAAACTTAAATTTTTCAAAAGATTATCTCAATTATTTCGGGAATCTCAGCTTGGGTCTCATAAAACCGCTTCAAGTCTGGGCGAAACAGGGGTAAAAATATTCACTCAAATTAACGTAAATCTAGCTTGAAGAATGGAAAGTTCTTTTTCAAGAAAAAGAAAATTAAAAATCCAAATTTTTGGAAAAACTTTAAAGCTCAGTCGGATGAAAACCACTTATGGTAAAATTTTGATTGTAAATCTTCTTTTTAAAAACTTTTTATGACTATTGAATGATTGATAAAATGTCAATGTGGCTACTGATGAGCAAAAATCCATAATTTTCTACCACAAAAAAGGGAATATCATACCCAAAATGTTGAAAATTCTTGATCCCAAGGAAAGGGACCAATATCTCGTTTTTTTGAAAACAATCCTATTTGCTTGAAATTTTTTCATATCAGAACGCCTGCACTTAAAAATCTTTCAATTACTTTTTTAGAGTTCTACTCGGACCTCGGTTCACAAGAAACGGACGTGTCTGAACAGTTCTAGGGATCACTTGAGAGCCCTGAAGTCGCTAAAGTGGTCTCTAGGAATGCTCAAACACGTCTGATTCGCGTTACCAAGGTCCGAGCTCGTTTTTTTGTTGTATTTAAGTTCCATCAATTTTCCTTCTCTCCAATTTTTTTTTTTGAACAGCAGAAACAGAGATGTTCCCATATATTTTACAAAGTTGCGTCCAAAAATAGAAAATAAACTAAGATTGATCTTTTTTCGCGACATATCAAAATGTGTGCAATGATCAGCCACCTTGATTATTGACGCAATGTTCTTCTCGTCAACTTGACGTCACTCTCTACTATGACGCTTGATCTACGATCCACTTTCGAGTCTTTTCTTGGAAACGGGCCAAAATAGAAACGACTAATTTATTGAGTGATAAGCTTTTCTTTTCTTTTGGATTTGCTCAATCTCATCGCTAATCGAGAAAAGAGCTTGGAGGTTACTGTAGTTCGCTAGAAGACCCATTCATTTTTCAATATAAACATACAAAGATAATCAAAAAAATACAATGGACTTGCGTATTCTAGCTTTTTCAGCTTCAAATGAATCTTTCAGGAATTTGAATTTTGCACAAAATCCATTGTTAATTGTAAATACAAAGTTCGAAGATTTAAAAAAAACCATTTTTTCTTTTGGAATAGTGCCAAAAGAGATTATTTTCCGAAAATCGGTTTCATGCTACTTACACTTTTCCAGCTCCACATCAACTCGGTTTAAAACTTCTTGCTGGTCGCATTTGGAATGGCTCAAAATGCGGCGGAATAATTTGGTCGAAAAATTGCCTTCAAACGGCTCAAAATGGTGCTTCTTGATAACTTCGTGCGCAAGTCGTTTCAGGTCGGGAGCAAAGCTTCTAACCTTTCAAAGTGCAGTCTTACAAGCCTGAATGTCACTTTTTTCTAGAAGGTCGAAATATTCGAAATTCTAAGCCTTCCAGACCAATTATATCAATAAAGTTCTCCTAAGGGCTATGGAAATAAGTTAACGTCATAAACTTCAAATGTATCCATTCTGTCCTTAAAACGGAAGTGTTTTCGATGAACGGTCGAAAAATCGAAGAAACTTGCAAAAACGTACTTTGAGTTCTCCTGATTGCAAACCATAACGAATATTTCAAGTTTTCGTCTTTACATCTGGTTGTGAAGCCTCAAAAACTATGAGCTGCTAATAAAATCAAGGAAATCGAAATTTTAAAGCCTTTAAAGCTTCATAACTCAACTGAAAAAGGAGAAAGTTAAAAAACACCTTGAATTGGAATCAGGAGACCTCAAAGTACATTTTTGCAAAGTTCCATAACCAAAAACAATTTCGCTGTTTGATTTTTCCTTCTTAAAGTTCTATTTTACAGTCTTTAAAAAGTCGAAAAAAAGAAATTGAAGTGATTTTTTTCCTTTAGAAGCTTCTCCATACTTTCCTGCCTAATTCGTCTTGTAGACTTTTTTTTCTTTTTCAAAATTGAAAAAAAGGAAATGAAAAAAATCATGGTTTTTTTCAGATGATCATCTTAAAAAGCGCCAGAGTGATCACTACAGGGGCAACCTTGAGGAAACTTGGAGATTCCCCTCTAGGGACCACTCTGGCATTCTTAAAAATCCTTTTTTTCGAAATTTCTTGCCAAATTGCGTTGTTAGACTTTTTTCTTTTTAAAAATCGAAAAAAAAGATGAGGCTCAAAAAGGGAGGAAAAAGACTTTTTAGTTATACAACTTTAAAACTCCAGAGTGATCCCTTCAGGGGTATATTTAAGGAAACTTGAAGGTACCCCTCTAGGGACCACTCTGGCATTCTTAAAAGCTCTTTTTCAAATTTTAACTTAGATTTTTCTTTTCTTCAAAGTTGAGGCTCAGAAATAAATGAAAATTCGTAATTTTCCATTTTTTCTTTGCCAACTGTTTCATTGGTACAATCTACCAATCTAACGTCATCCAGACATTAAAAAAAAAGAAAAAAAAACTTGATAATTGGTCCAAATGAACTTCTCAATTTCGATAAGAAGGGCACGTGAATGCACCTGGAATACTGTATAGTTGGCAGATTTTTCCGTCACGCGTTTCAGAAAATGGGAGAAAAAGTGGCGAACGCCAGTTGGGTCGTAAATTTCTTCCCACAAGACAAATTTCGTACTTTGCCCTTTTTTCTCGTGTTTTTATGGTTGCACAACATTTTTCTTCACGTTTCTCATCGTTTGAGTTCCGAATTTCGAGTGATCTTTTTTTGATTTTGATGAGAAATGGGGGAAAAGGATGAAATTCGTTGAAATCACCAAATAAACATCTGCCACATGCTGGAATCTACGGAGAAGGGGTGAAAATACGAGTTTCGAGTATCTGGCGAAAAGATAATTTCAAAATTCCTCCAAACTAGGCTAGATCATCGTGATTTCAAATAAATCAAAAACAATCTCTTTTCAAGATAATTTATAACTCAGGTAAAAATTGGGAAGCTTTTTCTTTCAGTTCTTCAGAAGGCGTTCAGAAGGTTTCCAGCAAGTGGTCAACGCCTTCCACATAGCTTCTTAACACCTTCTACTTAAAAAAAGCCTGGCAGAAGCTTTTAGAAGCTTTCCAGCAGGCTTCTGGCGGAAATTTTCCATTTTCACCTTCGGAACTTCTTCCAAAGGCTTTCTTCAGACTTTCTAGCTTCCATACACCTCCCAACCTCCTGCTGGTTAACTTCCCAACACAGGATTTGCCTGAGTAAGTTTCCAAGACCCCAAAACCGTCTTTTTTTTTACTGCAACCTCAACTTTTTCTGTTGATCCCATAACTTTCTCCGCCATGACTATATTTTTGATGTATTTTCGAAACACAAGATTTCGCTAAATATTTCAAACCCATCGAAAAAATCGTCTTTTTCAGTAACTTTATAACGCATTCAAGTCCCCGAAACCCCTCTTTCTTAGTGCAATCCAATATTTCAAACTTTAAAAAAATCTACTAAGCACAAAGGGCGTAAATTTCTCGGCTATTTTTTTAGATGGGGGTTTTTCTAAAGAAGTTAAATATACGAAAAATCATTATTTTTTTGCTCTAAATAAGAAGCTAAACTCATCAATAGAGCGCAAAAAAATGTGCCGTTACCTTCTCTAATTTATCCATTTTCCCAATGATTATATATATATATATATATATATTTTTTATGGAACTCACACTATACCAAATTCAGATCAACTGTGTGATTTAATGAACACCGGAAATCTTTTAAAAATGCTTATCAGGAATTGAATTTTTGAAGCTTCCTAAACATTCTCCTATCAAAAATTATAAGATTTTCAACTTTTTACGAGATAACGTGGCACATATACTAATAGAATTCCTATCAAACGTTGTTAGATTGAATAAAAAAAGGAACTAACAGTAACAATGGCCCTGGAACAAGCCTCGACGCCGTAATGGGTCAAGACCAAGTTCAAATCGTTCGAATAGACCGAATTCACGTCGAGGACATCGGCGTGCTTGAAGAAGGCCTGAAAAGGACATGATTTGATCATTCCCAGAACTATCCTTAATTTTTTCCAAATGATAACATAATCTCTTTTCCAACTATAACCAACTTTTACCGTACTTTTTTCGCAAATTGTCATTTTCCTATTGTAGTCCTAACACGTTTTATTCTTTCAATTTTTTTATTTTTTTGCCATTTTCTGATTTTTTTCTCCTTGTTCAATTTTTGAACTTTGACTACAAAAAAACTTTGACCATTTTACGATTTTCAAAATAAAAAAATGTAATTTTTTTCGAAACTATAATACTTTTTCTTCATTTTCACCTGCAGATTGACTCCTTGGGTCTGCAAGTAAGTGACATTTTTCCCGTCCTTCTCCTCCTCTCGCTCCACACAGCGTTCGATTCCCGGGGTTTGGTGGACGATAAAAACGTCGGCTTCTCTGAATATACCCGAAAATGATTTTAATCCCATAAACAGTTCCAAAACCTTTCAACAATCGACGCAAAATCGAATTTGGTTTTGTTGCGGAGGGGCAATTGGAAGACGACTTCGCACCATTTGTTGCTTTTCTCATCGAATTTGTAAGAGAAGATGAAGTCCGACAAGTGCATCACGTCCTAAATCGACTTTCGGATTCAGTAAGAACTTTCTTAAAAACGTTCTTTTTAAAATTTGCGTAAGGTTTGGAATTTTCCATAAATTTGCTTAAAAACTTTCTGATATACCAAAAACCGATCCCACATAGTCGCTATCTGCGCAAACTTTTTATTTTGGAGATATGATTTTTTAAATTTTTTGTCATGAACACGTGAACACGCCACTATAGGGTTTTGACGTTTTAGTGGTCCCTACAGTAGTCAAATTAGTGGGCACCTGAGGGGTTAAAAATTAGTGGCCATTATAGAGGTCTCAGTGCTACTAACAGACCGCTAAAAATTTTAGTGGCCACTTTAGGGGCCAATGGATCAACATAACTGGTCCAATCTGTTTTTTTTTTGAATTATCAGAGTTACTGGAAGGAATACTGAATGAAAAACTACTGAAGTGACCACTAAATAGAGAGCTTCTATAGTGGCCACTAAAACGGAAAACAGTGGCCACTATAGAGGTGGGTTTAGGGGCCACTTTAGTGTTCTCTCCAAGTAGTCCTTTCAAGCCTCTATAGTGGCTACTAAAAATTTTCCCAGTTCTTCAGAAGTTGGTGGTAAATCTATTAATTACAAGAAGTTATCGGCTTTTATTTTTTTTTCATATTGGAAAATCAGCTTCAAATCCCTCCAAGATAGCAAGAATGCATGTAGAATGGTTCAAAGCGCCTTCAAGCCATTCCAAATGCGACAGAGGCCGTTTTCAAAGTTTTTCAACGCGTTTATAGACTTGCTCAAAGTTTTTTGTGTGTCTTCTTGCTGCTCTAGTTTTTTTGCATGTTAACCAAGCTGTTGATTGTCAACATTGCTCTATAGAACTGCAGAAAAAAGGATTCAAAGCGAAAATCGCCAAAAAGAACTTTCGGCAAAAAGAAAAGCTAGACAAGCAGGGTTACTGAAGACCAGTTGCCCAGAATTATTCAATTATCCAAATCTTCCACGCACCTGAACGCGGGCCATGAACGACTTGGTCTGTTCGGCTTCGAAAGGCCTTCTTCGCCCGGATCTTCTCCCGTTCGACGTCGTCCATCTCCTCGTCGCCGGATCCCTTGCCGCTGTCGTCGTCCGACGCCTGAACATCTTCTGGATTCCTTGACGATACGAGAACACTTTTATTAATTTCTTTTTGTTGAAACCTTGTTTGGGTCGTTATAGTCTGTGTACTACGACTTGGAATTTCTCGGAACGACATTCCGCTGTGCCGCTGCGCGCTTTTAATTTTTTTTTTCTACTTGTAAGGTACTCTACTTTTATGTGCTCCACAGCAATAACAATCAATTGAAAGACGCTTCGCGAACGCACGCAGCGGAACAGCGGAATGTCGTTCGGTGAAATTTAAAGTCTTGCCACACAGACTAGGGGCGGCATAGCTCAGCTGGCATAACTCATTTCTAACGTCCGCGAGGTCGTAGGTTCGACTCCCCCCGAGGTCGACCAAGCCCTTCATCCCTCCGGGGTAGATAAAATTGGGAGCTGCATGCAGCGAAAAGGCTCAATCTCTGCCATCGGCCTTTGGAAAGCCGGCACCGTAACTCTTCCTACGACCTCTCTTGTACCTGATGTTCTACGAGCGAAATTCACAACTTCTCTGCCTAAGCCACAGCTCCTGCCGCCGTTTAAACACAGTCAAATCAATGAAAGTCGATTGCACATGTATTCTTACATTGAAGATGCAATAAACAGTTTTTTTAAAACACAGACTATACCTATCAACAATCAAAATCTTCACTCTATTCTGTCAGCTTTACTTCCATGGGCTCAAAATTTATTTTATTCTTTCCTTTTTCATTCAAGTCTGCCTCTCATTCTGATTGACTTTTTTTCCGGTGTAGATGCCCTCGGATGATATGTTGTCCCCTTCAAAGTCTAAAAAATGACCGGCGGCTCTTCCTCGTCTCTGGCGCCGACGTCGCCCCGCTCTTCCTCTTCTCCTTCGTACTCGGCCGCCTCGTCGCGATGTCTGTTGTGAAGACGTTTCTCGGAGGCATCCGCTTCTCGGCCGCCGTCGGCTTCTTCGTCGGAGGATTCGCCTCGGTCAGGACCTTGTCTGGAAAAAAAAAAATTCCGTGACTTCCAGACCGGTATCAAATTTGAGCGTGACGGTCAATGAAATCGATATCTTCCGAGGGAAACTATTCATCAAGTCTAGATCCTTTCAAAAACACGAAACTTCAGAAAATGATGGAAAAAGGATCCAAGAACTCCTTTTCAAGTTCCTAACTGTCTTCCGAAAAATTTTCTAAATTTTCATGACCCTCATTTCTCTAAAAACGCTAAAACCTCCTTTCAACTCCACTTTTTCAACTTTGAAGCTCGATTTTAACTCAATAAAAAACTTTCTAATAGATATAGGGTCTCAAAAAGAGGCTATAGGAAGGCTTTCTTTAAAAAAAACTTTCTTGGATAATTATTAAAAATTATTTAGAGCTTTTTTTGAGTCTCCTACTTGTTTCAAGACTTTCTGCCTTCTTTTTTTCCTACCAAACAGATCTTTCTCAACAAAAACTACAAAGAAGCCGAACTTTCAAAAAATCCAGCCACTTCTTCTAAAAATAACATCTAGCAATTGAATTTTCCACAAAAATCGAAATTTCGACGAACAATCCGCTGGCGTTGTTCGGAGTTCCTTGGCTGGCGGCCGTGTTTCCACTGCGCAGTTTGGCGTATTGCAGTTGTTGGTACTCATTCACGTCTTCCGACTTTTTCTTCACTGCGAAAGACAGACGGGAGATGAACCGCTTCTCGATCTGCAAGGATATTCTTAGCAGCGCCAGTGTGGTCCCCTATAGAGGTTCTTGAAGTCTGCCCTATAGGGGCTGCCTTAACTCCCCCTATGAGAGCGCTTCTACAGAGAACTACTCTTAGGAATTCCAGAGTGGTCCCTATAGGGGTTCGGGAGGAAAAGAACCCCAGAGAACTCCAAAAAGTGGTTGACATAAAAGTAAAACTATGGTGGTCCCTAAATGGGATTTTGGGTCTGACCCATCAGCCCCTGAAGCTCAAGTGGAACCTATAGGGGTCTTACAATTTTATTAAAAAACGCTCTTTTTCAGTTTTCGGCATGAAAATGCTTCTTCGCACAAGCGTTAGTGGCCCCTAGAGGGATCGGTAAAGTGGGGCTAAGGTTGCCTCTGAAGGGACCACTTTAGAGTTAATGAGCTAGCCGTTTATTTTTTTAGGAGCTCTATAAAAATTTTTCAAAAAAATTACTACTCAATAAATTGGCGTTTCTGAATGAAAAATATATCAACAGAGGATTATTCAATCGAGATTTTTCAAATTTTCGAATTTGAACAAAAATTAAAAGACCCCTATAGGGACCACTTAAGCTTTAGGGGCTCTCCACGGATCACCTAAATTTCGCCCCTAAGAGTTTCTATTTTCCACTAATTTCATAAAGAAAAAAAAATCCATTTTTTCTTCCCTTTTTTGTGTTATTACCTCCTGCATGATGGTGCTGCGGCTCAAATGTCGTGCTCCCTGTTCTCTTTTTGCCGAGGGAAGAAGTTCCATTCGCAAAATGTACTTTCGCATCGTCTCGCTGTACAAAAAAATGCATTGAAAAAGGGTGAGAGAAAAAAAAATGCCAAGAATGGGAACTTTGATGCGCTCGAAAATAATGAAACGATGACTTGGGATCATCCAGAAAGCCTGGTTATTTTTCCAGCCATTTTTCGTTTTCTGCGGGTCGGGTGCGGGGGGGGCGATTTTAGACTAAAAATATAGTCTCCCACATTTTATTCAGCCCCCTCCGCACACCAATATTTCTTCACCCCCCTAAAAAAATAAAAAGAAAACGTAAAGAGTCTGCATGAGCGATTATCAGCAACTGTTTTTTGCAAAATCTCAAAAAATAACCTAGCTGATAGGGTGATCCTCTCATCCAGTACAAAGTTCTTCAGAACTTGTTTCAGGTAAACTCGGTCGAGCTCCTGTTTGATGGCGTCGATTCTTTCCCGCGGCGTTCCCGGAATCACGGCGATCTGGACGGAAACATATGAAAAAGGACCTCATGATTGAAAAAAAGAAAAAAATTTACAGAGAAAAAAATTTCTTTAAGACTGTGAACGGAAAGATAATGAATTATATAATATAGGTAAGTTTTGAACTGAAAAAAAAGTAAACTTAGTTTTTTTTTTATGACGAAATTAGGTAAAAACGGAGCAAAACATGGAGAAATCCGTTATAAATTTTTAGAAATCGTCAAAAACTTGATTAAACGTTGTGCCTTCTAAGCCCTCCAAAAAAAAAGCCGTAGTTCCCCAAATCTTTTTAATTTCCTATTTTTTACCTAAAATCTTCTCAAATCCGTTAAGAAAACATATTTCACATGTACCATCTCTAATTCAGCTCAGATAAAAACTGTTTCATGTTTTATTTTCAACGTGAAACGTATTTTTTCCTCTAAAACTGTTGGAAAGGCTCTGGAACTACAGAATGGTACCTATAGGGGGCATTGAAGGGTTCCCTTTAGGGTTCACTTCAGCAACCCCTATAGGGGGCCATAGAGCTTTTCCCTAACCCCTATAGGAACCACTTGAGCTTTAGAGGCTCAGGAGTCAGACCCTAAATCCATATAGGAACCTCTTTTTCCCCCTATAAGGGCTGTTTTTCACTGAATCCCTATAGGGATCTTTCTGGATCTTCCTAATCTTCCTTTTACATCAAAATACTCTAAAAAAAGGTTTTCTGTTCAATTTTCAACGTGAAAAGCATATTTTCCCTTCCAAGGAGAAACCTGAGCACTGGGGGTCGCGATATTCTTCGAGGCGGTCATCAGAATCTCGCGAAGACGCGGAATTCCCAGCGTCACGTTCATTTCTCCTCTGCCGGCGAAATGGAAGGTGTTCAGTGTCATCTGAGTTGAGGGCTCTCCAATGGATTGGGCCGCCAGGAGGCCGACGTTCTCGCCGGGTTCCGCCATCGATCTCATTCCTTGAAAGAGCATGGCTTGAAAATTGAAAGAACAGCTTAAAATATTTTTTGAGATCGATAAAGATGAGATCATCTTGGACTTTCTGGCCTAATTTAAGGCGGAAAAGCCGGCTTTCGTGCCATAAAAGAATGAAGAAACAATCTCATTGATAGGCACCACAAGCCATTTCTCGAAAAAAGTAATGAATAGTCGAATCTAATATCATAGGATAGAGCAGATTGTCCAAAAATCAAGTCAGCTTAGCTTTTCGAAAAATTTTGATTTTGAGCCGAGTTATGAAGCTTTTAGTGACGCGCGAGAAAACCAAAAAATCTGGCGTTTTCCGAGTTTTCGGCTGCCGCCGCACTGTTTTGGCTCGTTTTCCATTCATGTGCAACCGTTTTTGAATCGGTTTTTTGTTGAAAACTGATGAGAATGCCTCTCTGATTGTTAATCACTCACTTTGAAGTTTCTACAAAAATGATTAATTCGAAAAATAAGGAAAAAGGATCCTCGGAACCAACGGAAAAACTATTATATGATATGTTCTGTTCAAATAATCTAGAGAAGGCAGTCTAACAGTTACATAAACAAGAGAATGAAAAATAATGTTTAATACAAATTTCTGAACTTTTAATTTCGGATTTTCCAGGTCTTTTCTGACTTTTCACGTGTCAGAACGTTTTGCATTCCCCTCCGTTTGATTCGATTATACCTTTCCAATACATCGTCCTTCTCAGAGCATCTTTGGGCTCATCTTCGTCCTCATTGCAGAAAGAATGAATTTCGTCGAGCATCTTTTCAGGCAGGGCGCCGAGGGTTGTGTTCGGGTTGTAGACCTTCAAATTGATTGAGTTTTCAAGGAGAGGATCATGTTTTCTTCTTTTTCAAAAGTGTCTTTACATTTTGATCAACGCTTCCAAAATACAAGTGATAACAAATTCTCTGAAAATTGAAAAAAAAACCGAAAACTTTCTCCTCCTATTTTTGAGGTCTCTGTTCAAAACTACTATAAATTTCCAATCATTTCGACTTTTTTCTGAAACCATACATGGGCAGACCATTTTTAAAGGCCGAGTCCTCATTTTAAGTTTTTCTAAAGTTGATACTACCTCCCTGAGGCTAAAACTTGTATTACTGTGACCAAAAAAACCTCCCGGAGGTTAAAACTTTATTTCATTGCCTAATTTTTTTCAAAAATTCTCGGGAGCCAACCCTTCCTCCCATTTCTGTACTTGACCATCTATTTCTGAAACTAAAAATTCAAAAGTACTTGAGAAAAATTTTTCAAAAAAATTTTTCATGAAAAAAACATGATTTTCAAAGAAATCCGATAATTTTTCAAGCTTCAAATTATTTTTTTAGAATTTTTTTAAAAATAGTTCAAAAGTTTTGTAATTTGGCAATTTTCTACCTGATCCACAGCACTCGGGCATTTTTTGGGGACAGCTTTTTCGTAGGATTTTCTTTGGTCGGCGTCTAATTCCGCCCACATGGCGATGATCTGAAAAGAGGAAAAAGTTACAGAAATTCAAAAGAGCCAAAAAAACACACACAAAAAAAGGGAATGACAAAAGTAAAACGAAAAATGAAAGTAATAAACGAATCCTAGACCTTTTCCTTGCTGTGTCCAGTGTTTTCCAAGGCGAATTCCATAAAAGCCGATCGGTACTTTTTGATGACCTTTCCCTTCGTTTTCCTCCGCCACGAGCAGATCTTGAAATTCAGTGGGGTTTTGAAATTAAAGGAGCTAAAAAGAAGAAAATTCCTTAAAAATTCTCGTACTTCATAAAAAAAAACTTTGTACGGAATCTCCACAGCTTTTTTTTTCCCTTCCCGCGCTCCGCTTGAATTTCCTTTTTAGCTGTGAAAGCTGTTTCAAGACGCTTACAAATCTTTTTCACATTTTTTTAAATCTTGTTTCCTGAAACATTTCGTCATTTTTTTCAAGCTGAATATTTTGCGCTCTTTTTCCAAATCCCACTGGTTTTCTAAAGTTTTTTCAATCTTCCAAATAAATTCTTCAAAAAATCCATTCCCCAAAACCTTCTTGTATCGCTTCTCGGCGTCCCTGACGTTGTACTCGGAGTCGTTGACGCCTTCCGGCTTGCTGGCCATCGTGACGGCCTTCAGATTTTGCTCGAAGAACGGCATCGTCTTCTTGTTGAGGAACGTCGATTTGATCACGTCCATTCCGTCTTCGCCGTACCGGAACTACAGAAAAGATATTCTTTATTGGTTTCCCTTGGAAGTTGTGATTTTTTTTTTGAAACCACAATGAATTCTCATCGCTCCTAATGTGATGAAATCCGTTTTTTACTTGATTTTTATCTTGCGAATCAGGATTTTATAAAAATATTTATTGTATCAAGTTTTTTTGAGGCAAAAAGAAAGCAAAAATCGCTAACCCCTAAAGGTAACACCTAGATGTCTCCCCCCAAAGGGGCTTTTTTTCCCTAATTAACCCCTAGAGGGATTACTGGCGTTCCTAAGGAGACTTTTTTTCGTTGACAAAAATTAATCCAAGAAGATCAAGAGCCAAGACAAAAAAACATACTTGGAATAACCTAGGTTCGGCCGCATTGGGGGGACTTTTATTCTCTAGTTGTTTGATGATCAATTTTAATCATTTCTTCCAATTTTTCGACGCTCTGACGGTATTTCTTCACCTGTATGATGGATCCATCGTGGTCCCTGACTGTGTTATCATAATGCACGCGGATTCCTTCCAAATGCTTGATGATGCATCTTTGAAGGTACCCCGAGCGCGACGTCTTCACAGCCGTATCGATAAGACCCTGATAATTGTCAGTTTTTGAGCTGTTTCAAAATTTTTTTCTATCAAATTTTCTTTGACGAATCGCCAAATATAGATTTGTTAGTGGGCCGAATCGCAGTCGCAACTTTTTAAAAATATCTTTTCAAAAAATTTGAATCCCATAACTTCGGTAATTAATTATTTTGGATCATTCACTCCCTGATTTACACATTTTTTGGAAAGTTCGAGACAAAAATGTACGAAAAGTGGTCAAATTTCGACTGCAACGCTATGACCTGCCCAGCACACAGTCTTGAAAAAATTGTTCCAGACTTTGACTTCTTTACGATAAAACATCATGATTTTTCATTGATTTCAGACCTCCGACCTCACTGACCTCACCTCAGACTTCCGACCAGATCCAGATCTCATCAATCGGAATTAGAGTCAGAAAAACAAAAATCCTTTCGATTCGTATCAGTTTTTCTTGCGGAAATTTCTCACAATCACTATGAAACGTTATTTTTTTGAACTTGGTAACTTCAGGTCAAAACGGAAAACGAAAAATCTTAAATAAGCTTCAAAAGGCTTATTTCCGTCGAAAAAATCCATTAAAGATCATATATTTGTTCCCAAAAACTGGAGTTTCAAACAAATCATTGCCCGCCTTGCTTGGATCTCATTGTCATGTTGAAATGAAATTTTTTCAATAAAAAGGATTTTCATGCCAAAATCTGTTTTGCTAATTAATTCGTAAATATTAGAGATTATGCTCTATAATGAGGCTTGAAGCGAACAAAACCAGAGAAAGAAAAAAAGGTATGGACAATTTTTCAGCCAAAGTTAAACGGAAAACGGACGAGTCCCCCGCATTTTGAAAGAACCAGTTAGTCCTTTCTTTTCTGATATTTTGATTTGAAATATTGCCAAGAAATATATTTTCATAAGTTTTCTGATCTTCCACAAGCCAGTGCAAAATAAGCCCAAGACCAACTTCACGACCAGCCATCGTGTGGAAGAAGAGTTCCTGGGGGTTCATTCCGGTCAAAAATCGCTGATCAATGTATCCGCCAGCCCGTGGTGAAGGGTCGAAAGCGCGGAAGGAGGGGAGGGTCCGGCCAGCGATTGTGACGGCCATACGCTTGCCTTCCAATTCGATTTGGCCCAAGCAGCCCGAGATCTGAAACGGTTATCACAGATCAACAGCTGAATTCAAATTTAATATGAAAAAGTCAATGTATAACATATTATCACGAATTTTTACTATTATCAAGCAAAAAATCGGTTTCCTTGGAAACTAGAGAGCACGGGTAAAAAAGGCGCATAAATAAAAAGTCCATCTGAAAAAATCCAGAGTGGTCCCTATAGGGGCAACTTTAGAGGCCCTTAAAGGGACCCACCTCGGGACTACAGGGCTTAATAAAGCTTGCAAAAGCGGTCACTATAGGGGGCATACTAGCCGTTTATTTTTATGAGAAAAAGTATTACATGCGAAAAAATCGATGAATCATTGTTTTTGAACGAAAAAAACATCAAAAAAGGTTTAGTCGACCTTTTCAATTTTCAAATTTTAACGAGATGTTGGTAAACCCCTATAGGGGCCACTTGAGCTTAAGAGGCTCAGAAGTCATACCCTAAAGCCCTATAAGATCCACTTGAATTTCACCATTATAGGTGGAATTTTTTCCCTTTTGTTTCCCCCAAAGTCCCCATAAGCCCTATAGGGTCTACTCTGACGTTCCTAAGACACTCTCATTTTTCAACGCTCTCTAGATTCGAAAATTGACTCAAAAAATTACTTCAGGTGTTTTTTATAACGTCCCTACCTTCCTGCAATTTTTTTGAAAACTTAAATTTGATCAATAAAAAATCAATTTACAAAAGGAATCCACCCTTTTTCAAATTTGTTCATTTCTTATCGAATTCTCGAACTTTTTTTGAATCGATTTTCTATACCCAAAACCGAAAATTTATGGAAATTCATAATTTACGAAGACTCAGAGCTTGAAAAATCCCCTATTTTCCTTGATTTTTTATCGGAATAACTTCTTATCACCTATAATTAATTAATCACCTGGATCGCATTGACGGCAGAACCTTTAGCTCCAGATTGGATCATCAATTGGAGGGCATTCTGAGGGAACGGTCGAATCAGCCCAGTCGGGACACAAGATCTGTACATTTTCCCATTTTTTCATATTTCAACTGTCTCGTTTCACTTTGTAATGGCGTCGTTGTACTTGGCGATGGCTTGTTTCATTCCGAAATCGAGCATTTTCACGTCCTGACCCGGGCCCCGGGGATTGCAATAAGTTGCCGCCAAAGTCCTCTTGATTTCAGCTTTCGAGGCGTTTTCGGCAAGGCCGAACGTCGTTTTGACGACCTTGAAAAATCGAGGTGAGATTTTTTTTATCAAATAGTTTTTTTTTAAAAATATATCTTATGCAGCAACTTGTAACTTTCTGCCCGTCTGCGTCTCTCTGTTCCCTCACCGGCGAGGTCAGAGGAACATGAAAACAGCACAGGAGCTTGAGAGAGAGAGCAGAGAAAAGCATCAATTTCAAGTCACGAAAAACGGACTATATAGCTGAATCATGGCTAGCTTGAGACAATAAGGGGCGTGGCCTCTCTGCGCTCTCCGCAAACCAGGCACTATCTCGTGCTTTTTCGTGTCAGGACCCTTTTTTTCGATGGCTCAAGCCAGCCGGTAGTCAGCTATACAATGACGTCATTTGAAAACGCTCTCTGAGTGGTTTTTCGCGCCATTAGGGGCGGAGCTTGATCAAAAACTCGAAATTCAAAGTCTCTAGCGGCTGTAGCTTGAAACTCACAGAAAAAATATGGATAATCGCGAAAAATTTTTTACGAAAAAAAAAATTTTTAATCAAAAACTTCTGGAATGAAGATCAATATTTCTGAAACTTTCCGGAGCATTTATAACTGATATTTGGGATAAAAATTGTGATCAAAATGTGATTTTTTTACGCAAGTTTACTTGGAAGATTCATTGATTAAAAAAAGATAAGCTATCTTGGTTAATATTTTTTTTCGTGGTGTCAAACGTCTTTTTGAAGACTTTATTATAATTTTAAAAAAATATTTACGCTCTGATCAAATAGTTGTCTCAAAAAGTTTAACGATAAAATATCAAATTCTTAATAAATTCAACAACTTTTTCGTTAAGCCATCCGTCGTTTTGACGACATTATCATGTTAAAAGTAAAAACGCTCCGAAAAAAATAGGTAATTTGAAATTTTATTGATAAAATATCAGGATTTCATCAATTTACCAAATTTCCGTGAAGCTCAACCCTGTTTTAACGGCTTCAATTTCAAGCATGGGATAATAAAAATTTCTATAAGCATATTTTACTTCTAAAGCAAACTTATACTCATAAAATGATAGTAAATTCCAAAAGGAAATGCAAAATTTTCTATTTTTAATCTTCAAATTGTTCTCCATACAAGTTATTCTACTAAACTGTTACCTTAAAAATTCGATTATTACACGTTTTTGCTTTGTAAAAAGCCTTAAAGGAGTCTTAAAGATAATACTTTCAATGGAAAAAAAAACCCAATTAAAAATTGGAAGAAACGGTGACCTTATTTTGAAAATTCTTTTTTTTTTGATCAAACTATAGATCTTTTTCCCAGCTCTACCTGATCTCCAATGGTTCTGGACTGTTCGACGGCCTCGCGACGCTTTTTCTCGGCCTGTTCCTGGACCAAAATGTCAGCCACACCCAGGGTGAAGCCGTGGAACTAAAGCTCATCGTTTTGGATAGGTTTTTCTATGGAAAAACCTGCAAGAAAGTCGTGAACAATCTGGAAAAGCAGGAGAGGAGTTGGACGCCGGCCCGATGACCGTACAGTTCGAATACGCAATGTCCCAAACCGTATTGGGTCGCGCCGAAATGAGCCTTGTCCAGAACGCCGACGAGGAGTTCGCCGTGTCTATATGAATTTTTTTTTCATCAAATAATCTTTTTTTGAACAAACATACGAGGATTTTTGAACAGTCTCTACCTCTCAAAACTCGAAAAACAAAGAAATCTTGTTTTCTAATCCTTTTTTTCCCGAACAGCCCCAACTTTTTTCCTAATTTGTCTAATGACTACGCTTCCAGCTTCTTTCACCCGAACCAGGTAGGCAATTTTACTTTAAGGTGGAATTTTCCAAAAAAACTTGTTTGAACCAATTTGCTCCACCAGGATTTTATGGTATTTTCTTTACCTAAACCCCGAAAGTGGGCGGAGCTTCTTTGACGCTTTATGTTAAGAATGTTGTCTAGTATATGTGAAATCAATACCACATGACGTTTTTTCGACCACGCCCACTTTTTCTGCGTAAATTGTCGTGTGCATGCACTGCAACGCTTTCGCGCAGAAAATTGCGTTTGTGTAGAGAAATTTCGATTCGTCTTAAAAACCTTTGGCAATATAGCGGCCTGCGCCTTTAATATGCCCTGTTATTTACGCTTTTAGGGAACGGCGAATATTTTGACTCCGCCCATCGTGTTTTTGATTTCGCATTTTCTTCCACTAACAAAAAAGCCGTGACCAGGCTCCAGGAAGAAACTTGAAATTTTTTTTACTCGATTGATTGACCCAAAAGAAGGAAAAATCGATATTTCGAGAACACTGTGGGTTCCTTAGAGTACAAGATGGTTCTCCATGGAAAAAGACCTTCTGAACACAATAAAACTTCACATTACCCGATTCCGGATCTTTGAGGCGAGAAAAGAATTTTTGAAGGTTTGAGTGACAATATGCCCCAAAATAAGGAAAAATATTTTTTCAGCTAATCGATTTTTCCGGAGAACGCTTGTTATAGTTTTATTTTCTTCCATTTTTCCCATCATTCCCTCTTCAACTTCTTCCTTTCTAACCTGAAGATGACGTGGGACTCGCTCATGTCGAACGGCGGCGGCTTTCCGTCGCCGACGACCCAACACGAGAGCGGCGTCTTGGCCTTGCCGTCGAGGTTGATCATCGGCTTTCCGGGCGGCGTGATGTTCTTGACGATCGTCGAGATGACCTGCTTGCCGGTCCAAAGACGTTGCGGGACCAGAATCGTGGGGGGCGGGATTTCGATTCTTTTCGAGTATTTGGCGAAGGAGGCCAGAACAAGGTGCATGAAGTCTTCCTGAAGAAAACCCCAAACTATTCTGACATTGAAATTTTTGCGTTTGGAAACTTATTATCACTCTCTTGCTGGATATAGTTTTCTTTCTAAATATTCTCCTTAATTGTACCTTGTTCAAAAATCTGTCGCGAAGAGTAAGAAGAACGCCGGAGACGACGTGATCCTGGATCAATCCAAGGAGCGGAGTCGCGTCTTTCGGGACCAAAAAGTTGCTGCCGACATTGGCTGAAACTCCAGTTCTACGTTGAAACAATTCGGTACGCAGTCGCTTTTTGAAGAGTTTAAAGAATAAAGAAAAAATATTAACTGGCGTCATTAAAGGCGCAGAACTTTAGGATATCCTAAATAAAAGTTTTTATTCAGTTTTTTTTTCTCGTTTTGGAGATCTGAGGTCTCAAAATTGATCAACTAGTTCTGAATCTGGTCTCGTCAGCTTTGAAGCTCTACACCTTCAAAACGAAAAATGTTGTAAATTTAATCTCAACTGATCTGTAATTGAGATCTGGCAAAGTTTCCTCAAACTACCTTTTGAACTTCCCTTGCGAATAAAAAATAAAACTTTTCTTCGAGACCTTCATAAAATTCAAAGACCAAAGAAAGGACTTTTGACCTTCATTTCTACTTCTCTCCCATTTTCCCCCCTATTTGGAGCCATTATGAATTCATTTTATTAAAGATGCAAAAGGGACCTTTTCTCAACCATTTTCTACTCATTCGGACTTTGGCCGAAATTTATCTAATTTAAACTTTTGCTCATAGAATTTTATTGTTGATCAATGGTCATGCTGCAACTTTTTCCCGAAATTAAGAATTTCAGTTTTTCATCTCAACAACTTCAAATAGCCTCCTAGTCAAATGCTCACCGATTTCTCGAACTTCACTCTGGGCGACATGGGTCTGCACTAAATGGCCGTTCATTTCGTCTCCGTCGAAATCCGCGTTGTAAGCCTTGCAAGGGGCGTAGTTCATGCGCAGAGCCCGCTGGCCCGTCAAAACTCGGGCTCTACAAGAAAATATTTGAGCATTTCTTCACAAGTTGGGAAGTTCAGAAAAATGAATTATGAACCAAAAAGTGGATATCAGCTTTTTTTTCTTTACAGTTCCCCTATAACTGGTTCAAGGATAGCTAAGGGGGCTTGTCCTGTCTGATATTCTGCCTGCCTGCTTCTCTCTGTTCCCTCACCGGCAAGGTCAGAAAAACGTGAAAATAGAACGGGAGCTTGAGAGGGAGCAGAGAAAAGCAACAATTTCAAGTCGCGAAAAACGGCCAGCTTGAGACACTAAGGGGCGTGGCCTGTCTGGGCTCTCCACAAGCCAGGCACTATCTCGTGCATTATCGTGTCAGGACCCTTATTTCGATGGCTCAAGCCAGCCGTTAGTCAGCTATACGATGACGTCATTCGAAAAAGCTCTCTAAGTGGTTTTTCGCGCCATTAGGGGCGGAGCTTGATCAAAAGCTCAAAATTCAAAGTCTGTAACGACTGTAGCTTAAAACTCACAGAAAAAGTATGGACATTCGCGAAAAAAAAAAACGAGAAAACACTTAATCTTCCCTAAAATACCTAAAACAAAAGCTTGACCTAACTATCTGCAATTTCCACCTCATAAACCTCTCTTTTTAATTCAAAAAAAGGTCCAAACCTATGCCCCATGATGGACGGCTTATGCAGAGACGGCTGTCGGTTCATCATGACCATGTCTCCGTTTTTCAGATGTCTCAGGACCTTTTGACGTGGACCGAAGACTGTCCGTGTTGGCCGGGATCAGGGTCCTGGCCAGGGTTTTCCGTCGATCTTGCTGTTCTTCGTTAGAATCCCCGAGGACCTGACGTTTTCCGTTGGGCTCCGTCACGAAGTTTGCACTGAAATGGATCTTTTTATATTCATTTTGAAGCGAAAATGTTTGAATTTCTTAATTTTGAACCAATCACAACTTTTTTGGGCCAATTAGTTCATCTTTAAGCCTGAGAAAAAAAAAAATCGAGCTCAAATGTTTGAATCAAGACGAATGGCTGGTACCATTTCCTTCTGGATTTTCGAGAAAAATAGAGAAAAATTAAAAAGTTTTTATTAATTTTTTTGTCCGAAAAAAAGTTCCCAAGAAGTCCTCCAAAATTTTTATTCCTCCAGTTTCTTCTCTCTCAGTTTACAAAGTCCCTATCTTGAGATTTTTTTGAAATTAAGTCACTACAAAGACAAATTTCCCACTTTCTAATGAAAAATCTCGGCTTAGAAATAACTTTTTAAATTAATTTTTTTCCGTAAAAAAATTTTTTTATGTAATTTACTCAACGAAACATTTTTTTCGATTTTTTTCCGTTCGACTTCCTTCGTTTTCTCCCTTGTCTGAATTAAGAATTTTTCAAAAACTTCTCGGACCTTGGTAACGCGAATCGGGCGTTTTTGAGCATTTCTAGTGATCAATTTAGTAACCTCAGAATTCTTAAGTGATTCCTAGAATTGCACAGAAACTTCCGGAGCACGTCCGTTTCGCGTAACCAATGTCCGAGTTGACTTGAAATTTTTCACGTTATCAATAGAGCGCACTTCTCAATTTATCACTTCCCTAGTAGATTCCACTCTTTCAACTTATTTTCCATGGGTTTTCTCTAAATTTTTCACGTTATCAATGGAGCGCACTTTCTAAATTTCGCGCTTATTTATCGAATTTGACGTTTTCAACTTATTTTCCATGAGTTTTTCTCCTGATTTTTCACTTTATCAATAGAGCGCACTTTCTCAATTTCTCGCTCTTCAAGTAAATTCGATATTTAAACTTAATTTCCAAGGGTTTTCTCCAGATTTTTCGCGTTATCAATAGAGCGCATTTTCTCACTTTCCGGGTTAATGTGATACCTTCCAACTGATTTTCCGAGAATTTTTTTCTTTCTTTTTATTCCATTTTTTTTCACATCATTTTCCCGTCCCTCTCTCACCCCGGATGAACTTTGGGGCCTTTTCGGATCAAGGCCTTCATTTCCTTGAGATTCATCGCATTGACAGGTTCCGTGAATGTGAGTTTTTTGGCGAAAATGTCCGGAATTCCGATTTCATCAATGTCCAGGTAGGGGTCCGGGGTGATGACCGATCTAAAAATTATTGATTTTTTCGAATTTTTGTGAAATTTTTCAAATTACCGGCAAGCGAAATTGACACGTTTTCCCATCATGTGCATGCGGAAAAGACCCTGTTTTTTCTCCAGAATCTGCTTGATACCCGCAATGTGGTCCTTGTCGCCTTTGTTCAGGTCCTAGAAAGTGATAAAAAAATCAATATTTGAAGCTTAAAAAGGCATATATGGGCAGTGAAAAAAATTGCCTTTGTAAGTTTTTAAGGTTGAAAAATTTCTTTTTATTTCCAAAAAAATTCACTCAAAAATTTCAAAAAAACCTTTTAATTCCGAGTGAAAAAAATGGATTTTTGCGTTCAGTAAAAAAATTCCTCCAAGGTTTTTTTATAGCAGAACTTTCTTTTGAGCTTCCGAAGATTCATATTAAAACTCACAAAACTTTCAAGTTTTCGAAAAATAGAAAATTTTGCGAGCAGAATTTCAGAAATCGTTCAGAAAATTCAGTGAAAAGCTATTGAACTTGCAGCCCCCTAATGATTCAGTAACACAAAAAAATCGGAACTATTTCAATTTTTTTCTTAACTTCAATAAGTTCTAGAAGCTTTTGGTGAACTTAATTATCGTTCAAAATGGTTTTTTTGAGTTTATCCTGCCCCTACGCCTTCAAAAATCCGACAAACTTCATCGAAAATGGCGTTGACGCGAAGTTGTAGGTTGAGGTAGGCGTTGTGCATCTGGGCGTTGATCGTCTTGCCCTGGACCCGGTCCGAGATCAGCGCCGCCAGTTCGGCGCTCTTCTCGCCCTTCATCACGAGGGCGATCGCCTTTAATAGTTCTTTTCAGTTTCAGATCAAGAATAAGATTCTGAGAGGGGAGGTTATTCCGATTTTAAGCTTCGAAACTGACAATCGTCATCAAAAACGCGTATTTTTTCTCGAAAAATCAACTTTCAAGTTTTTTAAAATCAAATCTTCCAATATTAAGCTTTAAACCTGATTTCTTCCAAAATCAAGGTTTCGAAAAAAAAATTTTCTAGTTTCAAAACAGTTTTTCAAAATCAAGCCCTCAAATATCGAACTTCAATCCGAAAGTTTCAAATTTTGCGTTTTTCAGGACAAACACTTTCTAGGTAATCATACGTTTCAACTGATTGACAAAAAAGCAATCAAAGTTGAGAACCATGATAAAACTATTCAAAAAGTCAAAAAACGTTTTCAAGTTCATTTCAATTGAAAAAATGACTGAATTTTCGACAATGAATCACATGAAAACTAATTTTTCCGATTCCATAATTTTTTTTATAGTTTTGTCAATTTTCAACCAAGAACCATTTAGCAGCATTTCAAGTTCATTTTTGAATTTTCTCTTCTTGCATTATTTAGGAACTTCCGAGTGGTCCCTAGAGAGGCAACCACCGGGGCTTTTGTAGGCTCCCCTTAAGAGACCACGTTACTTCCTCCTACAGGGTCCCTAAACTTTGCAAAGTGGCCACCTTTAGAGGCTTCAGTTTGGCCAATTCAGAAGAGCTTGCTAGTGGTCTATATAAAGCCTCATAGTTTTCAAATATGAACAAAACATCGAAAAACCACTATGGGGACCACTCAAGCTTCAGGCCTTGAACTCCTATAGGGACTGCCTCAATTCCAGCCCTATAGGGATCCCTATTGAGTCCACTAAAAGGGCTGTTTTTTCTTCCTTAACCTCTTTAGGGACCACTCCGGCGTTGCTAGGTAAGAGCCAAACGTTTTTTTATTAGCGAGACTTTTTCCCCCCAAACCTCTATAGGGACCACTCAAAGTTCACCCCTTAAGGGAGCACTATTTCGTCCGCTATAGGGACCACTCTAAGAATCCTGGTAAGTGAGGGCCTTAAGACCTCAAAAAACTCAAAAGTTAGGCGAGACCTTTTCCCCTAACCTCTATAGGGACCACCTAAAGTTCACCCCTATAGGGACCCCAATTTTGTCCACTAAAGGGCCTGTTTTTCTTCCTTAACCTCTGTAGGGCCCACTCTAGCGTTCCTAGAGGGCCAAACAATTTTTTTATAGGCGAGACTTTTTCCCCGAAACCTCTATAGGGACCACCTAAAGTACACCCCTTAAGGGAGCACTATTTTGTCCACTAAAGGGCCTGTTTTTTCTTCCTTAACCTCTGTAGGGGCCACTCTTAAGTTCCTAAGTGAGGGCCACACAATGTTTTTATAGGCGAGACTTTTTTCCTCCAAACCTCTATAGGGGTCACCTAAATTTTAGCCCTCTAGGGAGCACTATTTCGTCCACTATAGAGCCTTTTTTCTCCCATAACCCCTCTAGTGACCACTCTGTCTTTCCTATGATATTTTCATCTTTTTCCGAGACCTTGATCGTTTCCGTAGCTTCCAAAACTCGACGAAGGTTCAGGGTTTGCGGATCTTCGTACTGTTGTCCCTTGAACATGCGAATCGGCCGGAATTTCCTCGGAGGAACCAGAATTTGTTCGCAGAAGAGGCCGTCGAGGGGGCAGACGCCGGTGTTGGTCTTCTGGACAATTTTTCTAATTTATTTCTGGTTTATATAACTTTTTTTTGAGATCTCATTGAAAGTTCCCAATTTGAAAACAATCAAAGAACAGAAAAATCTAAAAAATCTTTATTTTTGATTTATTAGAGAAAAATATGGTCTTTAAAGATGGAATCTAATATTTCTTCTACCAATTTTCAGCCAGAACATTAAACAACAACAGAAAGTTCCTAAAAAAAGCCATTGATTAAAAAAATATATATATATATATATATATATATGAATTTTTCTTAAAAATCATATAACTGAAGTTTAATCTCACTGGAAATCGTATTTTTTTGTGAAGATTATTTTACAAATTTCCAGCCAAAACGAATAAAAAAACAGAAAAATCTGAAAAAAATACATATTTAATTTTATATATTCAAAGTTCGCCTTCTAAACATACTAAAAAAACTTTTTATCGCCTAAAAATTGTATTAAATTCAACCTTATTTTACAAAAATAGCATTTAGAAAAATCTCAAAAAAACCTATTCTTTTGATTTTTTTCACTTAAAAAAAGGTCATACATCATATAATAATTTTCAAAAAAACTTTTTAGAAAGGGCGCGAAAATCAAAAATCATCTCTGACCCTCCAAAAATTCTGTTGTCTTTTTTTCAATCTCTGACATCTTTTTTTAAATCCAGCTTACATGATTATTTCACAAATTTCCAGCCGAAAAAAAGGAGAAAAATTAAAAAAAGTTTGTTTGATTAGGAAAAAAATTGATTGATTAAGAAAAAAATTGTACCCGGTAACAATATATACTTCTTTGAAAAACGGGAAACTACTGAAAGAAAAAAACTATTTTAATGAAAAAAATTGCGATTTACACTTTCTGTGAAGAAAAAAACCCTACTTTTTCTAATCTTTATTGAATTTTGTATGGAATTTTTCAACTAATTTAACAAAATTCCAGAAAAAAAAACAAACCGAGTCATCGACAAGCATGGGGAAAAAGCTTCAGAAGCAAAGTGACCGTCATTTTTGAACAGAAGACGGAAATGTTCACGAACTTCGGCGCCTCTCCAGGCCAGCTTAAAAAGTTGATTTTAAAACAATATTCTAAAAAAATATTCACAAAGGGGTTTGCAAAAAGAAGAAGCTTGAGGATTTCTTGAAATTTTACTCAGGAACATTTTAAAGGACCCCAAATCTTCAAAAAAAAGCATTAAAAAATCGTCTTTATTCCTACCTAAAACGCCTCAAAATTTGTACAGTACCTTTTTCAGTACAAATTTTCAAAGTGCAAGAGACCTTTCAAAAGAAAAAAGGTCACGAAAAAGCCCAAGGGACCTTTTAAGGGAAAAAGAAGATCAGTTAGGAGTAAAGGTACTTTCTACTGTACAAAAATAACAGTTCAAATGTTCCTTTTTCAGGACAAAATTTCAAATCCCAAGGGGCCCTTTAAGGGAAAAAAAAACTTAGGACACAGCCCAAGAGACCTTTCAAGGGAAAAAAAAAACAGGGGTCAAGGACACGAAACAGCTAAAGGGACCCCTTAGAGGGAAATAAAAAGACCAGGTAAGAGTAAAGGTACTTTATACTGTGCCCAGATAAAATTCAAATTGTTCTTTTTCAGGACAAAATTCCTAAGTCCAAGGGACCTTTTAAGGGAAAAAAAACCTAGGACTTAGTTCAAGGGGTCTTTCAAGGGAAAAAAAAGCTTTGAACACAGTCCAAGGGACTCTTTAAATGAAAAAGGTCACGAACAAAGTCAAGGGACCTTTTAAGGGTCTTGAAAGAAGAGCAAAAGCTCATTTCGTATTTGAAAGGCGCTTGAAAGTCCCTCAAGGCCCGTTGTCATATTAAAGAACCTTTTTATTCCCTTTTTTCTGGAACTTATTATTGTCTATTTTGTCCCCTAAAAGGAATTTTTCAAGAAAAGGCCGCTTTTTGGACTTTCCCTCAATTTCAAGCGTCTTTAAAGCGTTATAACTCTCCTAAAAGGCCTAAAAAATGAAGTTTTCCTTTTCAATTCTTGAGTCAAAGTGCTTCAGATCCTAGAAAAGCTTTCATGGAATCCTTGAGGCTTTTTCTTTTTGCAATATCCTTGTTCATTTTAATCACCTTATCACACTCTCCAGCTTGAACCGATCTCATTTGCATGGCCAGAGTTCCGATAGTGACGTCGGTCGCGTTTCCGCTCACAGCCAAACCGCTCGCCGAGGCTTCAATTTTGAAAAATTCCCTTTATTCAAAACGAAATCGGCTGAATCCCACCCCAGCACGCGAAAAAAATTTGAAAATGTAAAATGTACTGGAATAAGCCGTTGTTTTCGAGGGGGCAGTTTGCGGGGGGCAGGCCGCACCCGGGGATAAGGTCCAGTCAACGTATGCTCTGCGGGTGCTACTACCCGTCACCCGGGCGTTTTTTTCAACGATTCGGGCGGTCCCCTGGACCTCAAAGGGGGGCTAAAAAATTGCGTGTCGGCTGATGGACGGTAGCACCCGCGGGTGCTGTGAGGGAAATTTCTCAAGATTAAGAACATTTTTCAGTTATTTATAGCTACTCGAACCCCAAAAAAATCCCCATTTTTCCACCTTTTTTCTTCTCCTCGTCGTCCGACGAGTCACTGTCGTCGTCCATTTTCTCGTCCTGGTCGCTCGGATCGCTCTTTGTCGACTTCAAAGACTTTTTCTTCTAAAAATTGACGTTTTTATTGGTTTTTCAGAGATTTCCATCACTTTTCGTTCGTTGGTCGACGTGAAATCGATGAGAAGACAACGGCCGCCGTCGTTTCGCAGGATGCCGTTCCGATTTTGGCACAAGGGACACTTCTGACGACGTCGGAACTAGAAAAATGAGAAATATATAACTCCTTATCATTTCTATGCCATTTTTAGCTTGAAAAATTAAAAAAAAATCAGGGACGAACTTTTTTTGTGCCGTGTTCAAATTTTCTACACTGACCCTATGAAATCGACTTAAGATTTTTCTTTTTTCCATCTAGTTCTCCTTCAAAACGGCTTTATTTGGAAAGAACAACGATCTTTATAACTTTTAAAAGTGAAAAATGGTTATGTTGGGTTGGAAATTTTATTTTTTAACGACAGGAAACTCACTGAGTGCTCTAAAACTGAAGAGTTTTTCGTACTGACCTTAGAAATTTGGAACTTTTTTGGATTCTCCCTCATTCAACAAAAGTTCCTACCCTGGAACCGCTTTCAAAAACGATATTCCTATAGATTCTATTTTTGAAGTCCTTTCTGAAAAAAAGTTTTTTTCTGAAAAAAATTTGCTTAAAAAAATATCGTTTTTTTAGCAATTTATCCCTAATTTCTCTTCGAATTTTTCCTTCAAAAAAAGCTCTGTTTTTTAGACTTCGATCAAAAATTGTATGAATTATTAGTTAAAAAAATTCATCGTTATCTTTTTTTAATTTTTTTCCCGATTTTTTTCTACCAGTTCTTCCATGTTTTCTTGAAATTCTGTGTTCTGAAATATTAAGTTCTTGATAAATCTATGGAATATTAACCACGAAACACTGGTTTTTGGAATAAAAAAATATTATTTTTTTCAAAGTTTCATATACAAAAAAATTGGTTATTTTTTTAAGTTGAAAACTTGTTTTTTTATAACGTCAGGAAAACCATTAGAAGCTCTAAAAACCCCTATTTTTGATAATTTTTGAGCCTGACCCTATGAATTTGGCCTTGTTTCATCCCCTTTTCCCGTCTTCTTCAAACTTCTCTAGCAGATTTTCCTCAAAAAGTGCTGTTTTCGGAATTTCAACACTCTAGGAGGCAAAAATTGGTCATTTTGCGTTGAAAATATGTTTTTATAACGGAAGGAAAACCATTAGAAGCTCTAAAAGTCCCGATTTTTGAACCTGATCCTATAAATTTGACCTTGTTTCATCCCCTTTTTTTTGTCTTCCTCCCATTTTCCTGTCGGATTATCCTCAAAAAGTACTTTTTTTCGGAATTTCAATCCTCTAGGAGGTAAAAATTGATTACTTTTGGTTGAAAAAATGTTTTTATAACGACAAGAAAACCATTAGAAGCTCTAAAAATCTCTATTTTTGATAATTTTTGAGCCTGCCCTTGTTCTTTTTCCTTTTTAAATTCTCACCAAATGTTCCTTCAAGAACTGCTGGATGATCTGCTTCTTGAGGGCGACGTTGTTCTTGCTGGGCAGTTCCCGGTTGGATTCCGACATGAGGACGCCGATCGGCTTGCCGGCCAGCTGGGAGATGTGTTTGTCCAGTTCGGCCATGCCCTCCAATTCATCCTCCAAGGAGATTGATCCCACTGAAGGGATATTTTTTTGGTGGTTTTCTTCATTTTTTTAAAATTACAATGAAGTTCTTTGCCGATTTGGTCCCTGAGAATTCCTTCCAAATCGAGCGCCACTTGAGAAACGCCAAGTTCGAAGCATCTGAAATCGAAATTTGGGCTTCATTTGATGATTTTTGTGGGAAAAACTTAGGATTTCGAGAAAAAAGCCGTTTTCAGAATTATTTTGGGTTATGAATTTGGCGATAAACTCTCCAAAATTCAGTAGTTTCTTAATGAACTTAGGTACTCAAAAATGCGATATCTAACTTTTTTTTTTGGCCCATAATTTTTGAACCTTATTTTATCAAAGATTAACGTGTATTTTGGCATGCTATAAAGTAAGGGCTTTTCAAAAATGCGACCGCTGGGACCGCCTATAAAATACGACCCCTTTTTTGTGCTCCATTACAAATTAATAAAATTCGGGCGTCTCTTAATCTTATCTTTTTGATACTTGCAGGCTAGTTTTTTCAAATTTTTTATTTTTTCCGATCTTTCCTTCAAAAAACAATTCAATAAAGAACTACGACGAAATTAGTGAATTCATAACGGGTAGCACTATACTGATTGGACAACAGCAGACAAAAAAATAAAAAAATAATTCTTATTTCAAAAGAATAATTTTTATTATTGTCTATTGCTATCAAATAAGTATAGCGCTGCCCTTTTTATTTCTGATAGTATCTTTTAATAAACCATTTTTTTCAAGGTTTATTTTGTCCCATATTCAATTTTTGCCTGTTACCGAATTATGAACTGTATGTTTTTTTGAAACTCTTTATAAGTTTTTTTCAAGCGATTGGAAAAAAACTCATCGTTATGAATTTAACAATTTCGTCGTAGTACCGTTTTTTTAAAGGAAAGATCGGAAAAAAAGTATAAAATTTGAAAAAAATTAGCCTGCAAGAGTCAAAAAAATAAGATTAATAAACGCCCGTATTTTATTAATTTGCCATGGAGCACAAAAAAGGGGTCGTCTTTTATAGGCAGTCCCACCGTTCGCATTTTTGAAACGCCCGTACTTTATAACAAGCCAAAATATACGTTAATCTTTGATAAAAAGGTTCAAAAAATATGGGCCAAAAAAAAAGTTAGATATCGCATTTTTGAGTACTGAAGTTCAGGAAGAAACTATTGAATCTTAAAATATTCAAAATAAATAATAAGCTTGAAACAGGAAACTGTTGACTGAGCCGAAAAAGTCAATCGATAATCAAAAAAATAAACGTGACATTTTTTTCCAAATTTTCAGACTTACGTCGTATTTGAAAAAAATGTATTTGAATAATTGAAAAAAAGAAAATGTTCAATAAAAAACTGACTTCAAAAAGCCTGAAAATATCGTTTATCAAATTTTTCTTCCATTTTGCTTTAAAAAAATTTTTTTTTACATGAGATGCTGGACTAAAAAAAGCTAATTACTTCAGAAAATTCATAGACTAAAAAGTTATAATTAAAAAAATTACAAGGTCCAATCAAAATTAAACTTCAAAAAGAACTAGAAAATCTATAAACCAGCCAAAAATCGTTCAAACCTTATTTTCGTGACTAAAATCAATAAGAAAAACCAACTCAAAACTGAAAAATCTTTCAAAATTCTCTCTACCCTTTTATGACAGATTTTTTACAAGCTCAAAATCAAGAAAAAAAACCTCAATTGAGTGAGCAAAATTTTGGCGGAAAGACTGTCGGCCTTGCACATGAAACGATGACAATGTACGCAGGAGCCTTTCAAAAGCTGCAAAATTGGAAATTATTCGAGTTTACTGCTTCAAAAAATATTTATCAAAAAACATTCATCTTGATAGTTATTTCGGAATCGATGCGTTGGAATTTTAGAAAGTGTTTAAAAAAATTCGGTTAAAAAAAAAAATGGAAAAGCGACTTTTTACGTCGAAAAACTCGAGATTTTAGTATTATTTAGACATTTTTTTCAACGGATTTGCGATATTTCGTTGTGAGACCCAACTTTTTCTTTTTTTGAGACCCTAACGCGTCAATTTTAAAAATCAATCTGAAAAAACGGTATAATAAATTACATTATAAGTGAACTGGAAAAAGCAAGGGGTTGAAGACGGGGACGTCGAGTCGGATGTGGCCCATGTGACCTGAAAATTTATCCCTTTTTTGTCAATTTGATTTTTTTTTTTTGTTAACTTGATCAAAATGATGACTTTTACGCTTTAAATAGTTAATAAAGCCTTAATTTTCTTAAAAACTATAGAGTGGTCACTATAAAGGCTACCTTAGAGAAAAACCAAAGCTTGCGAAAGTGACCCCTCTAGGGGCATTCCAGTCGATTATAGTTATCAGCTCTACGGGAAGATTATTCAAAAGACCCTATAGCAACCACTTGAGCTTTAGGGGCTCGGAAAACCCCTATAGTGGGTACTTGGGTCAAAACCTGCATTTTTACTCATTTTTGAACGAAAAGAACGTTTTTTTCAGTGTATTCAGTAAGTTCAAATAACCTTCCTAGGCTTTTTTTAGCTGCAAAACTTTCGTATTTTTCAAAATAATCGCTTCAAGACCTTCCACCCATGCTCCTTTAAAAATCGAGAAGATTACCTGGACAATGAACTTCATACTGATTACAGGTATCACAACGGTCCCGAGACTCTCCCGGACCCAATAAAGGATCGTACAACCCGCCGCGAATCGGATGCCCGATCTGAATTTGTTTTTAAATTTTTTTAAATTTCTAGAGATTTTGTTCGAATTTTTACAAATTTTACTTGATAAAAAGTCCAAATCCCAGAAATTTTAACTAAGAGGCCGAAAATTGCAAAGTTTTACCTTGATAAAAAGCCTACAATTCAGAATTTTCAACTCTGAGGCCGAAATTTGCTAAGTTTTAACTTGATAGAAGGATCAAATCCCAGAAATTTACACTTAAAAGCCCAAATTTAAGGAATAAGAACTACTTAAGAAGCACAACCTTAATAAATTTGAACTTAAAATTCCAAATTTCAAAAAGTTTTGACCCGATAAAAAGCTAAAATTTAATGAATTTCAAATTAAAAAAACCAAAAATTTTGACGATTTTCACTTGATAAAGCTTCTCTGACCCTTCAAATCGATGGAAATTCACTTTCTTTCGTTTTTTTGTTCATTAATTTTTACATAGAATTATAAAAAGCTCAAAATGACAATTAAAGTTAATTATTTCCTTCTCAAGAGCCTCAAACTTGAAATAATAAAATTTAGGCTGTGAATTTGAAAAAAATTCCTGAGTTGTTTTATGTATGAAATCATGAAATTCTTATTTAAAAACTACAAGAAAAACTTTTTTATAATGAAAACTTCAAAAATAAAATCAAAATCAATGAAAATATAGATAAATGACTTGTTTAGAAGGTCTAGAAAAATAATGGAACCTCTCAAATTTCAATTTTTTTCAAACAATATCTGAAAAAAATTTATATAATTTACATCATCAAAAGTCTTGGTCTGAGTGATCCGCAACACGCTGAGCTTCTCGATCTCGTGCGGAAGGTAACTTCGCAGTTTCAAACTTGTGAACTGCATGTACGGCTCCTCGCCGTGACGGACGTAGTCAAACCCGTCCATTTCGGCTTAAGTTCTACTATTCTACCCTGAAATTGCATTCATCGAAAAAAACCAACATGAAAAATCAAAGAAAAGAATGAAAAAAAAACAATGAAAACAAACTTGCTTTTCTGCTCAAAATTATGAAAATTCCATTATTTTCAAAAATTAAAGAGTAAAATCTCAATACAAAAGTCAGGAAACTATCTAACTACCCTTATGCAACTATTAATAAAGATCAGATACAAAATAAAACATAAAAAACAACGAAAAAGCGCAAATTTTCGAAATTCTCGTAAAAATTAGGCCCACTGAAAACATACACCCGGGCGCTAAATTGCACAAACGCGCGCCATGTGCGTTACAGTAACCCATAAAAAGTGCAGATTCCCAACTCCCTTGATATTCAGATTATAATGAGGTGGTTCTTAAGCAGAATAATTTTCTGCAAAACTAATATATTTTTTTGAAAAGCTCAATAATATTTCTCATCCAGGCTGGCCTTCAAGTTGCATGCCTTATCAAAATTTTAAGGTTTGCAACAATCTAAAGTGCCTTTAGTGCTCATAAAACACCAGAAGAGTCATCACCCTCTTGTTTAGATTTTATTTACGCCTTTCTGAAAGCTTTTTCAAAATAGATTTCACAGGCATATGTCTAGAAATGCTTTTTTTCTGCATTTTTCTATTTTCGCTCGCCCAAGAAGAAAATATTTTGCTAACTCTTATCGATTTCAGTGAGAATGTGGTGGGCTGAGTACAATTTAGAGAAAATTGCCGGTTGTGTGCCTTTCGAGCCCTAATAGTGCGTTTTCACAGGCTTAAATCAGAGTTGTTTCCAAAAATTCTTTTCAAGCTATATATAAATGAAAATAAAAAATGATCTTCAATTCCTTTTTTTGCTTATTAAAAAGAAAAATATTTCATCAGAATTCGTTGATTTGAATTCACAATTTTTCAAAAAAATAACACCATCAGCTTACTTTCCGGTTTGAATAACACGATTTGGCATCTTTCATAAGCATTTTGATATGCAATAAACAAAACAGCCAAGTTTTTTTTTTCTCGTCTGACGCAAAAGCTTAAAAATTCTCATAATCCTGCATGAATCTTCAGAAATATCATCTTTCTTTTCTTTTCATTATTAGATATTATTTGGCTTATTGCTTCCAGATTGAAAATACATCCTAGCACAAGAACTTACAAAAAGAACGTATAAAATTCAAGAAAAAAATAAGTAAAAAAATGAGAAAAAAATTTGACTTGAAAAAAATTGAAAACTTCGACCGACGCAAACTTGCACCAGGTCCGCAGACGGAACACGCGCATTTTTTTATTTCTTCAATTTTTTTGTGAATGGTAATCATCTTTTTTTCATCCAGCGCTCAAATTTTTGTTTTTCTAAATATTTATAAGGCCTCTCTTTTTTTTAAATAGCAAAATTGAACTTTATAACTTCGGAACCAGCAGTCCGACGGTTTCCATAGCAAAGTCTGTGAGAATTTATTTTATTCCCCATCTAATGTGTGGTATAAAAAAGGCGGCATTCCCGTGCCATAAAAATGTAGTCGATATCATGTTTTCGCTGGGAAAAAAAGGCGTCTGGGATTTCTCACCTCATTTTTCGAGTTGATATGGATAGCGAAGGCGTTTTTTTTCGGTTTTATTAGTTTCAGCGCTAATTAGCGGGATTTCCTTGGGCTTTCTAAGTTTAATTACATTTGGTTGATCACTCACGGGACTTGTTAATGAGGATAATCCCTCATTAGTTGGTAATTCATCCATTTTCTTGGGGAATCTCTGCAAAAATAGCAATAAATCATAATAAAATCTCTTTTCCCGGCTACCTTTTTTTTGATGACTTCGAAATTTCCTTATCACGTGTACATTTCCTGGTGATAAGCATCTTTCTGCACCCGTCTAATTAATTACGTAACAGATCGATAAGGTCTTTTTTGATATATTGTCTTTCTCGTCTATTTATTTTATTCGTATTTAACCATTTTTGTGAAATTGAGCTTCCAGATTGATACTCAATACTTGCTTTTGATTCTAAATCAATGAATTTTCCCTTTTTTCACTTTAAATCAAAAAAAACTGTTATTCATAATCAAATTACATCAAATTTAAGTTCAAAAATCCTTAAAAAAGCTCGAAAATCTTGAATCTACTCAAAATCGTCTCGAGACCTTTTAGAAAGTTACTGATGCTCCTTTAAACTTCTGACGTCTGAGAAACTATATTCGATCAGATTCATTTCCAATCGTTCAAAAACTCAACTTGAAACCGAAAAGTCGACTTTTTCTTCCCAAATATTATCAGCATCGAGAATTTTCCCACAAAAACCTTCCCACGTTTTCTAATCAACTCGAAAAGTTCATTTTTTTTTTACTCGATGAGAACTTCACTTTACTGTTTCACCATGGTAATAGAAGTCTGACTTATTTTCCGCTATTTTTTTGATTTGGAGACATCTTTTTCTAAAACTGCTTTCATTGAAAATAAATAAATAAAATTAGTATTGAAATTTAAAAAATTATTCCGCTTAGAATATCTTCTTTGAAACAGTAAAGTCAGTTCGAGACAATATATTCACGAAATCCAAATTTTTGAAATTTTTTCCGTTGAATTTCAAAAAGCTTTGGCCGCATTTGGAATGCCTCGAAGAGTCATAAATGAGTCAAAATGCGCCCGACCCAAAACGGCTTTCGCGCAAGGTTATGAGAGCTTTGAGCCGTTTTAAGTGCTACGAGTATTGATAAATGTATGCAGTTTGCTTCATAAATTCTCATTGAAACAGGGAAGTCATGTTTAAAGGAAATTTCGAAATTTCGATTTTTCTACATAATTTTTCAAAAAGCTTGGTTTTTTTGATGAATTTTTCTCCCACAAGACACTGAAAGCACAAGTTCTATTTTTCTCACAACGTCACTGGAAAGGACAAGCGGCGGATTTTCATACCCAATAATTTTCCCACCTTGCAAAAGCCCTTTTTCCGACTTTTTCTCATACCCACGGTTTCTTTTTCTTTCTAAAATCTTTTGGATTTTTATCCAGTTATCGCAATTCGCTCAGTTTTCATAGTTCCGTGAATGAAAAAAACCTAGTTTCTTCTGATTTTTTCGTATTTTATAACTTGAAATTGAAGAAATTTGAGGCTTTGAGCGGCTAATAATCTATTTTTTGAATGAATTTTGCAGATATTTTGAGTTTTCGCTTTAGAATGAAATTCCCACGTGTTCTTGTTGAAAGATTCATCAATTTGAGCTCATTTTGAATGCAAATTCTGAGGTTTTCAAGCATTTTCGATAGGTTACCAAGAATTGGAAGAACAAAAATGAAAAAAACATCCAAATAATTAATAAAGGGTTTATTTCTTCCTGCTTCACATTCATAGTTCCATTCTGGGCATAATTCTTGAATTTCGTGCTTTTTCGAATTACCCATGGTTACTGTTTTCAAAAAGATTATTATTAAAAATCTTAATCAAAAATTATTTTCATTAAGATTGACTGCAAGTGGTACCCATACGTATTTTTTTTAACTATTATATCAAAATTGAATTAAAAAAACCCTATAGTGACCACTTGAGAGTTAGGAGCTTCAGAGGTCAGACCCTGAACTCCCATAGGGAGTGGACACTAAAGTGGCCACTAAACCCACCTCTATAGTGGCCACTATTTTCCGTTCTAGTGGCCACTTCAGTAGTTTTTCATCCAGTATTCCTTCCAGTAACCCTGATAATTTTAAAACAAACAGATTGGACCAGTTATTTTGATCCATCGACCCCTAAAGTGGTCTAGTAGTAGCACTTATACCTCTATAGTGGCCACTAATTTTCAGCCCGTTAAGTGGCCACTGATTTGACTACTATAGTGGCCACTGAAACGTTAAATCCCTATAGTGGCCACTAAAAGTTTCCCAGGAGGTGCGATTTTCAAGATTTATTCGAAATTTCAATAAGAAAAACCAAGAAACATTTTCTTTCGAAAGTTTTAATAATGACGAACTCCTCACTTATTCTGCACCAAAAACATTTTTTTTTTTTCAATTAAGCCTAATCCGCCGACATTTCTTTTTTTCTTGTTAATCTACGCAAGCGGTTTGGGCGGGGATAAGCTTATCGAGTGGAAAAGTCTCGCCATTTTTGCTCTGGGAATACCTTTTTTGCGCCCGCCGGAATGACCAAACAACGCTACTTTTATAGGTAACTTTACAGTTTCTGATTAATCTTATGTTGGATTTTGAAGCGGAATGGGGAGTTTAAAGATTCTTTCAGTGGTTGAAAATTTTTAGGAACGCTGGAGTGGTCCCTAAAGGGAAAAGGACTCCCATTCAGGGGCAAAAAAAGTTTTTTAGAAGACAGGTAGTCCCTATAGGGGTTCAGGGTCTCACTTCTAAGCCCCCAAAAGCTCAAGTAGTTCCTCTAGGGTTTTTTTTTCAGATTTGGATGTTAAAATGATACGCTGGAGTGGCCCCTAGAGGGGTTAAAGGACTGAATCCTAATCCTTAAACCTCAAGTGGTCCCTCTAGGGATTTTTTTCTTTAGGGACCACTCTGGCATTTCTTAGAAGTGATCTCAGGCTGAAAATAATTAATTTTTGGTCCAGTTTTCGGAAAATCAAAGCTGTTTTTAGAAAAAAATACTTAAGAAAAAAAGAAAAAAACAGATTATTTTTTTAAGGATTTTGAGACTTTTTATTCTTATCGATCAATTTTTGAATGATAAACTGATCATTTTCAGTCTTTTTCTCAAATTTTCAAGAGTTCAATGGACGATTGTGCTCATTTTTTTCTTTAAAAAAATTTTTTTTCTGAAGCTAAAAAAATGCTATTTCATTAATAGAAGGCTCTTTATAAAAAAATTTTTAAAAATATTTTCAAAATTCAATTTAAATTTTAAAAAAATGGTTAATAAAAATAAAAAAATGAAGTTTTTTTTCAAGCAAAATGGATGAAAAAAATTATTTTTTTAGGAAAATAGATATTGAATTAAAAAAATAATTAAAAAAATGAACTTGA